CTCTCATAATTTGAAAGTGCAATTTGCTGACGAGCATGATATCATAATTACAATGAATATAATATCAGAATCAGAAAGTTGGAAATAATGATAGCTAATTTCTGGTATATATTTTAAGTGATTTTTTATGAACCGATTATTTACGGCTTTTGATGAAGGCAATGCACAAGAAGGAACTGATATATAATGATTTGTAGCAAGATTTTTCCAGTTTCGCATTGCGTACCTAATTCATTACACCCCTGATGAGATGAAGGTCATGAAATTTAAACTCAATATGAATAACCTACGATACCAACACAGTTAGCTCTAACGCTTCAACTGTTAGGCCATTGTGCCAACTGCCCACAAATAAATAAGCAAGAATTTCAATGAAATGAAACACACAATTCCAAGCCTTTTAAATATATGTCATGCAGTTTAAAAATCTCTGAATTTGCATTTGTTACTGTTAGTGTTTTACAGGTTACAGATATTCAAATAGGAAATATTCATACTTTATTCATTATACATTCATTATTAAAATGAAATGTAAGAGTCTGGGATATGAGATATAAGTACTATGTACAATTTTTAGCAAATGCATATTTTTTATGATTTCTATCTTCAAATGTAATGATAATAGATGATATATAGATGATGTATAGATTTTCTAATGTTTTACAAATTTTCAGCACTTTTAAAAACAATATGCAAAACCAAGAGTAAGCATTCCTACATAATACCGAACATAGCAGAAACAGATTGGAATGTACACCATCAAAGGCACTTCAAGATGCAAATGGGATACATAACATGACACTGTCGCTCGAGTGTTTCTTTGTATATATAACGGCGGTTGCATCCGACAGCGTGCGAAACTTTAGCGTTAACAAATGTGAAGCGGAACAAGAGAAGTGTGAAAACAAATCATCTGTGCAAACGTGAAAAATGAGATTTAGAATGATCCCTCTTATTTTGGGTTTTCCTAAAACTAGAAATGTATCACTATCTAGCATGTGCGATCAAATTCGTTGAGTGAAATTTAACGCTGGTTGGTGTACTGTAAACTGAGACGGTTAAAAATCAACTTTCCGGATGTGTGTTATTTTGGTCATTAAAATTAGTTCAGGTAGTCAGATATCAAATTTGAAAGAAAATATGATTTGCTAACTTAGTATTTCATTTCCTACAAGATGAGAAATGTTATACAAAGGCGCATATATGATTAGGGGCATAACTTTGTGAGTTAATAAAGTAGTTTACCGTACATAGTAGCATAATCCATCGTTATTAAATTATATAGAATATTAATACTGGTGATTATCGCATATCATTCATTACTACATCAGAATAAAATATTTTGCAGTAAACCACATTACCGGTAAATGCTTCAAAAAAAAAAACTTTTTATGGAACTGTCATCCTTTATATAATTACCAATGAACCAGAATGTTATAAAAAAACAACTGTGATTTAAGGGTGCTGCACACTAACATAAATATATTTCTGAACCCTTCAGCTTTATCTAGCCGAGTTGAATATGATCTAATAGGCCTAGTTTTAATATGCTGAAATATCAGAAAGACAAAGTGTTACAGAAATACATTTGTATTAGTGTGCACTGTGCAGCAAGACTTTCGGATCACACAGAATAGTCATGTTCATTCTTGTTACAGCATACCAGCAGTATATACATACAGATCCACTGGCCCAACAACATAAATGAAGGATATGTAGTTAGTCTCCCTTGACTGATAGTGACATAAAAAGCTTTCGAAAATTTTACGACTAGCAAAGCATTATCAGTCCTAATTAAACCACAACCCTAACATTGTTTTAACAATTCAATAATGATCATCCATAGTTCATGACCTTTGACATAAACTTTACAACACAGTGATGTTTGATTCTCTAATTTTACAAATCCCATGAGATTCAAACTTTATAATCTTAATCCCTAGGAGATGTCATTACTAATTCAATTCTGAAAAAACATTTATTGATTAAAACTTTGTGCTCATTAAAAGAATGTTTACAAGATTACTATGGATTGAAAACGGAGGTTGTAGATATAAGAAGATTTTTGCTGGAAATACGAATAAAGAGTTTTGAATCAGTGACTCAACGACAATATACTGTATATAGCATTGACTTGTGAGTAGAAGGGTCAAAGTCAAAAGTGAAGCGTTGGAAATTCTGCAATAATCCCAATATGTTTGGAAATGTAAAAAAGCTATCAGAAGTTGCCAAAGACACTTATTTACTATTTACTAACTATAGCATTGCTTACATTCCCAAATTATGCAAATCTCCCAAACTAATGTCTGAATACATTATTTTTCAAATTTATTTTAGTTTTTAGTTTTCGTATAAACAAATTTCAAAATTAATAATATCTGAAAACAATTTGATTTAACAATTCCTAACAGTAAAATTTTGTAATTTTTCAATAAATTTCATGGTCTATGTTAAATTTTAGAGATTAGAAATCTTCATGCAATGATTGTATTGCAGACCAAATATTTTCAACAACCCCTCCCTCCTACCTAATGCTGATCATACACCTAATTCAGGATTGAGAAAATAAAATAAGCTCCCAATGTTGGTAAGATTCAATGTCCAATATGACGTAGTTGCTCCAGATTTTTGAAAAGAGATGTAGAGAACTATCAACATTCAGCAACCTTTCATGGTTTTTATATGTGAATCCAATTAACATTGATTATTTGTCTCAAGTGCTGTTCACCTTTGTCACAGCTTTTGGCACAACAGCGCAAATGACATAAGCACAAATACTTGTGAAATTTTATACAAAATGGCTTATTTCGTCAGAAAAAGGGCATACCGGTACTACGTGTTTATATAGACAGAAAGATATAAAAAAAAAATTAGGAATAAATGTGAATTTAAAATACAAAAAATCTGGAGAACGAGCAAAACCTAACACAAAGAACTGAACAAAAAAAAAAACTAGACAAAGAAGGCGGAGGTCAGAAATTAACACATAAATAATAACATGAATGTATTGATTTACTATTGAACATTCGAACATTACTTTAAAAACACTAAGCTAATGATGGCCAATATCAAGTCAATATTATAAAAAAATAAATAGGTATTTTTTAATAAAGTTTGAATAAAAGTATTAGACAAAGTGTAATTTATTAAAAGTCCATGTAACTGAATTCACTGGACTTGCAAATGAACACGGAATTTCCATTTAATTAAGCCGCTTATCATCTTTCCAAATTCGCACAAATTTTAAAACCTTATCCCATTACACCTGAAATTAGTTTTGAAACCCAGCATTAATTGTTTACCGAGTTTAGCTCTGAACTTTAGCAGCCCATTTCAATTGAAATGAGAACCAATATTGATTAAAATCAACAAACAAAAAATATCAGTCACCAGAGTTCAGATGGACGATTTATCTCTGAGTAAAGACAAAACAAATACCACAGAACGACTAAGGGGATTTCCTGAAATACCATTGTCAAATAACCAAATAGATAGTCTGGTAGCATGGCAAAATTGGTCGCCTTGGAACCTCCTTTGTGTCTGATCTGCTATTCAATACCATATAGAAAATTGTGTGCAAACATTGTTACAATTGAGAATCACTCACAATATGAATACATTGTTATAATATTGAAGTTCACACAAAGCAATGTTACAGAATAAAATATGGAGAAACCTTACTTTTCCAATTTGATTCTTGATTTGAAAAATTATCATTTCAAGCAATTTGAAATCTCACAATATGACAAAGTGGCCTTCTGCTATTTATCTTAACTATTCATTGAATATTCATCTACTTATTGTGTGTTCTTTGTTGATCATGACTCAATTTGAAATACCGGTATATTCCATATTCCATGTGTTGAAAATATAATTTCGAACTGTATTCGGAATATTAGATTACTGGTTTCAGCCATCCCGCATGTTACAATGTAACAACGTAATAAAATTTTTAGGCGGATTATCTAAAGTTGCAAATTCAATACACTAATATTGTTCCATAGACAGACAGACAGGCTTAAAAAAATTTTTTCAAAGAATGTTGTCTATGAAAGATTATCACACATAGCTACACAATAATCAGGCGGCACCTCAAGAATGTATGTCCTAAGGTTAAACACATAGCAGTCTTATCTGATTGAATTACAATACATCATTGTTTCCAACCAGACATGATGATGCAATATACAATATGTAACATAGTTTACTTATTATCACACCATCCAATTCAAAAACCCACCCACTTGAAACTATAATCGCAAATATTAAATCAATGGCGCCGTTGTTAATTAATCCAAACATATAACGGACCAGACTTACAATTTGAAACCTGTTTATAACAGGACAAATAGTGTCAGTGGGTATTTCAAGATCAGAATAAAATATTAAGGTTTGAGATAATAAAAGTCATTTTTCAACAAGCCCATGCATCTGGAACAAATAACTGCTAACTATTGCCATACCAAACATGAACTGGACATCGGATGGGAGTCCTTGGTTCATTGTTCTATTAAACTGTCTTATCTGGTTTTCCCCTCCAATGAGATAAAATCAAATTCTTCAAGGAATATTATTACAAAATTGATTCGATTTGACCCAGAACAACATCTAATATCAGTCTTACTGCCAAAACCTGACAACCATTCTAACCAAAGCATATTATTGAATCATGTGCTTTGTTCTTACTAACATTTGTTAAAACAGTTATCATGCACAACAATATTTTAATACAGAGAAATAAGTAAACTGATATTACTACAGTATTTAGCAACTCAAATTAACAATTTGAAACAAATATGACAATGCATGGTGTTGAACTTGGCCCCACCTACCAAAAAAGTGAGTTTGTCAAACAGTTAGCTATTTTTCTTCAACAACTAAAAACTAATGAAAATCTAACTATTTAGGTTCCAACATAATTATAAAGTATCAAAAAATTTTAAGACACTAATCTGGAATTGTGAATTATTCACAAATTGTGAAGGATTTAGAAATCTTACCTCATCTCTGAAAACATCTCCTGGAAAACTTCTGCATGAATTTCCATTTTGTCTGCATTGATTGTCATTTGTACACCAATGACACTGGAACTCTGGTGAACTCAGGCATGGAAGACAACTAAATGTGAATGTATGAGAGTAATAAACTCGTGTTTAAGTGTAACTTTGACTTGAAACAATAAAACCTTGAAATATGGCCGATTACCGTACTTAAAAAGTGCACCGCGAAATACCAATCCCTATTTTTTTAAATACTCTGAATTAAACTATCTAATGTTGAGTGGTAAAATAAATTCAAACTCGAGTAGAAATTGTAAGAACCATTTGATTTTATATTGATAATTTATTACTCACGATCTGAAGTTCTTGCAGTCATAAAATACTATTTCCGTGCTTGCGATGTTGGTCGGCTCCAAATTTTCTTTTTCAAAATACAGTGATAATGGCACACTGACTTCTGTAATATGAAATGAAAACATTTTCATATAAATTTCATGATCATATATGGCAAATTCATACCAATGATACACTTGTATGATGAACAGTGGAAATATTTAAAATAAAATGCGAGTATTAAATTACTAAATAAAAGGGATGCTATGAATATAGCAAAAGGCAAAACAAAATTAAGTAGTACGGGCATTTTAACTTTCACTGTAGACTACCAGTACCATAGTCTTTCCAATTTCGCCTGACCACCAGATATCTATGATGGTGAACGTGGAACCACCAAAAGGTGCACAATTTCTAATTTCGATGATGTCATCTCCATCACACACAAAAAAACGAGTCCCTTAGATCCCACAGGAATTTTAGAAATAAACAAGGTAATAGCCTTCTAGCGACAACATTAATTCAAAGCAATGGGTCCAGTAATCATTTTTTCATGCAACAAGACAAGTGAAAAATACCAACAAGAACAACAATAACATAATAATAAAACGATCCATAGGTTGACCTTGTGTCCAATAACCTGAAAATATGACTCTTTTAATTCTGAGAGTAGAGACACAATTATGACTGGCTATATAGGACATTCAGTCAAGGCATCATTGTTTATGCACCAAAACCAACTTGCATATTACATTATCTGAATATGGATATATTACATATAATTTTCTCTTGTATTTTAGGGTTAATATTGTCAAATTTGGAAACATGCTTACTCATGCTTACATTTAAATATATTATTAACCAGATATAAATCTACATTTTTTGCTTCAATCTAACTTACCTTTCCCATTCAACTTTGGAACTTCTGATCTAGGTGGTGACATGCAAGTTATAGAGCTTCCTAGATGTCTTGCATTGGTTTTCGATCTTCCTCCACCAAACACACAAGTATAACGACCAGCAGACCTTGGTTCAGGGATATTTGCGATGGTGACTTTGATCTGAAAACAAGAAAAAAACCTTAAATGCATAATCATTGAGTGGTTCAAACGTCTTACAATACATTTCCATAAATTTTATTCTGCAATATTTTGTCTGATCGAAATCAGACAAGCTTATGAGTTGCGTTCGCAATAAGTAGGATTATAATTAGAACCCGGGTTTTTTCAATTACGTGAATAGTTAAGTTCAATTAAAACACTTCACACTTTTTTAAAACAATGAACTACAGCACTTGCCATCTCTAATGAATGATGATCCTAGCGGTTGTTACAAAATGATAAAAACCTCTCAAAAAAAGTTTTATACTAGTCGTACAAATAGAAAATCATGAGTAACATTTTAATATGAAAACACCAAATTCTTTTTCCAAATAATCTGATTCAAACCAGACAGCAGAATCGTGATGATTTATGGTATGTTGATATAGCCTTTGTGAATTACTTGAATAAGGTATTTTATTTGAACTAATACTTGTACATTTCTAGAAATATACCGGAATTTTATTTTATAAATTTATGTCTCAATTACTATTTTATTTCGCATTTAAGTGAATTTTACTATATTAAAATATATACCAATTTTGTTGTAAATTACAACTTGTAATGTAACAACTCTGAACTAAATAAATATCAGAGTAAAAAGATTCAAACAGTGCACGGCTTATAATATCTAAGTTTAGAACATTGTTAAATAATACTTAAATAAGTTATTACAGCACTCAGTGAAATTGTGAAAATTCCTCAAATAATGTAAACTATGTATACAAAGGATGGTCGGATGCATCCTTGTGTGATTCTCATTGTACTAGTCAACTGAGTCAATATATTTTCTATTGTATGCTCTTCGCAGAAAATCTCAATTATTTTCATTCCAAGTAAAAATTATTTATATAATTCCAATAAAAATGTTTAGATAATGAATAATAAAACATAAACAAAGTGTGACAAAAGCAAAGAATTTTTTTGAAATTGGCTTTCATAAAGGTTATCAAAATAGAAGGGGAACACTGAAAAAATACATGTTTGCACATGCCCAATAGCATACATTCCAGACAAGATTAGATGAGACCTGACTAAGGAGATGATAAGGGTAATCATTATGGCTTTGTTATGGCCACTTCCCCTTTCAAAGAATGTGAAAATATACAATATACGGGTGAGTGTGAGGGGATGGAACTAAATTTATTAAAAAATGTACAAGAAAAATATCACTTCTTGCGAGGGATAAACACTGTTATTCATACAAGAATACATTTTTGAATCATATCTATCTCAAATAATAAATTAATAGTCAAAATACTATCGAATTTCAATAAGCAAACGGTGAACTTTACATCTCATCGGTGCTTTATGCTTATTAATTATACTGCCAACACAATAATCCTGGCATATTTGAATATGGTAGTTACCGTAAGTAAAGGCTGATACAAATTAAGACCACTCCGTAATAAAAAAAAACTGCTGTTTTGTTTCAGATTTCATAAATGAACGTATCAATATTTCTAAATGAACTTTTTTTTTTCAAAAACAAAAAGTTTCTTTTAGCATTGCAGAAGCTTCAAAATTATCGAATATTCCTAGAGGTGGGGCCATTGTTGGAGCTAAATCGTTACTGTACTTGGCATGGGTGTAATCAAAATAGAAAGTAATCTTAAGGAGTAATTTATACAATCATTGAAATATCTTGTAAACATAACACAGATAAGCTGGTAATCTACTTGACCTTGAGAGTTGAGAACATTCCAACTTGTCAGCAAAAAAAACTTCAAGTTGGCAATGTACCGTATACATAATGTACTTGCAAATCGGTGTGTGAATGAATACAAAGTGAGCCACTAGAACTTTAGTCCAAAATCAAAAAAAAAAAAATAATAATTGGCTAAGTAGTACCATAAGTAGCAATTCGTAGGTGATTCTAAATGTAGGTACGCATAATGAGCTTTCCTGAATATATTATCCATATGCTGTAGAGTTTGGGAAAATCAACAAATGACTTCAGACCCCAGGTTGTAAAAAAAAATTTATTCTGAGTAAAAAAATCAAATTTTGATAACAACTCTAGCCTCTATTTATTAATAGACTATTAAGATTAAGAATACTTGATAAACTTAATTAATGAAGTTTTTGAGTTTCTGTGGAAAATTATTTTGACTTCTATTATCACCATTGAAAGTCTAAAATTCTGATTCCTGGCACCAAGGGTTTTAAAATTTCGACTTGACGACTGTTGAAACATGTAGTAACAACCACAACCACGATTTGTCATTTATTGTCCTGTAATAAATTCAGGCGAGTGTCAATCACCCACAAACGATGATAAAAGTATCCCGGCGTGTTAAATCGTGGCATATCAACTAAACACTTGGGCACAAGGGCAGCGACGCGTGGCCAATTTGACCGCGGAATTTCGTTCCGTCCGGATGTGTACGCTTTCCCGTAACACGAAAACAAGCTCATAACATGATCCTCGTCAACATTTTGCCGTTTTATTCGACATAGGACACGCGACGTCATGGTCTTTCACTGGTTTAAAGAATGCCGAAATTACGTATTCCGGAAGATGTAACTTATCGGCACGATACTATAAAAATATCATATTTATTTCATAAAAAAATGTATACGTTTGAATCTGGTAATGCCAAACTTTAATATGTAATTTCTGTTCGTGAAGTTTTAGGCGAATTTTAGTTTGAAGCGGTTACATTTTTGGTGTCTGTTTCACTATACATCGCATTTCCCGATATCAGATTTAAATACAGCCGAGGCGGTTTCTGATGGGCGGCCAACTTCACCAATCGGCAATAAACAGCGCAATTAATGAGGAATGTCGGGTATACGTTTGATTCTAATAATGCCACACTTTAATATGTAATTTCTGTTCGTGAATTCTTAGGCGAATTTTACCTTGAAGCGGTTACATTTTTGGTGTCTGCTTAACTATACAGAGCATTTCCCGATACCAGATTTGAATAGAACCATGGCGGTTTCTGACGGGCGGCCCCTTCACCAATCGGCGATAAACAGCGCAAGTAATAATTAGTATCGGGTTGTAAATGCGGAAGATCGGTGTCAATAAAATACAATTTAGACTCCTTCTAATGTTCATCTACTAGTAGTAACATATTCTACTGCGATAAAACAGTCCAATCATTTAATGGGCTATATAACGACAAGTTTAATATGTTACTCCTATTATATTTCAATAAACAGGGCGTTTACATTGAAGTGGGAAATTTTCTTACAGTCAAGTAGCCTATCTTATGTGTTTGTTTGTTATGAGTGGCATATTTGTTTCTCGCCGCAGGCATGAAACGTGACACCTGACGTGGCTGAGGCATCTTCTATCGCATATTAAAATTGTTGCTTTGTTAGTTCAAGCATGGCACAATATGAATAGAATGATTTGCACAACAAAGGCCCGTGATAAGACGAACATAATTAAACATTTTTAAACTTGGTAATAAACTTGAAGAATTTCTAAATATGATTACTTATGAAGCATAACATTGGCGGCTACACCAAGATATGTGAAAATAAATAAGTTTGCCCTAGTTTCAGAATATTCTAAGTATTATTAAAATAGATGTGAATATTACATATGAATTATAAGTTATTGACTTTTATCGTATTTTAATTCTAGACATAACGTTATAAACTATTGTGCTCATCCTAAAAATTGTCACTTTTCAAATGAAATCGCTATTTCAATTTAAAATACATACTGGCCGATTGTCATGGGACAAGTTTTAGGATTGTTCCATGCATGACTCGGTATTACCTGGTATATATTTTCGAACCAAATTGAAATTTTAACCATGAACGAAGACAAATAATAGGCAGTTTGGAACGAATTGTTACGTAATGGACATTTGCCGCCAAAATGATTAATTCTCATAACGCCAGTATATCGATCATCGAAAAATCCACGGCCCGATAAAAATATCTACGATTATTTCATATGAATTGGGATCACGTATGGCCACATAATGCGTGTGAGTAAAATAGGCAACGATATTAGAATGGAGAAAATTTCTTTCTTGAGTGAGGTCATCTTGTTTACTGCATAATCTCGAGGTCAGTCGAGCGAATGAATACGTGCAAAAATATGTTTGTTAAACGGGAAAGTCAATAGTCCTCAACATTATCTTTGTATTGCTAAAATTGCACACAGTTAATAATATCTAATTACTTGAATCGAATTGAATACTCACAGCGCCGCTTAAATCAAATAAAAATAAAAACAGAGAGCGAACTATTTACAACTGTTTATTTCAATTAGGTACGGTCTATTCTTGTCAATGTCAATCCATATGGACTCGATATAATAGACAATCCGAGCTTAATAACGAAAGAACTAAAAAGCTTTCCCCTAATCGCGAATTATTCAAAATAATTCGGAAGCACGGATGAATAAATAAGGTCAAAATTATGTCAAGCCGCACAGAGAAATTAAGAGACATCGATAATTTCGTGTGAAAAAATGGACCGATTACGACTTTCTACAAAATGTAACATTCGTTGAACGGTGCAGAAAATACTCGCGAATTTAGTAAACAAAGGTTATCTAGATGCATGCGCGGACAATATATAATTTTGACAAAGCGCGAACAAAACTATGGCGTAATTCAGATGAAAATGTGTGCGACAGATAGGGCGTGTCGTTTAATTCGCGCGAATTCCCACCGGGCGTCAAAAGTATTTCGGCAGAAAATCTGTTCCAAAAACAACCAAGTTCAAACCAACAGACGTCGTCATAAATTATGCATTAATTTCACGCCGAACGGGAAAGTCAAAAGGCGCCAACAAATAAATGTACTAATGGCATATTATTTCAAATGCCAGTGTTACGAATAACTCTGACAAAATGTAATTACCTTTAAGAGTAAGCTGAACTAATAAATCCATATATTTACAATTTTACAACGCCCAATAACAACTATGGCTTATATGAAGAAACAAGTCAGTTTACAGGACTTGGCTTTGAATTTAAATAGCCAGAAAGTCAGGTTACAGAACATGACTGGATTTAAACAGTAAGAAAAGTCAAATCCCTACGAATCTATCGCATAATAGATGTATGTACCTATATATATATAATAAATACTGTCCGTTTCCGACATTTGTGTAGAGTTCTACAAATTGGCGAGCTGGCACTTGTGCGACAAAATGATGTAAGGTACGTTTATTGGCAAATCAATCAGTCCCAAGATAAAGCGAGTAAAACGGAATTAACCACGATTACATATTCCAATATGGTTGTCTTCAGCCCCAAGGCAATGAATGTTTTCGTATATGCGACAAAGAATGTAATGAGTCCATTGTACATAGCTTATGAGTGTTATTTTGATGGGGTGATGTAAGAGTTACTGCGCTTTGTCATTTTTCGCCGGGTTGGCTGTATTATTGAACACAAGATGCCGTGAAATAGCGTTATTTGGATAAGAATGTACCATTATTTCTATTGTTTCCGCACATTCCACAGGTATAAAAACGGGTATATATAGAAATAGTACAAAGCAATTCACCACTATATGATTAATAAACTTAATAAAAATTTTATATACAGTTTGACATGTAATAAATAATTATAACATAAATATCATTGAGCTTAATGTCTTACATATACTGATTTTGACTATTTATTTGCTTTCATTGATTATTTTTAGCGTTTGTTACGCTGATTATGAAGTTGAAATAAAGTATTTTACTCATGAGTTATATGAGGATGAAAATATACTTAGACAACTTTTTGTCCAAAAGTATTTCATAGCTGTACTGTTGTGCACAATAAAGTAATTTGTCATATAACATGCACCAAAAGAGCAAAAACAAAAATAAATTTCAAACGTCTGGTATTTCGCACTGCAGATCAATCATAAATATATAGACATAAATATTTATAGAATTAGAAACAGGCCACAGTATAGTTACGGTATTTGAAAATTCTCAAACTACCCACTTTGATTCTGATTAACTTAATTTACCTATGAATTAATTGTGTTTCAGAGTCAACAATACATGGTACAATACAAAGATCTGTCTAAAGTACTTACCACTTGAGAATCAGAAGAAACTGGAAGAGCAGATGGAAAAACTTCTTTCAGCTTAGGGCAATTGCTTGGATCTGAAGTTGCATAAGTGTATGTGCCCTTAGCACACTCAGATTCAGCAGCACATCTAAAGTTTATTATTAAGAATTATATATTACATATAAGGAATGACTAAAACAAGACATTCCACCATTCCGAATACATCTGAGTAAATATTTCTGAATATGGAATTTCCAATACATACATAATTGTGGTCAAGTTCATGTTGACAATTACATAATTCACTATATGTACTATCACTATATTACTATTTATGCTGATCATATCTAGAACGACGCAAACATAAAGGGCATTGGTTTCTCTGTGTTATTTGTTACCAGTTGAGATATTGTATGTTTTGATCTACTTGTCTGATGGCTCAAAATTCACAATTATTAAATAAAACTGTTTAAAATTATTTTTAAATTCAAAAATTTACTATATCAAATTCAAATATAATAAATTTTGAATGTATTCAACTATTTGATTCGTTTTGGACATCCTTGAAGTTTACATATTTTTGATAATTCAAAACTAGGAAAATTTCAACCATGAAATTCCACCCATAAACCCACCCAACTTATTCCTCCGCCTTCCCCCTCCCAAGTTCTGCCGAGGGAATTTTACTGGAATATATGAAATATTCTACTCAGACAAATATAAATTTTTACCTCCATAAAAGTATTTTTTTTAAATTGATTTGTTACATGATGCCATATGTTTTTTATTTGTTTTCAAAATTTCCATTGATGGAACTTGTAGACTACTGATAAATCATTCATAAAAGCAAGAATGCTAGGCAAATTACTGTAGTAAAATAAGTCTTTCATGTACCGGTATTGCATTTTCTAAGATGAAGAGGCCGGATAGAAATGAATTAGTGAATTACACTTACTTATTATCTAGTGTGCACCATCCACAGAATGGATCACCAGCATTCAGACAATCAAAACAAGTTGAAAATCTTGAACATTCGTGAAGATGAAGACTAACAAGTTTCCGTTCAGACATTGCATATAATTTTGTTAAATCATTGTCCAATCTCATATCAGCAAGGATTTGAGGTGATCCAAGATTTTTCCAATTGAAACTATCACTATGCGAATCTATTCGAATTTCTTCATATGGCTTTGTTAATCTGTTTCCTGATGGCTTGGAATCCACTTTAAGCTACAAAAACGACAAGAAAATAAAAATAAATAAAAAATTAACACATCTTCAAAATCAAATATTACATTGATTGAAATATATATTTCTGATAGTGAGTTGAATACAATTTTTATGGCATCATTTTTCAAAGATTATTACAAGGCATGAATTGTATATTTTTCAAAACTGAAAAATCAACATTGACTGAAAGTCGTTAAGGAGTGGTGTAATCGCGACTACTGTTTTAGAGCATGAGTAGCGTAGGCTAAAAAATAAGGAGAATATTCAACGAGGTGACCGTACATTTGAACCCATGTGTATATCCGCGGGTTCACTCTATATGCGGGTGCTAAAATCCATGGGTTAGGGTTAGTATGGGTTCAAATTTCCGCAAAACAAAAAAATTTCCATAGGTGCAATAGTATGCAGGTGCAATTGTCGTGGGTTCAAATGTACAGGAACCAATCAATGAATATTTTTAGAGACCCTCTTGTTTAGAAGCCTACATTTGCATGAATAAATTAAATTTGAATATTGAGGGCAGGAAATAATACAAGCTTTATTTGTGTGAATTAGTAACAATTGGGATATATTATTTCCTGAATTTTTCCTCATAACTTATATGATGATAGCTTATAAACTGCTTAGACAGAGAAGAAAAAATAATCTTACTTTCAATATTCGTCCATCTTTAGTTCCCATGAATGCAACTGTATGAGCACCTTGTTTTGATACAGCAACCGCAGTGATAACAGTATCATTGCTTTGAAACACAGTATAACCGAGTTTTGTCACATTGCTTTGTACGAGACCAGCTACATCCCAAATATATTTGCCAGCACAGAGAGGTTTTTCGACTTCGAGAGGCTTGAGGTAAATGAAACATTGAATAAACAATAAAAACATGTTTCTGTATATACTTTCCAGACTGTTTTCATTTTTGTATGTAAAATAAAAGCCCATAAAGTCCAAGCCCATAAATTTAGTTTCAATTTAATTTTACAATTCATGAAAATATACTTGCCATGATTTTTCATTCTCTTAGATGTAACTACTTTAAAACTCAAATTATATTGATCTTCCCAAGATCAATAAAAAGGTAATAAACAATGCAAATAGGTTCAATAGGTCGAGCAATATACGCGAACAAAGGCTCCATTTTTATTATACCAATTGCCTGGTGACAAGTGGTTGTCGCCCAGCGTTTGTTTTTAGATCCATATCTACTTATTTGAAACATTTTCCAGCTTTACATAATAACTGGACATGAATTGGAAAAACTTAAATGAAAACTTGAACTTACAATTCTATCACAAGGCAGTGGACTCTCTCGTTGCCATTCTACATGATTTCTCTTTTTTCCACTAAGGCAGGCTTTCGCAATATCATAATAAATATCATCCAATTCATAAAGAGGGAAAATAGCAAGAGTACTCCCACCAGCATTTTTGCCTTCTGTAGCAAAAGATGCAAATAATACATCAGGATTCGTTCCTCTAATTTCATTTTTGATACCTAGGCTCGCTTGCAACAAACGACCAACTTGAGCAGTTGTAGAAGCAATGACTCTCTTTAATTTCGTTTCACTACCGTCTTCACTCAGCCAAGATAAGGACGCTATTGGTATTTCAAGATAGGAATTCGTAGTAGACTTGTCATCTTGTCGTAAACATACTTGAGCCACATATGAATGTACTTCACCATTATATACCTTACCACCTTTCAAGTTTGGATAATGCAACACGAAGTAACCGTTCTGGTTACCTTCAAAGGCACTGATAAAATTAACTCGAAAACCCTGATCAGCATAAACTTCTTTGGTCAATAATCCAGATAGTTCTTTTTTATTCAAATCAGAGGAAAACATTGTAACATCCATGTTATTTTGTGGCATTCTCCTACTTGCGAAGGTTGGAAATTGGTCTGCATCAGAAATGAGTTTTGAGTCAGCTTTTGTTCTCGATGCCCCAACATACAGAGATTTTTGTGTACCACCCCTGCCCTCATTGGCTATAAAAGCAACAGTATTTTGTTGCAAACCTGTGCTTGCAACAAAATCATTTGCACGAAAATCTGGTAAATCAGTAAAGTCATTTAATAATTTTTTAATAGCTCCAAGTTCTCTTAGTTGACACAATCCTTGTCGAATACTCCCACATGCTATGATTCTTTTATTATCATAATCAACTTTGAGTAACTTATTTAAGTTATTTGTGTATTTCTTATCATTACTTCCACACGGTGCATGTGGATAGCATGTTTCACTGACTTCTTTTGGCCCAGTTACCGCAGTTTGCTCTTTAGATAAACTGGCATCAAATTGGTATATTTTATTAATTGCACCAACATAGAGTTTGTTGTTGCCAGGATCATATTCCAAATGTTGCAAACTGCATAAAATTTCACCACAGTATTCCGCTGTAAACACTTCTATAATTGGCGATTTTGCATCACATTTTACAACATTCAGAACGAAGTATAAGAGCCAGAAAGCTTCCAGTGATGACCACGTATATCTTCCTAATAGCATATCTTTTCAATAATGCTCCTGCTACTTTGAAATCATATACAAATCCACAATTCCAATATCCATATCAAAACCTTTTCAACATTATATTTTTAACTTGAACAAGTTTATGCTGAAACTGAGCAAATTTCTGCAAAAATGTAATTTTAATATTGAAATCTCATATAAATATTTTTTTACTGTGCATACTTTGCGCAATAAGAAACAAAGGATGATTAAAAATATACTTTCCATATAAGAAATCTCACTGTTCCCATAATCAAATATTCTAGAATATTGTATTTAGAAAAACACAATGAAAAGCTTTGATTTTTTTTTCATAATATGGCAAACATCTTTAAGATAGCCTATTCACACAATCTTCATTTTCAAACATTTTTGCTGGAAATGAAAACTATCCAGAAATCGATACACATTCTCCGTAACTTTAGTTGACAACAATTACCTTGTCAAAACCAATAAAATCGAAAATATAGGATGATATAGAAGATATATATATTTGTTTATTTTAAAACAATCAAAATTCTGTCTGCCTGTAGGAGTCAATAAAAAGTGACTGATCACAAAAACTGAACGAGTCAAAGCATGCTTTTACGATCGCCCAACATGGCATCTGTAGCGACGATAAAGAACTCACCAACGGGCAGCGATCACTCTCATATCGGGATCTTTGCAATGAGAAAACAAGAGCAATAGCTTGCTCGATTTCGGGTGATCGTCTGCGCGTCTTGAGTGACAGTTTGAATGGCCTTATTACACCACTGTGACATCATAGTTACGATAATTTTTGGATGACGCAGTCAGGTGATGGTTAGGATTGACATATGCAAAGATTGTTTTGCTATGCCCAATGCCACTAAAAGTACTTGAGGTACGAAACTACACTAGACCCGAAATTTGTCTTATTCCTGTGTTCTCTTTTTGGGGGTGAATGGTTGCGCTCGAGCATGGGTTTTAATTGGGGCTAACTTTACTCTTCTCAAACGTCAAAAAAATAGTGACAAATGTTAATATCAAATTTCTTTCAGGCCTAGACTATGTCTGTAAATGTCCATCAACATCTCAAAATATAACCAGAAACCAGTTAGTCTAATTCTGTAATTATGGTTAAAGATAGCCCACATAAACACTCAAAATAACATTACCCCTATAATAATATAGTATAAACCAGACTATAAGTCATTAGAATTTCTTCGAAAAAGCTTAATTTCACATTCCATTAATTTTATGAAAAAATTTACACAATCCTCTGAAGTCCAAAACTCGAGGTAAATTGGAAAATCTTACTAGAAGTAAATAGTCTACTCTTATCTGGCAGCAAAAACGGACAATTTAGTCACGCGGTCAATTGGTATTTGAAACAAGTGATAAGTCATTAAATCTCATAATTGAAAACCCATATCAAGCAACTAGCGCACCAGACCGCAAATAGCGCAGAGGCCAAACGCCCCTCGGCAACTGAGAACTGAATGCAACGAAAGCACGAGGATTCCGAGGAATGCGCTTTGGAAGATGCCGCCGTGCACCCAAAAAAGTGAAACTCTAGCTCCAAATAGCGTTTTTTTAAATACAGTACTGAGAGAATAAAAAAATGATATACTGTACAGTACTCGGAGAAAACGAAGAGCAAAGAATGTATACGTCCGTAACTGGAGATATCGAAAAAAGCATAGCGCATTGGGATATATTGCCGAGAATTTTGGCGTATGCAGCAATATTCCACAATCGCAATTGGAATGATCCAGGTGAGCCAATGAGCATTGGGTGAGCATACGGAATAAAACTTGTAGAACCTTTCTTGGCAAAGAAATATATGCAGATTCTTGCGGTGTGAGTGCTGGGGATTGTGAAATATTTAATAAGGACAATTGCTAACTAAAAATAAATAAATTACTGTAGTGTATCGTCAGTGACGCAGCGCAGCCAGGGCTACAAACACCGGTTCCATCCATTATCTCTGAACCCACGCACATTTGCACCCAGGACAATTGCACCTGCATACTTTTGCCCCCACGGACTTTTGAACCCATCAACAATTGCACCCATATATTTGCACCCATATACAGATTGCACCCATGAACATTTGGGTGCCCCCGAAGTATTCGTACTATGATAGCGCACATACTGAACATAGTATGTGTACCAGGTTAGGGTTGTTGCACCCACGGACATTTGAACCCGTGTACATTCGCACCCACGGGCATTTGCACCCGTGGACATTTGCACCCACTGATCTTTGAACCCATGTAACCTATATTTGCACGCGAACATTTGCACCCGCGGGCATTTGCACCCGCGCACATTTGCACCCCGAACATTTACACCCGCGGGCATTTGCAACCGCGCACATTTGCACCCGCGTACATTTGCACGCACGTACTTTTCCACCCGCGTTCATTTATATCTGATGTTCATATGTGTGTTTTTGTTTATAATGTGGCTCTTCACGGTTATAAAGTACAAAACGCGGCTCTTGGCCTCTGACTGGTTGGCCACCTCTGATGTAGAGCAAGGGTTCACATCATTTCATACACCGTCGATAGGCTTTTAGCCCTTATGATCCTCTCCCTTTTTTTATCAATTTATTGGTGTTTATAGTGTTGTTTTTATTAGTCAATTCCGAATCCTATTATGTTCAACAATTTAGGCTCAACAAAGTGAAAATATCCTTCGGAATACCCTTATCAAGCAATGAAACTAGGAAGAACGGGAGGTTTTCTTGTGAAGGAAAATGTAAAATCAGTTCTGCACACAGCATTGTGGCCTCACCGCTCACCGGTATGTTAGTCGTTGGGCCCCACCAACTGAAAATTCAGATATTGCTTTATTTATTTAAATTATCATAAAATTTAAGAAAATGCTCAAGAAATTAATAAAAAAATTATTCAAAACATATGGCATCACAATTGATGTTTCCTCGAATTCCTTGTTTACTTCGTAACATTGGCCAAACAGCAAGATGCAAAAAAGAAAAAATCGGTTTGTTAAAAAGGTAATGGGTTCATTTTGGTACGTCATAATGCACAAGATGGAAACAACTGATGTTAGTAACGTTACTGCGCTTGCACGGGGCGGCAGGCGTGACCTACAAAGCGCCACTCCCGATTCCGATGGTCGGCCGTCTCTGTCGCTTGTTTTCAAAAACGTAGTGCGACTCGCGGAGAATTTGGTTATAAGAATGTTATCGTTATATTTATTAACGTAATGCAGGAGGTTGAGCGACCTGTGGTTAGAAAAAAATTTGCACCGGCTACAGCGAATTTGTGTTGCAGAGCTAGGATATATTCCTTTTATAATAGGTAATCGAACGTACAATTAGCAATAGTGTTACAGGAGTTGTTCAGAATTATAGAAATTTTATAGAGTGAAGCAAGATTCAAAATGAATGTCAATGTAGCCAACAATTCATAGTTACTACAGCTAAATAAGAGTACAGTAACGATGTGCTTTCCATATTACCGATGATAGTTCCCTCTTAAAAATAAAACAGTCATTGATTGAGTGTTGAGGCTTATTTTTATGACATGTTGAATGGTATATCATAAAAACTAAATGACCGCTAAACAATTCCAACCTGTATCACTTTTTCAAAGTAATGCCGAATCTCTTTTGGATCATGGCCGAAAAATGTTTATGACGATAACGTACATTTCGAAGAATATTTTTAATTAAATACCGTAAATAACTATTCTGGATTTATACCATGGGGGTTTCTTCATTCTTCCCCAGTGCCATTTCCATGTTACTTATCTCTGGTAAGTATTTTTGAAGTTTTAAAATGTTGTCTTCTGCTAGGATAATTTCCCAATCCAAAATTTTCAAAAAGCTACTTTACGTCTGTAACGTCCTATTTAGTTATTTGCATATTTCGTTCATTTTTGATTACACAATTTCAGAAGCCTGCAAGATTATGTAAAATTATTTTAGATATTTTTGATTAAAATACTTGAGCCCAGCCAAAATTTCCGGTTATGAGTAACGAGATAATCTCGAAACAACAGGGTGAATTACACAAACGTTTTCTTAGCGAATGTTTTCGCGCTAACGAATATGTTTCGACATAAGCGCGTGACCTAAAAATGTCATAGTAGTGAAGTAAAAGCAACATTTATGATTCGACAAATTGTTTCGAAATGTTCTGTACTAAAGTAAATAACCTTTTTGTATTTTCAGGTATTGTGTTATGTTCCGAAGATGATTTTTTCAAATACAACAAAGCAATATATGAAGGTCCTTCCAACATCACGGTAATGCAAGGCGAGACTGCTCGCTTTGGGTGTCTTGTTCACAGTGGTATTGAAGACATTCGTGTTCAGTGGTCAATTGATGGAGTGTTCACTGGAATTTGGCCACCTCCTCGTACGTAGGATTTTATAATTATTTTCATTCAGAAGTCAACAATTTTGCGCAATCGATTTGTATATTTCATCACCCTCAAAACGGACAATTTTGTTGAGAGTCGGCAGGCTATTTTTTGTGATTTAATCAACTATCTGAATAGCTTGTTGTGTTCACGGAATGTTGAACGCTCTCTTTACAAGATCTTTAAGTACGAGTGTTTGGCAATATTTTTAATCTGGCAGTGAGATAAAACTAAACTTCGCATGTATTTAGTGGACTAATATCTCCTTACTACAATTTGCTTGTTATAATGACGCCAAACTTAACTTATATATATCAATACGTACTGTGAACAGTTTATGGTAAACAGTTTGTAGTCAGCCCATCCCCGCGCCATGTCCATCTTTATTTCGCTCGCAATTTTGGAAGCACGCTGCATACTGTTCAAACCATTTTTATTCCACAAGATAAACTTTGCCCCAGTACCTACCTGCTTTTGTGCTTAACCTTAAAATAGAGTAAATTCCCTATTGCAAGTCGGAAGAATCTTACGATGATACGGGTTATTAGTTACTACGTCAAGAGTTTCCATTCTCCGAATAATATTTAATTCTCCGAATTTTAAAATTGACTTTCATCTCTACAGCTGGTCATACAAGATTGGGATTTTCCTATCCAAAAGATGGTGACAAGTCTCTTGATGTGTATGACATCGAACTTACCTCCGCGTCCTGGCAAAAACACGAAGGCTTGACATTTGAATGCCAAGTCATTAGCGTTGCGCGATCCGATGTCGCAACTCTGACAGTGATAGGCAAGTATTACCTGATTATTCACTGGATTGTATATCGAATATTACTGATCAATCCCTTTGGTTTCAGCATTAATGGAAATAATTATTTCCAGTAACTGATGTATTGGATTATTTGTAAATAAATGAATTATAAAACAAAAGTTAGCTCATCAGTACCACAATGTTGTTGACAAGATAGCCAGCAACTAGTCTGGTGTATTGACTGAAACTTTATCACGTGAACAGTTCGTTTCATTTGTAATTAATTCCATTCACCAAAACTGTTAAACATTGAACGGATTACTGATTACTCATATAATTTTATGTCCAATTTTCCAATCACAGTCAAATATAATGTGACCTGACCCGAATGGTATTGGTAACTTATCAGCAAATATATTTTATTTTTTGTACTCATCGGCGTAAATTTGATGCGAGTTGATGAGTTACAGTCGGGAGTATTTCATTTGAATGATAAGATAAGCCTTCTGTATATCCAGTGCCTACGTCTCGACTCGATATGATACCTGCTCCAAAAGATGGTGTGATTTTTTCCCCACGAAGAGATCTTATATCTGTAACGTGCGAGACGAATTATGCCACGTCGGAAGCTGTTATAAGCTGGAAGATAGGTATGTAGTTCGTAGTTGAATTTTTCAATCCTTTTAATTGGGCGCTAATTCTTTTTATATTTACTAACCCAGTTTGTGCGTCGCGACATACTGTGGCGTCTTGTACTATTTCAGAATGTGTCACGAAATATAAATTCATTTCCGAAAACTCGTTTCTTATGTGCCGGCATTTTGAAAATGTCATAAAACTATAAAAATAGATAAAATTAATTTACTTTTTTTTTTCAATCGCGGTACGGTCGTTTACATGCACGAAAACAAGTTCAACTGTAGTATCGATTACACTTACATGAAATGTTGAACTCTTTCTTATCGTAATTGTTAGGTTAATAAAGTCAAAACTTTTCAATGTGTGTTATTGGGAATCTCTGCGCTAACCTAAACTACTCATTTTGAACAACCTCCGTGTAATAATCTCGATGCACATAGGCCACCACCATACTGGAGTAAACCACTATTATATTTCTAAATCAAATATGAATCAGGCTAGTAATGTTATTAGAACCCTGAGACCGCCGGTAAGCTCATATGAGCGACGGGTAACCTACTGTTAATATCGCTCTTAGCTATTTATTGACGTAATGCACTCATAAGAGAGAAGCGATTGACGCAAAGTGCGAATCGTATAAATAACCTCGATTTTAAAATCGCCTATCAGATGTCTGAAATTGTTGACGGGACTCAATGAACTCCTTTATTATTGGTTTAGCATGTATTATCAGTCATACATATCATCCCTGGCGCTGTGATGTTTTGATAAATATGATTTCAACTGCACCATACTTGGCAGAGGTATCGAGATTTTTTGTATGTGAAAAAAAACGTAAAATTAATGGTAAGTTTCACGCGTAACTGCGCGTATTGAATTGTTTACGTCTTTCTACGCGCATTTCCGTCGAGAAAAGTGACATTTTTTGCATGGGGGGGGGGGGTCTGTGCAGTAATAATTAGAGCTGTGACGTCATCAAAAATGTTAATTGAAGCCTTGAACATGATAATTCTGTAAATACAATTGTGTAACCATTTTCAACCATTTATGCTATAATAGTCGTTTTGGTATTGTTCTGTTGGGGAAAACTTTACGAAAACGTTGAAATAAAATTATTTAATTAGGAATTAATCATTAACCCTCTACTGTACACAGAATATTTCAAGGTCAAGGTTTTTCATTGAAAATTTTCGAAATTTTTTTGCATAAATTTTTTTTTTTGGAGGAGTGTGTTTTAAAGATATATTGCTGTATAGAGCTCTAGCTTTAGCACACGCTTTTAAAAAGCTTCAGGGCTTGATGGTTGACAAAAAAAAATAATTTCAAAAATACCCATGCAAAATGGGTAGGGGTTTGCGCCCCAAGAAGGATTTATTAACATAGCACTAAAATAAGTTTGACCAGGAGTGAAAAAGATTTTGGTAAAAGTGTTTTAGATCTGCGAAAATCTGATAAATGCTATCTTTAATCCAGAAATTTAATTTATCCAGAAATCAATGTATATTTCGATATTTCATTTTCAAATATAACATCATGATTAACTGCTAGATGCACTTAAAATTATCATTTTTTATAATTCATTTGTACCAAATTCCAATAAAATTGCGCTCAATCGAGTTGCAGAACGGTTGCACAAATTCTGTATAGGCGTTGTTATCTGTTGCTATAAGAAAATGAGGTACTCCTGAAGTATGCGCAACAAGATGTCGCACGACCTGAATCGTAACCTGGTACACAACCTGAGTTAGAAGTCAGAAATCCCGACTTTCGAAATTTAAATTTCATCTCTATCTCTAAAAATTCGTCTCTAGCTCTAACTCCACTATAAGCAAAACTCGCCAAAGTGCAACTCTACATCCTTGCTTTATATAGCAATACCTACTTTAACAAACAGATGGAAACGTTCCACACGCTGACGAAGTATCAACCCGAAAGCTGAACATAACTTCGAAAAACGGAAAATCGAATCTAACCAAAGTTATCTCTGAAATAAGTCGACAAATTATCATTTCCGAAAATTCGACTAATGTGAATTTGTCTGATTACTCCAAAAAAGAGGAATTAACCAAAAGAAATGCCAAGGAAACAATGATGTGAGTATAGACATAGATCACATCATATATCATCAAATGATTTATAATTTTCTAATTTTATTCGAAATCTAAACATAAGGTTATCTCAACTAAGATTATTCATAATAAAACAGCTAAGAAGCAAACGAGTTTTGCCAACGCTTATAAAAACTTATATAGTGTAGGAATAGGATAGTATTTCCATATCTATCCCGAGGGGAAAGAAAGCCGACAAGACGTATTAATCATATAGCGAACCACGGCCACTCGTCCGTTCACCAGTCCATGTCGGGTATGGGATTAGTTAGCCAGTTATTTCTTTCGGGCGCATGGACTCGATAGTAGAGGAAGTCGTAACCGACCATCATCGGTTGTTCCCAAAGCTTGACAATATTCACCACAGGTAGACACTTTATCAAATCTGATGCTTCCTATCAGTACGATTTTTACTAAATTTACACTTGTCACATTTTATACGATATACATATAGCCTTTATTTTTTTACCTTCCCTGAAGTCGAATTACAAGTTTGCACTTGATTGATATTTTCGGCAATGGATATAGATTGCTCATTTTCAATGTGAAAATATTTTATTTTCGGAATCCATTCATCCCGTTCAGTTGTTATATTATTTATTGTTTACCTACAGTTTGAACAAATTCTCGTTTTTGCAGACAAAATCTAGAAAAAAGACGTTTATTGGAAAGTATGTATGAATCCGTTTATCATGTAACTTGTGAAGCAGATAGCGAAAACTTGCAGTCTGGCTCGATCTTACGAAGTTCGGCATGGATAGTGGCAGAAAGAAAAGAGTTACTTCATCACCGTGAGTAGTCACTTGAAAAATGCTTTGTTGGCAACACAATTACATAATATAAAACGTGTATAAATTATTCTATGAAGTGTTATGTAAAACTCAACTCGAGGTTGTGATGTATAAATACCGTATTTGTAGTTATTTAAACATTGCTTCAACAGGACTATATCTGTAAACAGTGTAAAGCCTAGCTATCCGGCCAATAGGACGTAATAACAAAACGTAAATTTATACTCAGGTGATAGTATTCAAAATAAGGCGCGAAGATAAAAATTGTTCGCTTGCGCCCTTTTTCCCGCATGGGATGGGTTTTTCAAATGACTAAAGTCTATCGCATCGCGTCATTGTATATTTTTTTCCGAAATTGACTTCTGAATGCTTTTATGCAAAAGAAAAGATCAGTCAGTGTATTTCTGTTAGGACGGAAATTGAAATGGTAATTTAACATTAGATTTTCGTTTAGCTTCTCGGTTCGCCAAATCCAATAACATTTATCTTAACATTTACTCACAAAAATACTTCTTTGTATGCAGGTAGTACAGCAAAAAAGGAAACTGTTTATGATTACAACAACATATTATATATAACGCTTGCATGTGGCTTACTTCTTGCTGTAGTTATTTTGGCAATTGGTTGCTTCGTTATAAGGAGATGCCCAAACAGAACAACCAGAAGACCGGCGGAAGAACAAGGTATTGGCGAATGGTACTGTTGCAATATTGGACACGAAGTTAGCCCATGAATGGTTTTGTTATTGTGTTGTTGTTGTGAAAAAATCGTTTCGTGTCAATTACTGGTAACTGGACCAATTGTTTTGATATTTTCAGTGGTTAAAGCTTGATGTTGTCGCTAGAAAAGCTGTTATTTTTATTCATTTTTGTATTTTAAAATGTCTGTGGGCTTTACTGAATTCGTTTTTCACTTTGAAGTCTTGTGTGATGGAAGTCACACATGTCATCAAAATAAGAAAAGTTGCGTGCCGTGGTTCCGTGATCACATCTTAGTGGTATGGTAGCCAGGCTAGCGGTAATGTTCGTTTTCTAGACTCTTACCCACGCCTGTAAATCTGTCTGATCGAAAATAGTTGTCTTGAGTTCTACATTTCGTTTGCTGCGTCACTGTAAACTCCTTATTTATCAGTCATATTCACGTGAATAAACAAAAAAATGTATATATATACAGTATACACTCCTCCTGCAAGCATGCATCACATTTAAAGTTAAAGTCTAATTGGGAGCTCAATGTATTACCTGTCACTTTCAATCAACTTCATACTGTTATTAAATCCATTTTAAACTGAAGTCACAAGTTTTAAATCAAGTGCGCGTAAATACTAATAAGTGGTCAGAAAGTATTCGAATGTATAATGATCTATCATACTTAAAAATATATCACTCAACTTTTTATGTTTATTATGCATCATATAAAGACGTGACAGCGGGCAATTCGAAGCTAATATACATACCCGACCAAGGAATTGCGTCAAGCGTTGGCTCACAAGATCGTTTCAGCGATGGCGATACACTGCGATCCGGAAGCCATGTCCATATGCTGCACGGGCAAGCTGATGTAACAGAAGGTGAGTAAACATATTATTAACATATAGATTTGAGTAAATATTTTGCTTATCTTCTCGCAGAGACGCTGTTACATAGAGAGAGATATGCGAGACTATTGCTCGACTCTGCGAGGTAGCCCGTTTCAATATATTACTTGTCGCATACCCTAATAAAGATATGGAATCGTATTCAACCTCTTATATTCTTTATAATTAGGCGAAATTGTAATGATTTTTTATCCAGGCGTAAGATGTAACGTCCCAACTTTTGATACGTTTGCTCGGGGCGATGGACTTCTATCGACATTAGAATCAGAAGGGCGCGACCAGAGCAAAAGATCAATTGACGGATCCATGAAATCGGAATCATCATCCACCATTAGAAATTCGACATTAGTAAGACGACGTGAACTTTATATTTTCATGGTCGAAAAAAAAATCGTTCGATGTTGTGAGCTATATCAACCCTTTTATTCGGAGGTGTTTTCGGTTTTATTTCGGTTTCGAAACATGGTCATCACTCTCTACGTACAATAGGTATTCTAACGAACATAAGTGTCAATACAAATTTTAATAGCAATATCGGACAGACAAAATTTGTCATTCAGTATTTAATACTGAATGATGCCAATTAGGCTATTGTTTTGATTCAGTTGGACTTCTCCCGTAAAAATGTTTTAATAAAAAGTACCCTCCTTACATTATCAGCAATAATGAATATTCGATATGCACAGAAAAGATAATCTAACAATTTGGCCAAAGCGAAATATGTAATGACCGGAAAGAATAATACATGCGAACACGGGTGATGCTCACCCAGGTACCCTGGCACAAAATGCTTAGGTAGGGCATTCGTGGATGAACGATTTACCATATTCCCGGACGATAGAATTCATCTATAATAGATATAATTGGCAAAGTGTAATTTAAATAATTACCAAGTTCAGATTGGCTGAATATAGGCCTACACGAAGACTAGCACAACACGCAGTAAAAATGAAAATATTTAAACACGTACATATGCACATCAGTGTATTAATCAGAAAGGAAAATATGTACCTACGTACCGTTCACTTAATAATATTTTTTTTTTGTCAGAGAGAAGAAATGACCAATTTTTTGTCAAGGCAATATTCAGAACCTCCCGGTAGAAGAGATCGTTTTATATTAGGTGCAAGTTCCCAGAACACACAATCTGACACAAAACAGCAAATGGTTTACACTATTCCGAGATCACGTGGTTCCAATTTTTTTCTCGACCCGCCCTCACAACAGCCTTCTCAGCTCCATCACAAATTTGATCGTTTGGGAGCAGAATTATATAAAAGCGCTTATGGTAAGTTGTTTATCTAAGAATTTCTAGCTGATATCTACGTCACATTTATTTAATATAGCCTGCCTGTATAATTGTACATATTTTCATACTCCTTTGAAATTTCAATTGTGAGTATAGGATCATGTCAGAAAATTATAACATTGTATAGTAGACGTGCGATATTACATCATCTGAAATTAGGTTGCCTATTTTTTATTGTGTTTTCCTTCTTATCGGGTTTTGCTCCAAACTGCGCAAACAATATAAAAGCATCAGATTTGGTACCCTGCGAAAGTTAATAAAAATATGCTCAGCTATCATAGAGATAGATGGATTGTGATTTAAATACTTTAATTTTATAATGAAGGTTTTTCTTCCTGCTCTAGATTTCAAATTCCTCTTAAAAATGCTATTCTTTACTTAAATCGTGGTCGCATGTAGTCATAGTAATTTAACATTTCATCATATTTCAAAATAGCGATATAACCTGTTTTAATTTTGTTTTATTTATCAATTTGTAGGGAGTCTACCACGCCAAAGGTATTCAGATAAAAGAGGAATGCAAGAATTCTCGCTAGAAAATGTTGATAAGGAATGTGCTATAATGGCTAACTCAACCAATATCGACGACTTGCCGCTACCTCCTCCACCGCCTCTTCCTGAAGTTGCCCCGAGCGATACATCAACAGAAATAAGTCATCTTCCACCACCAATGCCTGTGTTAGGAGATCTTTCTTGTGTTGTGTTACCAGATGATCTATATCCAACACTCACTCGCTATGAACCGACGTACAACTTAGTCTACGGATCTAGCTACAATTCTACGGCGGATGGAAATCAAGTGAGCGTGAGGCATAATTCAGAAACATCACCTGGAAGTAGTGCTTCTGGAAAAGAATTGTCCTTACCTACTGGGCGTTATCGACAGGTACCATCCTCGCTCGTTTAGATTTTAGAACCTGCGACTGGATATCATGACTGCCAAATTGAATGTAAGATCAAAGACACTTTTATTGATGCCTAATACCAATCTGACATGCTATTGTGACAGACTTTTGAATTTCCCCACGTGATAGTAAAAGGAATAATATGTTAAAACTCGTAAAGCTGTTCATTTCATACAATACGTCTCTTGTCTGTTTTTCATTGGTTATATCACTGCAAATCATCTTAATCATGTAAATTACCATGCTGTCGATCTTGACAATTGTCGTTTTAGCCAAAATTGTGCCAATCAAGTTTCTTTATTTTTCATGTTTACCTTCACTTTTGCCTTCTGTATATTGGTTCCGGGACAAAGGTATAGATTTACACAGAATACTCTCTTCTGCATGTACATCTGAATTTTTTCCATTACTTTACCAGTGTGAATTAAAGTTCTGCTTTCTTTAAATATGCGAGTGTGTATATTTCAGGTATATGTTGTTATCGTCAACTGCGTGGCCAGTCGCGTGGGGTGGGGCAACTTAATCTCAGCTCATCTATATTTTTACTAATAAACGTGTTTAAGTTCTTAGATAATCGTTCATTCAATGGGCGTATTATTTCAGATTAGGGCTCTCACACTAGCCAGGGGTCCCCAACCTTATTTTATGTCGCGGCACACCTATCACAAAACAGGAACATTTCATACTCTTGAAGCCATTTAGCTATAAAATAAAAACATAGAAGATCAGATAAGGAAAAATCTATTCTTGTTAAAATAACATATCCTGTATTTGAAATGGATGGTTAATAGTTACCGATATTATGACTGTCTCTTACAATAATGTACACGGGACCCAACTGCGGAGCACCTCACATTATTGTATTTCATTACACCAATTAATTATTATTGCTAAGTTGTTATAAACAATTTTCACCGATGAACGAATCTTTTCACATTATGGATTTCGTGCAAGCCCCGAGCATAATTTGATGGCAAAGATCGTAGCATTTATTATGTCGAAACGACTCATTCGACTTTTCAGACCGCAGAAACTATCCGAAAAATAACCGTTTCTGTGTTCGAGATATGAAATAATCCTGAATTTACTAAATGAAGGTTTTATTATTAAGTTTCATTGCATCAGTGTTTGTGCTACAACGCGTTCTGCCTGATTACTGGTATGATTATAGATCGCAAGGATGGGCAAAATAGAATATTTTTATCGAATCGAATAATTCGAATACTTTTAACGAATTGTCGAATATAGGATATTTTTAATACAAATACAATGGGCATCCAAAATGCTAGGCATTCTAATGTTGGTGAGCTATTTCCGCCCGTCCTCTCTTTTTTTACAAGGACTAATTCTTACGCAACGTTTGGTTTTTTATCCCTGGGAGAACTATGCGTTCATATGGGCGACATATATTAAAGACGGCTATTAGAGAGTGAATTCGAGATTTTATTCTGATTTTTATCTTTTACGCCGGTTTTGATCTTTGATTGTAAAAACCGATGATTGTAAATTAACTGTCCCAATTTTAAGCTGACAATATTATCATCGGACAATATTGACGGGCGGAGAGATTTGAGACATGGTTTCGTGATTTCGAGTGCTATTTGTCAGTATTCAGGATTTTATTTTATACATACCGTACGCTAATGAATTTAGGCCGTGGTTCGCCAAATGTCGTCGCATTGAGTCGTCCTATCGTTTTTTACTCCTCCGGGATAAATAGGTTAATCTTATTCCTTTTGTGGCGAACGAAAGTCAGTTCCGAAAAACCTGTGGAAGCATAAATTGGTTATTATTATTACTTCTAAATATTGGTTAGTTGAATATTTTAAATACAAAAGAATGTTTTTGACATCTAACTAGTTTATGTGTTTTTCCCCGAGCATCGACTTCCTTGTTTACTTTGCGACATTGGCCAATCAACAAGATGGAAAAAGTGACGTTACAAGCCCCCTTTTTGCATCCGCTCAGACACTGTCCGCACTCAGACAGATTTTCAAGAGTGGTCGTAAACATTACCTCGTTTTTCGCGTTTTTGGGCTCTATTCGTTAGTTTTCAGTTGTGTTTTGGAAACTCAAATATAAATTAGATAATTCAATGATTACTCTGTCTTCCTAGGAGTTTTAATTTAATTGCAGTAATAAAAAATTAGTGTAGAAATAGCTGTGATAGACTAGGCTAAAATTATTTACCGGTACTTTTACCAAACAGAATATTGTATGCGATGAATCCTAATGATGGTTTGAAACAAATACCCCATTTTACAGGCGCCAACTCATAGCCCCAAAAATTTTCCGTGGGTCAGAGGTTGGGGAAAGGTTCATAGAAGGAAAATTTTCGGGGGTCAAAGGTCGGTTTTGTTTGTAGAATTCGTGTTATAGCATTGAGTTATAGCATATATATACACCTCAATGGATCTGAGCTGTCGGGCAAAAGCAGCAAAATATAGTAATCTAGTCAGGTGGTTCACTAGTCCACAGTCAGCCTTTAGTCATGTAGTACAAAGCGTAAATAATGTGGTACGGTACCTGTACAGTAGTTGATGTAGAATTGAGCAAGTCATTAGAAATAGCCCAGACTGGATTCCATGACAGGTGCACGCCCGAGGGCGCTAGCGCTCCGCAAAAATGCACGCGAGCGAAATCAATTTTGCACGCCGACAATTTGCAATTGCTCACCAATGTAAATCGGTTTAAATGGTTTTAAAATCAATAATCCAGTAATATAAAGATGCCAAAATATTATAACTCCACAATTGTCGACAAATACCAGCTTGCAAGATTTGGTCTGATCGAAATATTGCGAAGCAAAAAGACCATGGACCTTTCCCCAACCTTTGACCCGCGAAAAATTCCTCTCATTGTTACGTCCTTTTTTGCATCTTGCTGATTGGCCAATGTCACGAAGTAAACAAGGAAGTCGATGCTCGGGGAAAGGTCCATATCGTGTTGAATGATAGGAAATAGGAATCCCGTGAGAATAGTTATGGACGAAAAGATCGCCTCCGCACCAATGGCCAAGTACGGCTCTGATTCAACGTATTTTTCATACAATAATTTTACACGAATGTACTGAACAGTACCGGTATCTAAAGTTGCTCAAACACTCCCAAAATTAGTAACAAAGTATGAAAATAATGTTTGGGGTCAAAGGTCAAACGTCCATTTTGCTCTAATTTGACGTATTTTTTATCCATTAATTCTGCGTAAAAACACTACCAAAATTAATGACAAAGTATGTCCATTTTGCTCTGGTTCAACGTATTTTTTATCCAATAATTTTACGCGGATGTACTGAACAGTACCGGTATCCAAAGTCGCACAAACACTCTCAAAATTAGCGACAAACTGTAGAAATAATGTTTGGGGTCAAAGGTCAAACGTCCATTTTTTCTCTGATTCAACGTATTTTTTATCCGATACCGGTAATTTTACGCGGATGTATTGAGAGGTATCTGATGTCAAAGTCAGTTGCACGCGAGTGCAGTTGTTTTGCACGTCGTGAGCTATAATTGCACGCCAGGAATTCTTATTTGCACGCGGGAATTTCTGATTGCACGCCCGATTTCTCGTTCAAAAAGGCCATGAAATCCAGACTGGGAAATAGCCTAGTCTTGTCCTACCGTACGGTAGTACTTCCTGGTGCCTGTCTGATTCTCCTGAGCCTGTAAGTACGGTACCGAACCACCTAGAGGAGGCGTTTGGCTCATTGTGCTAAGCGTTAGGAATACCAAATATGTTTGCCACTGAACCTCAGATTACTGTACTCTGCGTGGGTTCGCTATATGGTTAAGCCATCTTATCGGCTTTCCTTCCCTATTGATAAATATGTAAACCCTATCCAGGTGTCCGCCACCTCTTTTTCCATTTATGATAGACTAACGTTATCTATGTAACTAAAATGACAGACTAATGTGAGACGGTACCGGTATTCCATTTACCCCCCATTTATAATAAATCAGAATTTCAAAGATACGATAATCTAACCACCTGCTGGTCTCTATTATTTATTTTCTTCACAGTTAAAATTGCCTCATTAATTCCATATAGGCCTAACTGTATAGTGTGCAGAATCATTTGTAAAATGGATCCAACAACACATTATCTACTCTCGAGTATAAATACATTCATTCTGGTGCCTATCACCTTCCTGTGTCGTATACTTCTATTATTTATCATTGTTATCTTATGTCGCAGATGGCAAGTTTCAAGCAAGAAAATGTCAAAAGTTACAGTTGTTGTTCTTGGTGATATAGGACGAAGTCCACGAATGCAATATCATGCTTTGTCATTAGAAAAACATGGTTTTCATGTGGACATAGTTGGTTATGGTGACTCAACCCCGAGTCAAAAGATTCTAGACAGCAAACGAATTGTATTACACAGCCTCACAAAAGATACTTTTTCTAATTACTTTCCTCGATTATTTGCCTACTTCGTTAAAGTGATTATGCAGTCTTTAATACTCAGCACAAAGCTGCTCTTTAAAGTTGGTGCATCTGAATATATTTTCATGCAAAATCCGCCCTGCATCCCTTGTATGTTCATATGCTGGCTATTTGGGATTTTTAACGGCAGCAAAGTCATTATTGACTGGCATAATTATGGTTATACTATACTTGGTATGAGTTTGGGAAAAAATCATAAATTGGTCAGACTGGCACATTGGTATGAAAAAGTTGTTGGTCAGCTGGTGTATAGTGATATATGTGTCACCAAAGCAATGCAGAAAGACCTAGAGGATAACTGGCACATACATGCCATTGTACTTTATGATAGACCACCTGAAATCTTCAAGCCATTGAGTATCAATGAGAAGCATGATCTTTTCTCAAAATTGAAACATGAATATCCTGAGTTTGGTTTTAGCCCTAATGACGATAGCACATTTTGTACTATTTCAAAAGATGGGAGTGTCACAGCAAGAGATAATCGTCCTGCCTTCATCGTAAGCAGTACAAGTTGGACAGAAGATGAAGATTTTTCCATATTACTAAATGCTCTAAAAATGTACGAAAAAACAAAATTGAATAATGAAAATTTACCGGATGTTATATGTGCTATCACTGGCAAAGGGCCGATGAAGAAATATTATTTGAATGAAATTAGTAAAATTGACTGGAAACACGTTCAAATAGTCACACCATGGTTGACAGCAGAAGATTATCCCTTATTAATTGGGAGTGCTGATCTTGGAGTTTGCCTACATACTTCATCCAGTGGCCTTGACTTGCCAATGAAAGTCGTAGACATGTTTGGTTGTGGTGTGCCAGTTGCTGCAATAGCTTTTAACTGTCTTGAGGAGTTGGTGAAAGACAACATAAATGGTGTAATTTTTAACAATGAAAATACTCTGCATGATCAGCTATGTGAACTGCTAGACGGCTTTCCTCGAAACCAACAAACTTTAACAAATATGAGAAATAATTTGAAAATGTTTCGTCAATCAACTTGGTCGAAAAATTGGGATGAAATTGTGCTGCCATTGTTCAAGTCGTAATATTTATTACTTCATTTGTCTAATATTTTTCAATCATTGGATGGATGAAATTCCCATTTGTTCTTTCTGTTCCCCCATACATTATCTAGCTATCACTGTGTTGTACTTATATTTGTTAGTTAATGTATTTTTTGTAGCATGATTGTAAATGTTTAATTCAATGTGTTGTACTTGTGACATGTTTTTTACACACATAATGTATAAAAAAAAATCTAGTTGACAGCAGACATTAATTTATGACAAAATGTTACCTGAACTAATGGTGTTTTTTACGTCGGACCATTTCAACTAAATCAAACAATCATGGAATATGCCATGTGCAACAAGCATTTTTATGATCTCAGAATTTAGCTATTGCAATAGAGATGCTGCTGTTGCAATCCATACATGAAATTATCTAAGAGCAGACACTATTGCTTAGCCAGGCAAGGCAGCACAGAGTAGAGAATAGGGTATTTTGCGTTTCTAAGAAGTTTGATTTGCTGTATATACAGATGAAACCCAAATTAAATATTATTAGTAGAGAAGCAATTTTAAACCATCGTGACTCCTGAGATCATCTCTTGCTGGTTTCACAGTTTGAATGTAAAACTAGATATGTCACAAACAAGCCCACAACAAAATAAACCCAAATGAATGAATTTACAGGGTAGAAACAATCCATCACAGATCATTTATACCGTATGTAACTTTTGCCCACAAAAAGTAAATCTTGCCTGGCTTACAAGCTGAATCCTGAGAATGAGAATACTTATATAAATCTATACTGCAACTAACTTTAATCAGGCTGTTAATTTCATCTATAAGTAAACTTCAGCATATGTAAATCAACAAGTCCATGGTTAAGATTTAGATTCAACTTTTTAATGGACATAAAAGAAAAATATTAGAGTGAGATAATTCTGAACAAAGCAAGAGCACAAAATGATATTTTTTTATTGTTTGACAACTTCTCCAGTTGAGCTGTCCGAAGTAACTTTCTCAAGCATTTCTGTACGAGTTTTGATGTAAGGACGCCTACTACGATACCATCTCGAGACATTTCTTGTTCTTTTAATTTTCTTCTGCAGTTGGAGAATTCCGTATAAAAGGGCTTCCGCACTTGGTGGACATCCGGGAACATAAATATCTACTGGCACGATTCTATCACAACCCCTTACAACAGAATAAGCGTAATGATAATACCCTCCACCATTGGCACAACTTCCCATCGATAGTACCCATTTGGGATCAGGCATTTGATCATATACCATGCGTAATGCAGGTGCCATCTTATTTGTTAAAGTTCCAGCCACAATCATAAGATCAACTTGGCGAGGGCTTGCTCTAATAAAACGAATCGATCCATGTCGTACCTGAAATACAAATTGATTAATAGAACAGACAATATACAAATTGGGCGGAATGTAATTTTGGTTATTTAGTATTCATCAACGTCAGAAAGTAATACAACGAGAAATGTTAAAAGGCTAAGGTGACGAATCTAGGAACGAAAAAGGACTACAACAATCATAATTATATGTCGAATTTTACATTATTCATCGAAAAGTATTGGATTCATACACTGGTGTAAGAAAACAATTATTTGCTTAAAACAAAGATTCACCTTGGGGCAGCAAAATGCATCATCTCACAGCACAGCAGGCTAGTCCAAGTCATAGGCCATAATGTGTTGGAACGGATGTGACCAATAAGATCATCAACCTAGCTGTAAAATATTCAGCTCTGTCTGTGTGCATGCATCAACTTTGAAATTTCTTGTCGTAACGGCTGCGCTGCTTGGGAAGGTTCGGTTACTGAAGGCTTTTTGTCAGTTTCCGCTGTGTGATTCACATGCAACGTTCTTGCGCAAACCCTTGAACTAAACCACGAGAAACTCCCAAAATGATGAATGTCGTATTAGTGAAGCCATGTTTCTCTTGAATGTCCGAAGAGATACACGTTTTACATCATTACAAAAACGAATCACACGAAACCTCGAAGACAGCGACGAACTCACACCTAGCGATCGACTTGGAATTTGTTGCTGTTCTTTCAGTACTCCTCTCGACGTGACTGTGTCAAAGAGTATATATTACGGTCAAAGATCAAATTTACTGGTAGACATACACTACATTGCAACCCCAACGCAGTTCAGGGAGAGTATTTATTTAGGCAAATGGATAAATAAGATTCGATACGACAGAATAATTATATGAAGAATGTAGGGCATTCGCTGTGTCTTTTCGACGGAATTTTTAAATTAATGGTTTGTGTGAAGAGGTACAGTACTTATCATCCATGCAAATAATCATTCAGATGTGCCCGTACTTGTATAAAGTGTTTTGACACCAACTATATTAAAAATATGAAAAAATTAAAAACGCATAATACGCCAGAAAAACGTTCTGGTAAAGTACCGATTAAGCCACTAACAGTACAGTATTCAGATTTGAGGCGAACGTGGCCATTACACATCTGTTGCCAGAAATTCGCTAAAAAAATTGTGACAAATACCAATTTGTGGAAATAATATAGGAAAAAATATTAAAAATCAAATTTATATCCTGAAATATTTTTTTTGCACAAAATTCGCTTCATTTACAGATCTAAAAACGCATTTTCCTAATATTTTTTGACAAAGTTCCAATGCGTACATTGATGGTCGAACTGTCAATCATCTTCCAGACTTTAAAGATTTATACATGTATGATGTTGTGTGCCTCATGTCCGAAACCTGGAAACTGTGAAAGCAAGTTTGTTATTTGCGTTCATAGGGTTGAAGCGCCTTGTTTTACTTTAGTAGTGTAAGGTGGTGTGTATACACGCACAACTATATTGCATTTGTAGACTTTATTCTCATTCGAAACAGAACACATTCCAGATAGATAAACTTAAAACAGTTAACGCACACAGTACCAACTCATAACAGCTAATGTCACACAGTACCCGTGATAAGTACAGAACTTAGAAGTCACCTTCAGACATGAACGGACACGGGTCAAAGGTCACTATATTACATCCCTCCAAACCTTAATAAAAAAAAACAATTGACATCGATGAACGACAAACCATATGAAGACTTGATATCAAAATTTTAGGATTCAGCACACAAACTTTTAGTTCAAGTCTTCACACAGATAAATATCGATATCAACTTCATGAAATACAATGCAAAACACAGTACACATTAGTTTCAAAATACAGTTAAGCAGTCAATACTGTAATTCGTCCCATATGAAAATCTTTAAATCTACTTGGCACTTTTGGACATCTTCTAGGACGATCTCTAACACTTGGAACAGGGGGAACAGAAGGTGCTGGACTTTCAGCAATAGGATCTGCTGTTTCATTATCAACATTCAAATTAGCAGTATCGTCAGAAATATCATTATCATGTAAAACATCAGCACAGTGATATTTGTAAAACGCTTGCGAAAGGTACAATCATTCACTTTTTTAAACAGAGAAGCATTTCTAGTTTTACTGCCAATATTGGGACTTTGTGCAGTAATCATAGAACCTTTTACATTTATAACATCCATAGGCTCAGGTCTATATGCTGAAGAAAGCTTATTGCTTCTATTTTGTCTCATGATCACGGAGTCACCAACATGAATTTGTTCAGTCGGCTTTAAACAATTTCTTGCGTCAGCATACATTTTCTGTTTAGCCTTATGAAAACAATCACGATCACGTAAATCATTATCAACAGTAGGAACAATAATTTCAGGTAATAGGACTTTAATATTAGTACCATACAATAATTCAGCAGGTGGTCTACCTGTTGTAACATGGGGGCATGCTCTATAATTTCTCAAAAATTTATACATTTCCTGCTTCCAAGACTTGCCTTCAACCGTAGCAGTCTTGATAGCCTTACCCAAAGGTTTCATAAAATTTTCGGACTGGGCATTAGCTCTAGGCCACAAGGGAGTTATCTTTCTATGACGTATGCCACACAGTTCCATAAAACGTCTGAATTGATAACTTTGCCAAGGAGGACCATTATCAGTTTTCACAACTTCAGGAAAACCTAGCATTGAAAATATTTTATCAAGAACAGGAATGACATAAAAATTAGACGTAGCTTTTACAATTTCAACAACAGGAAAACGAGAGTATTCATCAATAACAACAAGACAATAGTCTCCACTGGGATATGGACCAGAAAAATCACAACTAACAGCTTGCCAAGCTTTTTGTGGCAACTCACTCATGCTTAAAGGGAGCATTCTCTCATCTTTCACAACAGAAGCACAAGCAGCACAGCTTTTCACCACATTTTCTACCATAGCATCCATACCAGGAAACCATATCTTTTCTCTTAACAAAGATTTTGTTTTACTCATACCCATATGTCCCTCATGAGCAATGTCAACGATTTTACGTCTCAAACATACTGGAATAACAATTCGATTACCTCGTAATAAAATACCTTGCTCAGTCACACAAAGTTCACTGGCAATTTTGGCAAAAATAGACATTTCTTCACAATCTTTATACTTATACCATAAGTTATTTTGCAAACATTTTATCACATTCTGTATCACACTATCATTTTCAGAAGCACTTTTTATTTCACACAGTTTGATAGCTTTGGGACATGTATTCTCGCATACATAATTCACATATTCTTCTGTGACTTTATCAGAATGTACATTTTGCATTTCAATGGGATGCCTTGACATGTAGTCAGCAGGGTTAGTTTTCCCTGGACGATGTACAATATTAAAGGTGTACTGTTGTAAACGCAAACACCAACGCTCAATCCTGGCAGAAGGTTTAGCAGTCACACTAGAAAACACACTCACTAAGGGTTTGTGATCAGTAACAACAGTAAATTTTACACCATACAGATAGAGATGGAAATGTTCTATAGCCCAGCACACAGCAAGAGCTTCTCTCTCTATCTGAGAATAACGACTTTCCACATCACTCAACAATCTAGATGCATACGCAATCACACGGACATATTCATTATCAATGTCAGATTCTTTCTGGACTAAAACACAACCAAGTCCAACTGGGGATGCATCTACAATAATTTCAGTACAAAGCTTAGGATCAAAATAAGACATAACAGTATCACTTGTGAGACTATTTTTCAATTCACAAAAAGCTTTTTCACAATTTTCACTCCATATAAAATCAACATTTTGTTTAGTAAGCTCTTGTATAGGTTTAACAATAGTTGAGTAATTAGGTATAAAACGAGACACATAGTTCGACATACCAAGAAAAGATTTAACTTGTTGCTTATCAGAAGGTCTATCAGCCTTGTTTATAGCTTCAACCTTATTTGGATCAGGTGACACACCTTTATCACCAAAAATATTTCCAAAAAACTTTATAGACGATTGAAAGAACACTTTTTCTTATTCAAAGTAAGACCACAGTCTCTTATACGTTGCAAACAGGCTCTTAAATCTTTCTCATGCTCAGCCTCATTTACACTACTGATATAAATATCATCTGAGATGTTTTTGACACCTCTTAAGCCGTGCAATGCTTGTTCAATCAAATATTGAAATTTTTCACTAGCAGCATTGACTCCATAATTCAATCTTTTATATCTGTATAATCCAATATGGGTACTAAAGGTAGTAATATGTCTACTGTCAGGGTGTAATTCAATTTGGTGATAACCCTGGTTCAAATCCAACTTGGGAAATACTTTATATCCATTTAAATCATGTATAAGTTCATCAACAGTAGGCATAGGGTGTTTTACCCTCTTTATTGCCTTATTCGCAGCTCGCATATCGACACATAGTCGAATGTTTTCTGGGTCACAAGGTTTAGGAACACATACAATAGGAGAGACCCATGGAGTAGGACAATTTCCCACACTTTCACAAATGTCTTCATCACACAGTTTAGCAACAGCACTTTCGACTTTTTGACGCATTTTAAAAGGAACTCGTCTGTGCTTTTGATGAACAGGGTTTACAGAATCATCAATATTTAACTTCAATTGGAAGTTTTTCAATTTCCCCAACCCTTGAAAAATTGAATTATAATCCCTTAAAATATTTTCAGTGAGATCCACTCGATCATTTGACACAGAGTTAATAATTTTCAAAATACCAAGATCACTAGCAGTCTTGAAAGAGAGCAAACAACCAATTGCATATCTAACAACATAGAATACAATGTTGATGCATTTGCCACACTTAGAAGTTACAACTGCATGAAATTTCCCCTTCACAGACAAGGGTTTCTACTTCCATAAGCATAAAGCTTAATATTTGCAGTTTCCAATTTGCATGGTTTACTGGATCTACTTTTTAAATTTTGAAAAGTTTTGTAATCGAGTACATTGACACTAGCACCACTATCTATAAGCATAGAACAGGGCACATTGTTAATTTTCAACTGTACTTTTGCAGGATTATTGTTATTGGAGCAATTACACATTGATCCATTCACTGAGAGAATATATTCATGATTCTCAGAGCTCATTTCACTCAGTTCATGATCTCTGCAATCATGTTTAGGCTCATTTTGCACACTGTTCAACTTGGGCTTGTTGAATTTACTATTCGCTTCTTTACAGAATCTAGCAAAATGACCATACTTGGAACAGTTATAACATCTGCGACCATATGCAGGACACTTTTCTGCATGTGGATACACTCCACCGCAACTGAAACATGATTTTCGTTTTGTATGAAAGGTTTTACCTTTATTACTTTGATGCTTCTTTGTCTGATCTCTTGAATGACTAGAATTGTTGGATGAAATGTTCTTTTTCCACTTTCTTTTGTAGGAACTAACTCCACATATCCTTGGATACTTGACTCACTCTCCATTGCACACAGTTGATCTTTAGCCAACTCCATTGCTTTTCCCGTCTCAAGCAATGTTGTGAGATTCATTGACTTTGTGAGAGCTTTCTTTCTTAGTTCTGAAGATAGGCAACCTTGTATAATTTGACTTTTAATCTCAGAATCACGATTTTCTCCAAATTCACAGTTTAATGAAATCTTCTTCAATCTCGTACAAAACTGATCTAAACTTTCACCTTCCTCTTGTTTTGAATTTCGGAATATATATTTTTCATATTCACTGTTTGACTTGGGAACAAAATACGATGTCAGTTTATCTTTTACGTCTGAGAATTTGTCAGATTCTTCTTTTAATGTTTCATATATATCATAGCACTCATCACCCATATAGTGCAGTAAAAGATTCTTCTTCTTTTCTCTGTCATCTTCGGTATCTTTGAGGTTCATGGCTAACATTAAAACTTCAAAACGCGATAACCATTTCTTCCACCGGGGACCAGCATTTGATAAGTCTTCACAATCAAATGATCTGAAATCTGGTAGATTTGCCATCTTCTATATGTGGGTTGTAACTTGTAAACAGCACAGACCACTTAGGAATGCAATATAAATTCTGGAATGTTTCTTGCTTTTGAAACTGTACAACACTTAGTTGACTCTTGACTTCCGTTGACCACTACTTCACACCAAGTTCCGTAGGTCTTTCCCGTATTCGAGGTTGCACTTAGATTACTTTACCACTTAGGTTAACGTTATCTGTTACCATTGCTTTATCCTCGTCGCCAATGTAAGGTGGTGTGTATACACGCACAACTATATTGCATTTGTAGACTTTATTCTCATTCGAAACAGAACACATTCCAGATAGATAAACTTAAAACAGTTAACGCACACAGTACCAACTCATAACAGCTAATGTCACACAGTACCCGTGATAAGTACAGAACTTAGAAGTCACCTTCAGACATGAACGGACACGGGTCAAAGGTCACTATATTACAAGTAGTGCAGTAGTGCGCCCAAATATATACGGTATGATACGCCGTGTTTACTCTTATTCTTTTTTAAATCATTTTCAGTCCGTATTTGTGAATTAGATTAGAAATAACATTCAAAATGGGATTATTCGACAGCATTCCGACACATATGGTAAGTCCCATATTCAATATTTCACTTGTAAGTAAAATGAGGAATTTGTTAATGGATTACGTTATGTATGATAATAACTCATGGAAGGTAAATCATCTGGTCATTGAGTGTGTCTGTTTGTGTACAACATGCGAGAAGAGTTATGGTAATGTCAGAATGTGGGAGTAGGTAGGCTATACACAGATACAGCTATTTTTCATCAAAGCTTCCCAAATTCAGAGATCATAATCCACTCAGCCATTGATTTGAGTGCAGACTTATATAAAGCTTTAATGTATTTCCATTTACAATATATATTTGCTTTCAGGATTATCAAGGACAAAAACTGTCCGAACAACTGTTCCAGGTTCTTGCAGTGACATTTGGAGTGAGTATTTTCTGAAAGCGCTTTCATTTTATTAATCTCAACTGCTTGGATACGTACCCACACAATAATAATTTGACCCCACGAAGAGTCAAATTCGAAGGAGCATGATCATACATACGCAATAAGATTGCTGAATTTGATGGCGTAAAGTTGTTTAACCTCTTATTTAGTTGATGCCCAATCCACCATGTTTGAGTAGTTGGAAATTTACATTCTTAATTGAGTAACTGGACGAGAAGTTCAGTTCTTACAGCATTGTCAAAATAAATGAAACATATCTTATCCCAATAATGGAAAATCCAATGCTTATATGCATGAGTGACATTTGGTTTGTTTTGCAGGTCATCGGGTTTATTGTGGGATACATGTTTCAACAGATGTCCTATATGATGTACATACTGGCAGCTGGATGTGCCCTGGGATGTTTGGTAAGAGGAAATAAGCTAAAATAAAATAGTACAGCCTGATATGATTGTGCACATGAGTACATATGTGCAAATGGGTGTAAAAAATTTAGTACGGCCCGAATGGAAAATTAAGAACCCTTGCTGAACATCATGTATCAAAGGAATCTTATGTAAGGTTTTTTTGTTGTCATTCTGCTTTGAATTCGTAAATGAATTCGTAAATCAAATTTATGCTATCTACCAGAAAAATTTTCCATGTATTTTACACATTAAATTGGGTGGAAAAGTTTAATGAATCAAGTGCAGCCTGTGCATCAATAACTCTAAATAGGCAGTTTTAATGTCGATCACTGCAAGATAAAGTCTTTATTGTCAATGAGAAGCATATTAATTCTCAATGCTGTTACAGAATTTACCAGGACTCGTACCGTTGTACACAAATAAGTTCCTTCCATCATATAGATTTGATAATTCATCTAAAGTTTTTTATTTCAGTTAACATTGCCACCTTGGCCCATGTATAGGAGAAATCCGATCAAGTGGCAGAAGCCTCAACCAGAGATGGAATCTTCACAATCCCAACAACAACAACAAAAGGGAAGCAAGAAGAAGCAAAAATAAAAATATCAGACTCAAAGAACTTCATTGCCATTTGGGCACGAGAAAAGAAGAATTTTCGTCTACTTTACATAGAACAGGAAATGGAATATTATATGCTAATGAATGTGAAGTCCAGATTTATGCAGTGACTGCTTTATTTTATTGTGTCTTATATTATATATAAGTCTTCTTGCCGGATGGTGCAACTGTATAATATTGGTCTTTTTTATGTTGTGAGGAATCGAGATGTCAGCAATAGTGAAAGAAACAGATTGTGCCCATGTTTTGCTCAGAGCCTGGCAATAGCTATTTGGCTAGATCAGGGGTGGGCAACCTTTTTCGGCTTGCTTGCCAAATCGGCTAAATTAAACGATAAAATTCTCCCGCGTGCCGACCAAAATTAAAAACAATGCTTTGCTACTTTCAAAGCAAAAATACAAAATAATAAACCTTTTAAACATGTTCACCTGCAGCAGGGGTGGGCAATTATTTTTGCTATTGGGCCACATTGTATATTCAAAATGCAGTGGAGGGCTGGACTAAGTAAAGCCAATTGAGCGTTTTTAATTCATTTCATTACACATTTAAATAAAAAAAAAGTACTATTGTACTCCGTTGTTTTTGTGTAAAGCACAGTTATTAAAACTAGTTTAAAACATAAATATCGCAATTTCGAGACAATACATAGGATCAGAGAAACGCTTGCAAAACAATGCCGAATTTTATCATTAATGCTAAAGAGTGAGTAACTATGCGGAATTAAGGCCATGCCTTCGATGACCAAACATTCGTGATTCATATAACTTTGTTGTCACCATAGCATTTTAAACGTAAACAGGGGTCGCTGAAAATTTTAATGCATTGGAAGGCGTTGCGAGCTTAAAAGTTTGGAATGCACTGCTCTAAAATACAACGTCTATCTGCGTACATATATAAGAATGTGAAATAAACTGCCGGAATATACTTGATTTTGCGATACGGGTATATTTAAAATGCATTGATATGGGCACATTAAAATGTCTTGCTTTGTTGTTTTACACTTATCCCGCGATTGCTTTGACAAAATCAAATCAAATAGTCACTTTGGCCAAAAAATAATCATTCCTACTCTTAAATACTACCGCATGCCGCGGATATAAAAATGTGAGATAAAGTGCCAGATTGCTTTTATTCGTGTTTTGCAATTTTGTGAAATCAACAAAAGGATTTGATTTGTTCTTGCAACAATGACTTGGCTCTATTTTACAGATTTCACCAATAGAAAAAAATCCCTACGTCTGCAATAAAACCACAACGAGTAAAATTCAATTTAGTACCATGAAAATCGGTTGAAATTACTTTGTGCCATGGACACCAGAAATTTTTAAGTTTCCAATTTCTACGATAGCATTTTTAATCTGTCGCAAGCCTACCAAATCAATCTTGTTTCTGTCCAGTTTTTAGTATTTTATCAGTAGTATTTTTTTTTAGTATTTCACAGTTCCGTATGCAAGACATATATATATCTATATATATACATATGTCGAAGGTAATTTGTGATTTGCGTAGAATAATCACCGACGTAAAGGTGTTTACGGTCCAAATAACATCTCGAGCTGACGAAAACAATCGGTCATTTAAAAAAAAATTAGTTGAATGGTATTGCCGACTTTTTCATTTTCCTAAAAAATTCTTTTGTTCACAGTTAAAGTATATTTTATATGTAAATAAAAAAGAAAGTGTCCACATCTAGAAACCTGCCCGCGGGCCGGATGTGGCCCGCGGGCCGCAACTTGCCCAGACCTGACCTACAGACATATTTGCTATTCGGAATAGATTCGATTACTTTGCTTATTCTACATCAGCGAGACTTCTGCTGGTGCATTACCACTGATAGAAATTTTACATTGGGTTTATATTTTGTAACTTTCAAAGGAATACACGAACTACTGGTTTCATCTTTCATGCTACTCCTATTATGAGACTTAATAAAGTTCATAACTGGGAACAAGATATTCACAAGCATATGTAGATAAAAACACGGAAAGTAATGCAGTTGCATAGTTTATAAGACACCAAAATTTTTTGGGAATGGCATCCCAATCTCGCAATGGTTTGTTTTGTGCACTTCTCTCTTGTATTCCCTTCCCCAATTCATAACAGTAAGTTAGCAAGTAACTCCAACCAACATGAGCTTTTCAACTTGATAAATAAGCAGAAATGAAGAAAAATGGTATATTACGTAACAAAGTAGCCAAAGAATGCTGCTTTGTTCTCGACAAAATTTCTCTAGAGCTCACTTATTTGTTAGGTCATAACATATTTCTTTGTAGCCATATGTCATGGAAGGACAAAATGAGTTTAAAGAACGGATTGTTAAAAAAACGATACATAATGAATAAACGAACACAAAGTTTCATCAGAATATTAGAGTCTCGAAACTTATTATCTAACGGAGAATGATTTCGTTTCTGAGGCCTCTTTCGTGTGCCGAATAAACGGGCTCACGTGCCAGGGGTTGCCCACCGCTGGGCTGGATAGTTATGGTATCGAGAAAGTCGAAGTGGTTTGCATAACTTGTATACAGTGCAGTATATTCTGAACACTAAAAGCAAAAGCCCACCTTATAAGCCGACTCAAGAAAGAGAAAGTGGTCTGCATAACTTATGTAGAAAAGGCTTAAACACTACAAGCTGACCCAATAGATATTTGGTTGATAGTCAGGACATCAAGAATGAAAAAGTGATCTGTATAACATATGTAGGAGGCAGTATATTTTGAACACTACAAGCTGGCTGTCCTGCCTCCTAACCCAAAAGAAACAAATATAAACTTTTTCTCTGGCTTAAAATATATATTCAAAGCATTCATTTGGGTACATGTGTGAATGATAACCAATAATCGCTCTATTGTAAATTTCGACCTTTATCTTGATGCATTGCGCTGTCATGTTGCAGTTCCTCCGTCTTCTCTTTCACCGGTTGCTTGGACTATTTTTTTACTTCCTTTCTTGAAGTACTATACTGACTGAAAGTCCATTTCAGCTGCAGTAAACCTTACCTATTTCACCAAATGAATGGTGATCTTTCTCTCAACAACTTCAAGCCAAATTTGTTCCATTCGCTATTAGTGACCCAACATTCCTGGGCATTATCAAGACATGACAGCACAGATCCCCCTTTCCAAGCAACAATCGATGGATCCTGATCCTGTAGCAAATAATTTTTAGCAATTATGCTGATTTCGGAATAGACAATCTTTTTGGAAAAGAATCAGCTATTGGCAGCCATTCACTATCATATTATATTAGCTCTGGTCAACAATCACCTGTGCCATCCCCTACTCTAATCATCCCCTAATTTATTAGTCTGTCAACTTTTTTAGAGGGAGGATCAAAACTCCATTTTTTCCCTAGGTAAAACACATGAAGATGAATATTAATAAAAACAAATCTCACTTTTGGTTTTACTACAACATCCACTTGTCCAACCATCAAAGATTTTAAAGGTGTATTTGGTATTAACAATTTGATACGGTGTCTCAAATACTGATCAGCTCCAGCAAAATGAGCCAATCCTCCACCAACCACAAGAATGCAAGAGTACATTCGCCTCTTTAATTCATCTTCATAAGACAAAGGACAATTTTCTACACTCCATACAATAGCTTGATCTAATCCAAGTAGTCCTCCTGGAGCTGGTGCCATTTCAGCACCTGGTTTGTAACTAAAAATAAATAATATAATACATGAATAACTACATTAATACCAGGAAAACACCTACCTACTGCATCATTACTTATCGATTTTAATCGGTAAGTATGTTGATAGGTATTTGTCTGTCTGTCTGTTAGATGCACGTGATATCTCACGAAAGCGAGATTGAATCTGCTCCAGATTTTGCATGTCCTTTTATCATATCTCTGACCAGAAGCCTATTGATTTTGGGCGAATTATGTCGTTTAATTAGCGAGTTATTAATTAATTAGTGATGGGACACAAGGTGTCACTATGGAGTAAGAGCGCTGTTTTGGGGGATCCCTAACTTTCGATCGATAAGTCTTCGGTCTCTGACCGATATTCTCGTTTATTTGTCCTTTCATTTGCAGAACATTTTTCCCCATGTTAGATTTTTGATATTTTAAATGGGATTCATTTTTCATGGATAATATATCTATTTGTCAAATTCAGTAAAATTTTACATTTGAACTCCTGAAATGTAAATTCATTGAATTATACTATTTTTATCATTCGAAATCAGACATCAGTAATTTGTTTGTGGGTTCCTTTCTTCTTCAATTACAGTCTTATTTGGACAAACTTTTTAATTGCTTCCATTTATGCTCCCTCAAGATTTATTAACATTTTACCATGTTCGATATGTTTTCAGTTCAGACCTTGTTTGCGGAATGAATAAGTTATGACCAACTGTTAGTTATCAACCTACGCATCAAAGCACTCGTTCCATCACCAACATAAAAGTTCATTACTTGCACATCTGTTGTGTTTCCTCGTCATCTAAATCTTCACCATTATCATCTTCCATTTTTTCAATGTTTTCATCTAATGCAGAATTTGATGTATTAGTCGATAGGTTTTCAGTTTTCGTTCTTCTAGAGAGGCGATTCTGTTTGAAACAAAATAGTATTACCACTACCCAATCTTGCATTCTGTGTGTAGGTAGTATTTTCACATTTATGGTATTATAAAACATAAAAAAAAATACAGCTTTTCACACTGATTAAGGTACTAGTCACTGTGATAAATAGGATAGATAGCTAGACTCATTTTGATGAATGACATGAATTTAAACCTGAGTCTCCCATGCAGGATAATCTGCAATGACAAGTATGTTATTGAATTCATAGAAATACAAAGGTTAGTCTGATCTACAAATCCTGTTTATCAATACAAATTAAAAAATTGTTGCAACCTGGGACCGGGAAAATTTATAATTGACACCACCAGACTTGATGAAAATGCATGCCTCCCTTGATACACTGTTAAGGGAAGCTTGGTCAACTTTGTTGTTTTTTAAATTCTGTGGAATATTTTGCCTTTGATTATCACCAATAGGAGTATTTCAAAATTTTGAAAATATGACTATGACTCCATTGCCTTGGCCTGCAACCATAAGTTAATGAAGTAAACACTTGTGGTCAAAACAGCATGGAAGCGTTTCGATTAAATTTTAATATGGAAATATTTTGTGAAACTCCTACACACATCAGTATACCTCCCAATTTTTGCTCCTAGTTTGCAGCAAATAATATTCATCCATTGGATCCTCTGAATCTCCAGGATTTCTTGTTGCAAAATGAATGTGTCTATCTTTCATCTTTAAGCCAAATGCTTTTGGAAAAAAGATGGATAAAGGTGCCTGAAATATAGTCAGTCAGCCATTCAATCGGAATATATGACAATGAATTTTATTTATGTGTGATGTTTTACAATATATCCTCCAGACACGATGCCACATATATGTGTAAAGAGTCACTGTCAGTAGGTCCTGAATTCTTTCTAGTTTTATGTTGAATACCCATTTTATTGAACTTTGGATAAGGCCCACTGTCATAAGCCTTGAACATGTGGTGCTAAAATAATAGAAGATTATGTTTTTAAATTAACAGGCTTCCTTTAATTAATGACGACAAATATAGTTAAAGTATTCATCATACCAGAAAGGTCACAGACATATAGAAACTGTACTTGAATCAACACTGACCTCTAAAGTTTCATCACCAAGGACAATAGGATAAAGTAACGAACATTGACCAGGTCTTCTGATGTGGAATTCCTGACTTTCAGGGCTAACTCTATCTGGCTCCATGTGGCAGAATGTTTCCTGTATAAGTATCGAAGACTTATAAAAAGATAAGATACAAGTGCAGCCTATGATTCATGTTCAACATGGCATTTAAATCCCTTCAACTGCAACATCAAAACAGCAACTTCATTCCTGAATTTTCCTGTTCGTCACCATAAAGCAATCCTATCTCTTAAATATCAAAAGTAGGTATTATGAATGTCCGTCCAGATCAAACTGAATATTGGAATCCATTATATTCAATATTTGAAATTTTTGGTTTTACAAAAACTTTTAGAATAGTTTCATTGCAAAAAATTGAGGGCGCAAAAATATGGTCGATAAAGCTTTCATTGCATTTCTGAGAAAAACTATAAAAAAATACAGAGCTAAATAGATCATACTCAGTCTTAAGTTTGCTGCATTTTCGAATTAATTGAATATAAATAAATACCATTTTACTATATACATACAAGAAAAACGTATTATTAGCATATGATACGTTCTTCTTTCAGTAATGATTCAATCTTCAGTCTGATGTAGTATCTGGCAAACAGTCATCCACCTCAGGTCATGTTATATAACTTATTTGCTTACTTTAAGTTCTTCCATTAGTAAAGCATCCATTCTATCATCCTGGTCAAATTTTTGATATGGCAAGCAATTTCGCTTTAAAAAACCAGCAAATACTCTTGTAATATCTCTCCCACCAACATCAAGACAAATTCTATTAAAAATTTGAATCATAATTGAAGAATTGTTTGATTTCACAAATCCGGAAACATGCTAATAACAGATCAACCAGTTTGTGATGGTACTATTTCACATCAGCTGATGATGGGATTTTCACACAGCAATAGTAAAAGATAAAGGTGGAGCAACCCCAATTTTTCGCAGGAATTACAGATTGTCCAACTCAATGTACAGTACAGACGATCGCATAAGTAGGTTTCAGGTCCAAATTCAATCAGGAAGCTGAATCAGGAAGATTCCGATGCTTCGAGTAACTCATGTGTGCATGCGCAGCGGCTTGTTTGAAGTGACATTTAGAAACCCTCATATAAAAAATCCAGTGGTGAAAGTAACTTGAATTGTTTAATTAATCTTCAATAATGCATTTTCAACTTCAGAATTATCAATAGATTTTATGCTTTATTAAATTCTCTTCTTACCTTGTGTTCTTATGGGATGTTCCATCTTCAACACAACATATAGAAGTTTTTTCGTGACCAACATCTACCACACATGCAGTAGCAATACCACAACCGTATGTCGCACAAACCGATTCCTAAAATTTATGATAAAATGAATCAGGCATAAAAGTAATAATAAAAATAAAGCATTTAATTGGTAAATGATATATCATCATAGCCTTTTTAAGCTGTCCTCTACTAAATGAGAGGATATGTTTTAGCAATATATCAGAACGAACATTTACCCCGCTTGCAATTTCCACATGCTGGCCCAAGATTGAATTATATGTTACCTCAAAATCATAATTTGAATATTCCCACAAAATCACTGTAAATACAACAATTAGTCTCACCTGATGAATTAATATTGAAGAAAAGCCCATATTGTTGATCAGCATATGTATGAGTGCTTTAACATGTTGTCTAATATATATATCTGGGACAAGCAGTAAACACCTGTTTAATAACAAGAATATTATGAAGAAGAAGTAGTAAGTAAGAAGTAGTTCAAGTGCAAAGGGATATAGTGAAGAAATTTTTGGTTTCCGTTATCTAGATAAACCTGAATTTCCAGAAGCGAGAATGCAACACTACCATTGAGTTTTTACTTTCAAACTCATGTTCAGTGGTGTTCCTTTTTGGGAACAGAATCAAATTGAAAGATCCCACGAGAGAGATCGGGTTGAAAGTTTTTTTTATTGCTCTTGCCAGCTCATTCTTGGTAGAGCGAGTATTTAGTACAGTGGCTGCACTTTTACATCAAGAGAGATTTCCTCGACAGTGTCAGACGAGGAGACTAAAGACTGTTTTTGACTGAATTATCAAGCTGGTGAGATTTCACTAGGCTCAGCAACAAGAAAACAGTTTGGAAAACACTGCTGTATATAATCATTGTATTTTTTTTTATATATTTTTTGCTCTGATATACTAACAGAAATTTGGATGCAAAGTTGTGATTTCTTTGAATATGCAGATAAAGAATATTAATCAGCCATCCATAAACACAAACACAACTGCTGCTTTTCCAATATTAACATACTAATATATTATGCATAGCAACATTTATTGGCATTACTACCTCAAAAATTGAAGGGTGTGATAGCTCCCTAAAATTGGTTAGATGTCTGGACTTGAACAATATTTGCATCTCGGGTCTAAAATGCATATTAAATTTTGTCAAACCTGTAGCCAACAAGTTCGCTTCTCGGAATGTGAAGAAACGTTTCTATCGACTTGATCCAATGCATTTCCAAATTAGTCATAACAGAATGAAGTGAACCATGCGAACCGTCATGAACATTCAACTGACCTTTTACAATCGGCCATTGTAAATCATAACAATCTGCTTCATCAATATAAAGTGCCTAAGAAAAGAAAATATTGGTGAGGCATTAGTAGGAAACAAACGGATATTTTTATCGAATTCAATCTGTTGTTACAAAACAAAGATTTAAAGGCATAAATCTATCAATGATTGTCAGCTTAACAGCTGGCACATTGCGTCAACATGTTTGCCATAGCAATAGACACCCTGTCGTTTTAGAGTGGCTCACATAGTCGACTATGACTCCCTTCACACATCTAGCCCATACATCCGAGATAAATAACTGCTATTTAACTAATCCCATACCCAACATGGACTGGCAACCGTACAAGAGACTGTGGTTCTCTTGGCTTTCTTCCCCCCAAATAAATTTACAAATCTCATCCTAACCTATTGTTTAACATTCTCATAACCAGCATGATAACTGGACGAGAGGCCACAGCTCGCCATATGATTAGGCTGGTTTATCGCCTTTCCTTTCCTTAGGGATAAGTATAAAAAATACTGATATTGTTGAAATCTATACAAGCATTGAGGATAAGATTTTAAACAAGTTAATAGTAAAAGATAGAAGCGATATGGACACTCACATCATCACCAATAAGAAACTCCTGTTTTTGACTTGTGTCTGTCCAGTTCCATCCACAACCTTCAACTAAGGTTTCAGGTTTTTGTTTTTTATTGCTTTTAGAAATTTGTTCCCATCGACAAACTGAACGCCCAGTATAAGTCTGCACTGCATCGTTTAATTGTTTGTATCCTTCTGATTGTGTAACTTTGTAGTCATCGGCATACTATAAAACCAATAGAAAAACACATCAAATAGTAAACAAAATGCTAGCTTGTCACAAACATGCTACAAATATTAAGACAAAAAATATGAAAATGAAAATTGACCCTAGGATAATAATTTCATCATCATTATTGCAAGAAGTGGAACTTTCTGGACTTTCACCCAGATTGGTTATAGCAGCGCATCATGCTGAGAGTTAGGAACCTGCTTGTCACAGTATGTTTGTAGGTTTGTTCCCTGTGCGGTTTAATTATGTGCGATGGGATTGCTGGACTCTTCACCATTGAAGTTCCTATATGATTAAGACATTGTATTATCCTTCCTTTCCCCTGGATGAAAACGAAGATTTTATTCTTACCAGTACCAGATGCAACTAGAGCAAGGTTGTGCAACTTTTAATACAGGAGGGCCAGATAGAAATAACTGGGTGAAACTGCGGGTTGCACCTTTATTTAACATAGGCTTTTTACTGTGGTTGCAAGCACAAAAATCATGGTTATTAATCTTATAACATGCGTTGTTTGCTTCGAACGAACTAGCTGTTAGGGCATTATAATGTCATAGGCATAGATAATAAATTGGACTCATGCATAGGCTTCGCAGCGCAATGGGATTGGAATTACTAAATTAATACTCGTTTCGCAGGCCGCTAATCGTTCAAAATTGGCACTTTTTCACTGGCCGCTAAAATTTTTCTTGAGGGCCAAATTCTACCCACGGGCCGCATGTTGCACACCTCTCAACTAGAGAGAACGTTCAACTTGTCAACATGTCTTTCAGCTTGGATAAATTGACAAATTCTGAACTCAAATATTATTCATACATGTTGTAACTATTTCCTGCACAAACCTCTGTTCTCTCTCTTGATAATAGGGATTTTTTAATAGGCTTTTGATCTCCTGGGTGCTTGTGTCTCCATGCAATTACATGAGGAACAAGAAAGGGTTGGGGGTCAGATGCTCTTCCAATTCTTAAATGTGATGAGCCAGGATGAAGAACGATTGTTGTGCTTGCAAGTCTTGTAATGCTCTATAAAAATGAAAATTAATATAAAAGTCGAACAGAAAATACCTCAATGGATTGCTAACTTCTCGGTAGAATAATTTATCTATGATTATCCAATGAGGCATGACCGCGAGAATAAAATTCATTTATGCAAAGTGACATTTGTGGCTATTTCACTCACCATAGATTTAAAGGTTAGGGTGAGCATAAATCGTGTAACTATAAACTAAACTGGACAGGGCATGAGGTGTTTTTTAAGCCATGGTTGGGTATGAAGCAGAAATGACACTAGAATGGATAATTTGTATTAAAATTTAAGAACACTATAATCACTGAAAATAGTATTTGTGATGAAGAATTGTGTTTAAAAGAGATAAAAAACAAAGGTATGTTTCATAAAAAAAAAAAAGAATTGAATAAATTGCACACATTCAGAAAAATACTCCTAAAATATTTTCCAAGGTTTTCACAAATTAAATGACACAAAAATTTATGATGTCAATTTAAATATTACCCATAAGGAAATCACTAGTCAAACAATCAGAAAATAAAAAAACAGCTGGCCAAATGTCCCGATAAAATCTCATTTTTACGGCACTTCCGGTTTCAAATATCCGAACAAAAAATAAATAAATTTTACCTCAATATCAAAAACTTCGCTGTTTGGGTCGTCAGAATTCTGGGGCAATGGACTCGCCGGTACAGATGTGGGTGCGCTGGAACCATTGGACATTTTGTGCAATCTCAACACCGCAATACAACGGGATAACAAACAGGCAAACAGAAAACAACAAACCGAACACGTGCGCCAGGAATTTCCCAATTGCAGGGTTTGAAATGAGTGATACAAAATATTATTTAGTCGAATTCGTCTTGTTTGGGCCTTGGTTAAATTTGGCAAGTATGCGTAATCCATTGAACGGAAGTCTCCATTGAAATACTAATACAGTGCCTGTGCATATAACTGTATAACGTATACCTCTATATCCACCAACGATACACATAATTGTCATACAGGTTTCGTTATCGCATCAATTCTCCCGTGGAAAATTACTGGTAATCGTAGTATTTAAGAATAAGTTATTGCGTGTTTTGTTCCTCGAATCATAATATCCAAATTAGTCATGGACCATTGCTAGTTGATAAGAGATTTTGTCCAAAATTCCAGATCACTGACGTTGCTGCTATTCCTATTTGAACAACAAGGTATGTTTTTTGTCTTGCGTGAAATGTAAGATAGCTATCTGTATTTTTTTTAAATGGTTTTTTGCCTGGCGCACATAGCACCTTTAATTATAACAATAACTTGTGCTTATGATGTTTTTTGAATACATTTTAATTGGGGTATTTCTCAATTCTGTCTTTTTATGTCATCCCCTTATTAATTTGAAGTTTATCTATGATTTTCATGTTTTACCATTCATTGCAGGTTCTTATATTTTTTGGTGGATTTTATTTTTGTGTAATGCTTTAACTAACGTTTGTTCTTTTTAGTGTTAAGATTCTCATGAACAATGTATATTTTTGATTTGCAAAATTAAAAAAAAACTTTAAAATTACAGATTAAAAAAAATAGAAATTAAACAAAACTTGTATTACTTTATTGTTTAAATACTCACCCGCTTTGTATCATATGTAACAGGTTCCTAAGCAACATTCAATAGTTTATACAATGAGTTAACAATGCTATTAAACTTGAGTATAAAAGAGCAAATAAGTACAAATTCTTAAAAGTTTTAATCTCGGAAAGCCTAAATGAACTACTTTGACTTTGTTTTGGTTTATTTTTTAGGTTTAAGCTGTTGATGGGCTTAGCTGCTGCCTTGGTTTCTTTCACATTCCCGTCACTGTTATTCATAAATTTATTTATTTGAAGTTATTGCCCGATTCTGTATCGTGTAATTTTGTTTTATTGTGTTATTTGACTGTTTTTGGTGGACGGGCGCGTATTTTCACGTTTTTAACGTTTCTTTAGGTTATGCCGTCCTCCAGGTCCTCTGTGTTTTGTGTTTGTTCGTTTGTTTTTGTTTTGTTTTATACGAAATAAAATTGATTGATTGTTATAAGATGATTGTGCAGGGATAAATTTACATTATAGCTTTTAGTGTAACTGTGGTTGCCTTGGGCAAATTTGTATTATAAACGATACTAGGCTATTAGGTGTAAATATAACCTAACCCAATTAATTCTAGTGGTTTGGCCTTATTAGTACTAAACAAGTACTCATCAGGCTTGTTTTCACATATGTGCACATTGAAATCTTTACTTAATCTTAATCTCTAATTACTTTACGAATTGTCTCAATCTCGTATAATAAAATGTGCTGATTCTTTCAATGTTTAATGTGCAAACAATGGTTGAGAGGGTTTGAACAAATGAGCTCTGATATTTGTAATATAAGAGTATCTTGTTCTCATAAGAGTGTGAATATTTTTTGTTGAGTAATGAATATTAGAATTACTTACGGTAGTTTATGTATTGCAGTTTGTTGGTAGATCTGTAGATTGTTATTATTTTATAGTTAAAAAATGTTATTTAGTCTGCAGTATAATATATATTTTTGTTAACTGTTAAAGTAATGCTAGACCATTAATGTAGATAGTTACCTACATTGTATAGAAAGGATTTTGTAAAGCCTTTAATACATATTGGTTGAAAGTTATGCTAGAAAATTTATTTTAGTGTTGGAAGTATAACTTTTGTATTCTTACCATTTAAATAAGCTATATTATTATGCCATTTAATTAAGCTAATATTATATAGTTTTAAGCTAGTTGTTTCAAAGCATTCAGGAATAACACCATGAACAATCATCACCTTGCAAGAAAGTTGCTTATTCAGTCTTCATTAATTTTTCGATTTTCAAATGTAAAGTGAGTGTTCAGTGTCCACCAATGAATGATATGTTGTAATTATGTCAATTCAAATTACAGAATTATGTAAATTGTGCAAAATGAATTGGTGCATGCTATATACAATCTATGTGTAGATTAAAAATTATATATTCAAATGAATATTTATAGACATTATACTTATACACACAGGGTCAGGAGCCTGTATGACTTTATTAATCTTGCTTACTGACCTTCGCAAAACAATCATCAACCAATTACTGTTGAATTATTTTATGTTCTGACTGAAATGTATAGTTTTGTGTATTGACTTTGTTTGTAATAATAAAATCGTTCTCTTTTCCCCTGTAGCTTTTTGGCAACCACATTAATTTTTTTTCTTCAATGTTTGTGACATTGCTAACATAGTTAAAATATTCTATTGCAAAATATCACACCATATCTTAATTTATAAAAATGTATTTGTGAAATTTTATGTGTTCATATTTACATCTAAATATAGATTATTCTGCTATATTCTTTTACAGAAGAGTATCTTTGTTGCGTGTTGCTCACCCATGTTACTCTTCAACTTCATCAGAAAGGCCTCAATGCAAGCTTGTTATCTTTGACAAAGATGGTACACTCACATGCTTTGATTCTATGTGGGCACCATGGTGTGAAGAAACTGCTGAAAGGTATATATTCTTTGTACATCAGCATATAAAATTTGACTACATATCTGACCTTTGGAATCCCTATTCTTGTTGTCTATTTGTAGATTAGAAAAAGCTTCTGGAAAGACACTATCTGATGTTTTTTATGATTTTGTTAACTATGACAAGAAATCTCAAAAATTTGGTCGAAGTAAATTAGCACACGACACAAATGCTGTATTGAAAGATCAATTAGCTGAAATTCTTGTGAGTATTCGAGTTGTTTCTAACTTGTGTTTTTATTTAAAGGATTTATTTGAGAGAGTATAATATACCATATTTTACGACCCATAAATAAGGCGCACTGTCAATAAATTGCTTAGATTGTGTTTGTCTTCATACATAAGGCACAAGGGCTGTGGGACGGAAGCATAAAGCACTACCTGATCCACACATCTTATAAGGTGCACGATCAATTTTAACAATTAAAATAATTTAAATTGTGCCCAATATCATTGAAATCCTATTCTAAGGCCTAAGCACAATGTTACCATTAAGAAGTATCAAAGAAAACTGTATTCTATTACTAAACCCTATTTTCTAGCAATTTATTTTTAGAATAAACAACATGGAATAAATCTTGATGATGCAAACTCATTCATTTCTTATGCTTGGACTGATACATTCTCTACCGATGATTCCCATACCAATGCTGTCAAACCATTAGGAGATGTTCGAACAATATTTCAAACTTTAAAGTAAAGTATTTGTATTTTTATTGAACTTGAAAACAGAACTATCTGGACCAATATATTCGAAATTGGTTACATTAAATAAAGTAAATATTTTTTGGAAGAAATCAGAATATTTTCACATTTAAATTTATTGTTATATTCATTCCACATCTGATGAAAACAACCTTTTTTTTATTTCGATACTGTATAAAATCAATTATCTCTTTTACTAAATATAAGCTCTATAAATTCATAATGACTTTGTAAAATTTCGGTTGAAGAAAACCTAATAATTTAGATTATATTATATTAAGAATAGTAAACGCCATTTATGGTTTCGGTCATACTTAATGCAACTGTTTCCTCCAAGTTTCATGGTCAAAAAAATTAATCACTCGGCTTGTTATCCATTTATACTTCCTGTATTTGAAATTTAGGATATCCTTAATTGCTTCACAATTGATACAGTTTCTATCTTTGAATATAAAGGGGTCAGTATAAAATAATGCTTGATATGTTTTTTTTAAATTTTGTAAGCAGAATTTCTCAATGCAAGGTTACACCTACTCACTCAGAAACATAGAAATCTGATCTCTGAGTGAGTAAGTTGCGGGAAGCAACTAAAGTTCCAAGAGCTACTGAGATTATGAAAAATCACATAGATAGTGCATTAGTAAATACAGATTAAAGGGAGACTTAAATCATTTTATGTCAATATGGTTTGAAAAAAAAAACAGTGGTGTAGTGAATTCACATAATTGAGGTTCTTCGAAAAAATTAGGCATAACATTTTTTTTGTCTGGTAGATACATAATACATTGACTGTTAACTGTGAGAGCTCACAGCTAATGGAGTTTGATGACTCAAAACATTTTTGGAAGACCAAGTTCTGAAAGTTCAGAAAAACAAAGCCTATTGTATTATCTTAATGGTAACCGGACGAGAGGCCGTGGTTCGCCATATGGATAAGCCGTCTTATCAAATTTCTTCTCCCCCGGGATAAATATGTAAATCCTATCCTACGCAATAATGCTGATTCAATGTATGTACCTAATAGTTACTTTTATAAATGCTGATTATTTATTTTATCACTAAATCAAAATAAAGGCAATTATCTCTACCTAACTTCTAAATATTTTTTAACAGAGAGAATGGCATTAAAGTAGCTGTATGTACTTCTGACACAAGACCGAGCGCAAAATTAGCTTTGAAATCGCTTGGTGTTGCTGATATAGTAGATAGATTGGTTTGTGGTGATGATCCTGATAACACTCCAAAACCCGCACCCGATAATGTTCATATGATTTGTAAAGATCTTGATGTTAAAGTGGAAGATGCTGTTATGATAGGTAAAATACATTTGAGCTTTTTCATAAATTGATTTCTAACGATGCTTTGTTACAACTTGCAAAAAGCCATTTAGACATTATTAGTACCGGTAATTGGTGTTGGAAGTACTTTTTGGAAGAAATATTGTTGTGTTCATTTAGAAGTACTTGCATGTAATAGTTATTTTTCTATGTTATTTTACTGTGACCTGGCATGTTGTAAAATGTTCTAATGAAAATCTGAAATTTCATTCATATCTGAGATACAAAAATTTCACACACTAACAGACTTTATTCTATAAATATTTGAAGACTAATTTAAAAAATTTTTTTTTATATTTGTGTCGTTTCTACGTTAGTCTAGTTAGTTGGGTTTTCGACAAATTTCGATAAATTCACCAGTTTTGGATATGGGGTAATTTGACTCTCACCCCAACAATTGTTCTTTTTTAGGTGATACTCATTTCGATACCGTCATGGGCAGGGATAGTAAATGCGGAACAGTGATTGGGGTTTTGACAGGACAAGTTGATGAATCTGAGCTTGATGATGCACATTATGTTGTTAATTCAATTGATGAAGCTCTGCCTATTCTTCTAAAAAAATTGGGCAAATAGAGCAATGCTGGTATGGATGTGTATGTTGTATATATGCGAGTATTTTTGAATGAATAAATATAAGATTTTACTATCTGAAAGATTGAAAAAAATGCAAAAGCAGGCTCAGAAATTTGAATCTAATCTTGGAGATTAAGTTTACTAATACAAATTCAAACTTTATAAACGTTCATAAAACAAATATAAAAATAATTACAAATTTTTAAAGTCCAACTTGTAGTCCTCAATCTGTCAATCCATATGTTGAAATGATTTTTAAAATAATGTTTTTTTAACAATTTTTCTTTCTTGCAGGTTGATTGTAATATCATCAGAAAGTAATAGAAAATGTTGGTTGGTACAATGGTATTTCTAGTTGCTCCGTGTACAATGTATATTCGATAATTTATATAGCCAATGGTGATAATTTTGTTTTGTTCATGTATTTACTTATTTGCTATGTCAACTGTTTGCTTAATAAATTTGGTACCTACTGGTGTTAGATAAGATTTACCGGTAACTGGCAAAAATAAATGTTTGGTATTCTGGATAATCTTTCAGTGTGATAACTGGCTGCTACGCATGTTTAAGGTGAGGTAATACATAACATAACCATACCAATTATATTATTTCATCGTTTTTTTTTTTATTACCTTTCATTATACATATATCGAAGTGTCCCTAGCACGCCATGTCTTGCAGTTTTTTTAATAAAAATTTCAAACTTTGGCAAAATAGATTGTTTTTGATTGCCTAAACCTTTTCCAATATATTAAAATTTTCTGCGTCCCTTGTTAAGTCTCTGATCCTATGTATTCTCTCAAAATCGTGAGATTGATCTTCTACACTAGTTTTAATAATTGTGTTTCAAATCAAAACTCTGAAAGAGTACAATATGTATGATACTTTGTTTGAAATTGATGTACTTTTTGCCACCCCTAAAATTCATTGCGCGACCCCTAGTTTGGGAAGCCCAGCTCTATATATATCCTCCATGTATTATCACAATGTCATGAAATCAAACATTGAAAATTTTGCGTGTGGGATATAGGTATAGCCTAGTAAGTATCAGCTCTAATAAAACTAAAATTTTTAATCATGTACTTAGAACCATCTTCTTTAAAGTAGTAAATGTGCATACATACGCTTTAATACTAAAGCAAATATTATAAGAAGTACGAGTTGCAACTGTATTGCTATCTTAACAAATTATGCAATTTGTTTGTTTTATATCGTTAATCAGAGACTGACTGAGCTTTTTATGTTGATTTGAGCACATTGATTATTATTATGTTTATTAAATAAGTATTAATCATTGTTTCATATAAAATTTATATAATTATAAAATTAGTATATTCAGCATTATCAAATGAAATACTAATTTTGTAGATAATTTCATTGTAACCTCACTACTTTTCATTTGATACTTATTAAAATAGAACATGGAAGCCCAACAAAATTGTATTGTAGTTTTTGTACTTTTTCCATAATTCTTCCATACAGCTTTTTGAAGTCTTCATTTTCGTAAATTTACGATTTTTGTCATAAATTTATAACTGAAAAAACAAGTGCTGTTCATATTTTACACATTGGCTGAAATTTCAACAATCCATTCAAGGGAAGATAATTTTTATGATCAAGTGTTACCAGACCAATGGTTTTTAAGCTTTCATGATGAGCCCATTTTCCATAGACTCAACACTTGTGGCCCCCTGCTCTTCTATAAAAATACTTTTGCTTTTCCATTTCTCTCGTGTTTCCATCACATCGAATAATAATATCCAGTAAGCGAAAGAAAGAGAATTACCTAATGTGTCACAGTCAAAGAACAATTAATTAATAATTGAACCTCACAATTATACGAACCATTATTGGCCCCTTGCAGATGCTCCCTTCTCCTGGGCCGCGAATATCCTTCTGCTTCTAATTCAGGCCCCCGGTCAATCAACTTTGGGAACCACTGCTTTAAAACACTGGTCATAGTGAATGATACCTAGTGAAGGCCTTTGCTCATGGCCCCTAGAGAACCTCTCTTTGGCCCCTCGGGGTCCCAGTCAGAGAAACCCTGGACTATACTATCACAAACAATGTTAAATTATATCCTAGGCAGCCAAACCCATATTTATTCAAAACTTATTTTATATTTAGTGTATTTTTATTCTTGTTTAGAGTAATGCAATATAGCAATTGTGATGCATCTGCAATAATTTAATATTATATTTACAGATATATTTAGGCTTGTTTCTAATTAGGTAATTTTTGTAAATAATTTTATATCATGAATACTTCATTACGAAAATTGCTTCCCCAATCACAGAAGATGATTGCAAATGTTAAGTGAGTATTCTAGTTGTTTTATAAAATTGTAAATAAGGACATTATTATTTGAATAAAGGCTTTCTAGCGTAGTGGTTTACAACCGTTTTTATGCTTGGTTTCCTTGTCAGTTGTCACGCACAACCACAAATTCAGTGGTTCGCAACCTTTTTCGATGTATGATTCCTTTCGTTGCCTAATTCGGGTCTCTTTTGTTTCTTTCGTACTGTGAATAATTCCTTATTTTAATCAATTTTTAAATAATCTAGAGCTCGTGCTATGCACAAATCGAACTCCGACTTTTGCATGATTCGAATTGTCTATAATGTGTGTACTAATAGGTATTACAATAATGCCGAATAGCTAAAGGATTTTGGTAGAACTACACTAAATGCAAAGCAATATTTATCTATTTCTTTCCCCAGAACAACAAATGTTCTAACCAAATTCCTCCGCTATTGAGGAACAACGCACTAATAGAATACAAATAAATTGACCTCGTTAATTGTTTTTTATATTTTTTCAGTAAACAGTTTTCCCCATCTGCAATCGTTCGTTATTCATCAACTTCATTAGAAACGTCTCAATGTAAGCTTGTTATATTTGATAAAGATGGGACTCTCACATGTTTTAACTCAATGTGGGCGCCGTGGTGTGAGGCTACAGCATCAAGGTTCGTTAAAATATAAATATAAGGGTTGAAATTATTTTGTTTTGGACAAACGACACGATTGCTTATTCACAGATTAGAAAACGCCTCTGGGAAGAAACTCTCAGAAGATCTTTTTGAATATTTTAACTATGATAAGACGACACAAAGATTTGGTCGAAGTATATTGGCTCATGATACACATGGAGAATTGAAAAAAGGATTGGTCGACGTTTTAGTGAGTATGCCGACTGTAGACTTGTTATCAGTAAATTGTGATATTTTATTACTTATCGAACTTGATCGGTTGAGTATCTTGATAGGTATTTCTCTGTTTGTTTGTTTGTCTGTCAATTAGATACACGCGATATCTCACGAAAGCGAGGTTGAATCTGCTCTAAATTTTGTATGTGCATTTATTATATCTCGGACCAAAAGCCTATTGATTTTGGATGAACTATGTTGTATAATTAGCAAGTTATTAATTAATTAGTGATGGGACACGTGTGTCGCTATTGAGTCAGAGCAAACGATACACCCCGCTAGATCGATAAGTCGGCGGTCTTTGATTGCTATCTTGTCATTATCTTTTAATCGTTATTCTGACAACTTTTTGATAATTCAAACCAGTAAAATAGAAAACTCAATTTTTACTGAATATGTTTGTTTTTGCGATGATAGGAAAATTCCTCCCATAGAAAGTTAAATCGAAAGTTGAAACATTTTCTCTGTTGTAATTTTCCATCCAAGCAAAATTCAAACCTAACCATGATTGAAGGACTTCGGTGGATAAGAATTTATCAAACACTACTATATATTCAAATAGGTTATCAAGTCACGTTCATGGATTAACAACTAATATTTGAATAACTGTTTACAGGCTGGACAACATGGAATAGATATAGATGAAGCAAAATCACTCATTTCTCATGCCTGGGTTGATTCATTTGATTCCACTGACAAATGTCATACTCTCACTGTCAAACCGTTGGGAGATGTTCAATCAGTATTCAGGACTTTGAAGTAAATGGAAAAGTTCAATTTGTTTTACTTTTATTAGATAGGGGTGATGATATGAAATACCAAGAGCAAGAAACCACCAAAAAAACGGAACAGAAAAGATTGATTAATGAAGTCCCATCTTTTGGCCGCAGGATTCAGATGTTTGCGACTTATTATCTCTTAGCTTTGTGCCAATTTGTATTAGAAAACCTATTTGGGTTAATTATGTTCATATTCACATGGTTATTATTTATTAGTAAATTCCTCTGGAGCATTGTTCTTCAATCTTTTTTCATCGTGACCCACTTGGCACGGGCAAATTTTTTCGCGACCCTCTACAAACTGAAATAATAAAACAATAATAAAAATAAATAAAAACGGGAAATACAGAGAATATTAAAAAAAATAATAATAAAATTGATACTACCTTCAATAAAACCGATGTGCTTGCATATTCCAGCACAAAAGATAAAGTCTTGGCTCTATTTTGGTGATAGTGGGTCTCAGTGCTTGTTCCAAATTTATCGATATTTGGTTTTAAACATAAGTTAGTGTCGAAAAAGAATTTCCTGCCCCTTCGGGACCCACCGGGGGTCGGTACCATCGGTTAGAAGAGCCCCGATGTAGAGGATAATTTTGTTCCTGTATTGGAATTATTCAATATCACTAATTGCTTGAGTACCGAATATTATTCGAACTAAATATTTTAAATTTTGTTGATACAAAACAGAGGTGGCTAACCTATCTTCAACCAAGCTCGACTAAAATCTTCATAATATCTTGCGATTGACTGATCGATAGTAAAGTCACTTACAAAAATGAATGAATACTACCAAATCTTGGCTTGTTTAGAATCAATAAAAAATTAATATTGAAAAGGACAATCTGGTGTCACAGCTACTGTCGCACAGTACAAATACTTGTCGAAGACAATTTTTGAGCATGTTGTTATTTCCATTCAAAATTAGATGTGATTGACCACCTCAGATATGGCGATATGAACAGGATCGACATATTGGCCAGCCCTTGACAAAGAAGATAGAGAACCAATATAGGTATAAATCCCTCGAATCAAACAAATTTATTCTGAACACAAGTTCAAGACAAGTTGCCAGTATTTCACTAACAGACTTGTTACTTCTCACAATATGTAAAGATTTACAATTGATTCCATTTTCATGATATTCTTTACAGGGAAAACGATATCAAAATAGCGGTGTGTACAGCTGATTCAAGAATTGGTGCTGAACTCAGTTTGGAAGCTCTTGGCGTTGCTGACGTGATTGATAGATTGGTTTGTGGTGATGATGCTGATAACACTCCAAAACCTGCACCCGATAATATTCATATGATTTGTGAAGATCTTGATGTTAAAGTTGAGGATACTGTTATGATAGGTAGGTTTTGGCATGATGGCTATTGGTTGAAGGGAATGGTTTAGCTATTGTCATATTGCCTACATTGCCATAGTAAAGTTTATTTTTTTCATTGAAATTGAAAAAAAAAATAAAAAAAATTCAACACACATTTTTACTGGTAAGGAAACCCACAATGAACCAAAACTGGATATTGAGCAACGACACCCGAAGTTCAATATCTATGGTAATTAAATTTATAAGGTCATTCATATAGTTTCCTTAAAAAACTGATTTTAGAACGATAAACTCTCATTCTTAAATATATTTAAAGTGAGTAAACTCACGAAGTTTTGGGTTTCTTTTGGGTTTTCTCCGACTGCAGCCCCCCGAGACCTCCTCAAACGTTTTTGTGGCCCTTCAACCTCGCAGCCTTGGACCACCCTGTCATAATCAATATTTGTATCACCTCTATTAACTAATTCCTATTCAAATTAAATCTAATGTATTCTGGCATATTCTGAGTTCGATTTTTGGTATAGGTGATACTCATTTTGACACAGTCATGGGAAGAGATAGTAATTGTGGAACAGTAATTGGTGTTTTATCTGGACAAGTGGAAAAATCTGATCTTAAGGATGCACATTATGTTGTTAATTCAATTGATGAAGCTTTGCCTATACTTCTTAATGGCCCTGACTCGAACAGTCTTCGTAATGCAGGTAAGGTTTTATTGCAGGGAAATGTCCTTAGCTGAATAGTTCAGCATTCTAAAATTAGGTTTTGGAAGCATTTGAGAAAGATTAAGACCTTACTGGGAAGTTTTGTTATATAGTCAGAAATCTCAAGTCCCATTTATCTTAATTTCAACTTTATTAGACCTATTCTATCATGTACTAAATTTAAGTTGCTGTTGGAATTTATAGCTCTAATAACAATACTAGCTCGTAACTTTGCTTATTGGAAGAGACTATATTTTCTCTACTTCTGTGTGGGTCAGCATGACAAACATGCAAATTCACTTGAAATATAATAAGAAGATCTAAATCCTATCTTTGATATTTAGATTGTTGTAAATTATTTTACATGTAGCATTAGGATTTATTATTCTCTGGTTAAATCTTAATAACTATTGTAGCCACAGAAGATTCATCAACAGTTATATCAGTCCTGTTATCAATTTATTCTCCACACTTTTACGGAATTAATATAACTATCTTTCCTCATTCAATAAGGTAATTCTCCGAGACATGCTGAGCATTCAACAAGAATGTACAAAACAAGGTAAAACAATAAAAATATAATTTGTCTAATCGTCTACTTTGGATTTTAATGTTCATGTATTATGGTGAGGTGTTATTGAGCATTCCATCTTTGATCTTCTTTGATATAAATATAAATATAAAAACGCATAACACACAAAACAACGTTCCTCAAATCATTTATTCTTCTCATTCTCATTGTGATGAATGTTCCTGTTTTGAGAGTAATTTTGAAATAAGCTTTTGCTGTTGCTAATCAACACCTGTGTTGCATTGTTGATTTAAAAAAGTCGTTCTCATTATTTTTTTTTCCATTACTGTCAGAGCAGAAAATATACTCTTTCAACACACAGTTTGAGTTTTATAGGATTCAAATAAAATAAAAGTAAAAATGTGTGTTACGCTTGTGTTTAATTTGGAAAAACTATAAACTATCCATATTTTGAAATTTTCGCTTGCTCAAACTCACTTTCACATGTTGTATTGTCACATTCTAAACCAAATTTAATGCAATTGACGCAAGAAAAACCTATTGAAAAATCTTACAACAACTCAAAATTTATCATGTTTAATCTTTTCAATACTTCTGGGATCCTAATAATTACTATTAAACTGTAATGTTTTGTTTTTCAGCTCATCAGAAAACAGTACAATGAGTGGAAGTACATCACCACAACAAGACTGATTCTTGAATTGTAGAAAATATATCAGTATACTTTATAAAATTAATTTTGGATTTTTAATTTAATACAGGGTGACTGACACCCAAAAAAACAGAACCCAGGTTATTTGTAACATATTCTAGAGGGAACTTAACTTTTGTGCAAAGCATTCACGATGACTAAAACTTCTCTGTACAATGATACACAAACTAAAGTTGAGTGTGAAGTATATTTTCTATATATTTATAGATGTAATTGAGAAATTTATATGTTCTGTTTTTATGGGTAACCTTATAGTTTTCTATTACTGTTCAATTTATTGAATATGCTGCTTTGTTACAATTTTTCAAATTGGATAAAGGAAGTGTTGTTAATTGAATTCAAATTGTACATTCATACTACATACTTCATACATTTATATTTTATCCTTATATGAAGCGAATTGTCAAGACAGAATGCATGGTTTCAGCAATTCGAATTCTTTTTTTTTAAGAAACGACTTGGAAAAGAAGTATATTTTCATACTAATACCCTTCAAAATTGTTATAAATGGTCTGTCTTATGGTTTGTAACAAACTGATTTAAGACAACAGAACAATACTATTGTCAGCAAAATTTCAGTCAAATTTTAAAAGAATTGCATTGATGTCATATCAAATTGTGTTCGTGCATTTTAAAAACCATCAAAATTTAGGGTGAAAATTTCGGGCTCGTAGGACTCTAGGGAAATTTGAAAAATGAATAAACGTAAAAGTATGTGTTGATTTTTTCCATCTCGAAGTAATGGAAATTTGGAATCAATTGATCAAATAGTTAAGAATAAGTAGTTTCTTTCACAATAACAACAATAACAATTAAGCAATATGGTACATAGACCTACGTCTTGTCCAATAAAGTATATTACTTTTATATTTATGTACAATGTACATTATACAATTTATATTACACAAACATGATATATATATTTATATATATATATGACAGAGTATCAGTCATCTGATACAGGTGTGGTCCATCTATAGCACAGCATATGACAATTATCTGTCATAATTTAATTTTTAGTACAATGTACTATGTAATGCATGCTTTAAAAACACTTTGCACATAAATAGAATTCACTACACAGATTTATGCACCTATTCACATTGTATTGGATTAGCTTTAATTGTAATTAAAATGATAATTTTTTGGTCTGGATAATTAACAATTGTTCATTGTATCACCCAAAATTTATTTCCATTTAATATTGATATGTTTGTTTCATAAATTTAATTAAGTGAAGATGGATATGGTAATGTTGTGGTAGCCATCTCCAGTTTGGTACCCACCTTACAGTACGGTTATTGTATTGTTCTAAATATCGTATGTTTTTCTAATCAAAAATATGATAAGATAACAGATGAAATAGTCAATGGTTTGAAGCATGTTTTAATCATTATGATAAATGAATACCTGGATGATCTGGGTCAGCAATTTTTTCATATAGTGTTAAGTTTCATCATTATTCCTTTTCCTGTGGAGCCATAGTCAAAAATCACACCTTAAATCTCGTTTAAAGTTTATTTTTGTATTCTCTTGTATATTGCAGCTAAATTTGTTGAAAAGAACCGAATTAAGTAGGTTTTAAGCTTGAATGTCCATAATGAATAACATATTTGAATACTTTCAAAAATGGGTGTTTCGATATAGTTAATTCTTGATTTCAGAAATAATTTGGAATATCTTCATTTCTAAAATTTGTTACTCTAATAGGTGTTTGGTAATGTGGTGATTAGACGAAAATAGACTTAGATTTACTGCAAAAAATTGTTACCCGAAACAGTGTTTATATGAAACATCTTGCATTACCAAATTCCATTTTTATGAATTTATAATGTTTTGTGCAAATTATCTCTTGAACATGATACATTTTAGAATATCTTCAATATTTAATATTCAAAAATATTATTTTGGAATGTATTTTAAAATAGCATCTCTAGATTGTCTGATATTGCACTTGTTATTAAGCATGACATTGCAGCAGCAATTCAGTGTTGTTTATGATAGAGCTTTTTTAATGTCACATCCTATATTTTTCTACTGTTCAATGTGAATATAAATTTTCCATTTGACAATGTTTAATGTCTTCATATTGGAGGCGTTCTTCGATTATATTCTAATTTTGGATAGTAATTCTTATATAGGAGTAGATAGTTGGTATTATCAGTAAAACATTTGAAAATTATCGCTGAAATACCGTTTTTGTTCAAAATTTCGAAAATTGTAATATTGAACTAAAGTTTCTCAACCAAGTGTTGACACAACCAACAAAAATATTAAAAAATTTTGCGATTAAAATTTAATTTTCTTTTCAATATTTATTTTATAATGTGGAGTGTATATTCATACATCCAATGTTCAGAGAAGGTAATTGAGTCACTGTATATCTCAAACTTTTTGAGGGATTATGAACATATGAAGGTTGAGAAAATTTATTCACAATATAAAATAATCCATATAATATACCATATTAAAAATATTGTCGTTTGACACTTATTATACATCCTTCAATCCAAAAACGACTTTAAATATGCAGACCCAGATATACAGGGTGGCCCAAAAGAAGGTATACAGTTATTAAACTATTTTATAAGCTTTGAAGCTACTTGCACTTAATGTTACTTGTTAAGTACCACAAAAATTGCTTATTTTTCCAGATAATAAATCTAGTGTGAATTTTACATTAGTTTTCTAGCTGCTTGGAAGGTAATAAGAAATAAATAAAATAATTGTATACCTACTTTTGGGCCACCCTGTACGTATACAATGAACTACTGTTAAACTACTATTAGGTATCTATTATCTTCTTTTTAGATGTTAATGTGTCTGTTGTATAATGAAGCTTTCATACATTTAGTTATAAAAAATATAGAGCGCACTGAATGCACAAATATAACAAATACTTTGAATCACAGGTGTTTAGGAATAATTGTAGGCTAGTATTTAACTCTTGGCATTCGTACCTTCTACTCTCAAAGGTGAGTTACCTTATATTTTATATAGAAATACATGTAGTCACACTGGCAGTTAGATGATAACAAATCTGAGTAATTTCGTTTAGACAACTCGAATCTTTGGTGAATGGTGTGTCCTGTCAATGACTTGAGACTGCCCAATACTGTTGGGCAGGGGCGTAGACAGAAATTTTCAAGTGGGGGGTGTAGTTCTGGAATTTTTAATTGCCAAGTTAGATGGTAACATATATTGGGTCAGGCCAAAAATGTGGAAATATTGATATGCATGATTAAAAAAGGCTACTTTTTACATTACAAAATTGGTGGGGTTCTGACCTTTAACCTCCCTCCCCCCTTGCTTCATATTTTTGATTGTATTTATTATGGTAGTTAGGCAAAAATTGTTTTTGTTCTCTTATAATTGGGCTGACAACTATCTTGTGTATCTTAACTCATCAACATATTTTTCTAATTGGTCTCATTTCTTTCAATTCAATATTTATTATTTAGTACATCAACATAACTTCACACCTTTTCAAATTATATTAGCCAACCAAGATGAATCATGCTGGGAAGGTTGTCTGCAACTCTTCTAGATTCAAAAAGACGAGGTATTATTATTTTCATCTTATTTTTCCTATGCTAATTCAATTTATTTTTATATATTGTTATTCATATTTTTTCGGTGCTCCCGAAGTATGCGAACCAAGATGGCGGACATCGGAACGTAACATGGGTAACAGGTTAGGGTTAGGCCATAATTTTTTTCCAATTTTCCTTATTTCAGTCCTATTATCAGTTCGAAGACTAGCCAAGAGCCTCCCGTAGTATTTATACCTAAAATTATGGCCTAACCCTAACCTAGTACACATATTACATTCCGATGTCCGCCATCTTGGTTTGCACTCATTCGGGAGCCCCATTTTTTCAGTCAGTAACTTTTGTAATTGTGGATAGTTTTAATATATAGTCTTCAATTTGGATTGGTGAATATAAGTTTCGTGTCTTGCATACATCAATATTTTTATAATAACAATTTACTTTCCTTGAAATTTCGGAGCATGAATCCCTAGTCACAATTTCTGTCAATCTAGAGTCAAGTCATGGGATAAATCATTTTCAACTCCTGATTTTGCAGGGTTGTGTCTATGGGGTTGCTATTTCATACATATGGACTAATACATACATTTCAGAACCCCTTTTAAAAATTCCTGTCTGCGCCTCGCCTTTTTTCAAGTTGGAGTTTCTTTTAAATTTTTCCCACCAATCCTGATTTGTACGTTCCTGATATTTTGATGATTTATTAACATGCATGAAAACAAATAATAAAATGAAAATGCCGGTATAAACAAAGAGCTGTCTCAAATCTATTTCATTCATTACTATGAAATTTTTTGTAGATCAATTCTTCACCGGCTAAACATTAGAAAGCAGAAAATTGCAAATTTTTTCTCAACATCTACTGTGATGGAAAAAGATTTCACTCATATCATTGTTGGTGCAGGTATGGATATTATATGCCAGTAGCATAATTTTGTCAGTGACGTTATTCATATAATGAGTGGCGCATTCTGCTAATAGTTAGGAATTAGGAATACACTCACAAACGCACCTCTGATTATACTGCATGAGTTTGCAGGTTCGAATTCTGGGGCGGACAAATATGTGTGCGGAGATTGCTAGACTAGACTCCTCGGTGATTCACAACAGGTGTTGCTTTCTCCATCATCAAGTCCATGCATCTGAAACATATAACTGACTAATCCCCTGTCTGATATGGGCTGGTAACTGGACAAGAGGTTGTGGTTTGCCATATGATTAAAAGAGTAATCTTTCGAATATGGTTCTAATTCTATGATACCAAATGCACAGACCATCCATATGTTTTACTATATTTAGAATTTGATAATAACTTTTATACATCAGGTTCTGCAGGATGTGTGTTAGCGAACCGCCTTACCGAGGACTCGTCAAACAATGTCTTGTTGGTTGAAGCTGGACCTAAAGATACGATAATGAACAGCATGAGATTGTTATGGAAGATACATATGCCTGCAGCACTTACTTATAATTTGTGTGACGATAAATATAACTGGTAAGTAGGGATGGGCAATATAGATTAATTTACTATTCTAGAATAGTTAAATCGAATCCAGAATACCGAATCCTATTCTATTTTCATACTTATTCAAATAGTGGGAATTTCCACAATTGTAAATGTATTACTATGAATTTATCTTTTATTTGGAAATGTCCTGAACATTTGTTTTCATTTGATATTAAACAGGCATTTCCCAGGACAATAAAATTTAGGAATATTACTATATTTTTTCCTTCAATTGTTCCAAATGTATGTAATCCCTAAATACTGAAATGCTAAATTAAGACACGCTTTACACACTTTAATAGTAAGCGGTTAAATACAAAAATAGATATGAAACGGCGTAAATCATTTTCAATGTTAGTCTCAGGGCTGGGGAGCTGGTTCGAAATCATGATGGCTCCGGCTCCAGCTCCGGAGTCGCAGTGTATTCAATCTTTAGCTCCAACTCCGGCTCCGGAGCTTCATTTTTTTATGCCGGAGCTGGCTCCAGCTCCGGCTCCATAGCCATTATCAGTAGTGCAGCCCAATAACGCATTTTGCTAATTGTTTTCTAAGTGTGGCATGTTATTTAGGCTGTAAACACCCTTCAAGTCGGTGTCATGATAATTCCTTTTTGTTCCTGCATGTAACTTGTGAATCCACTGAGAGTTATTATATGCTGTATTTCCGGGCGAATCGGTCTACCCCGCATATAAGGGTTTTACATATAACCCCACAATAAGACGGGAAGGAAAATCGGCTTCTGGAATGGTCGCAGCGTTTGCGCATTCGGTAAAATAGCTCATAATGACTTTTTCTACCACATAATATTTAACCCATAATAACTGTCTTTTTATTTTAATTTAATTGTGTTCAACATAACTGGCAATCATGCGGCCACATAAAATCTGTCGTGGGCCATTCTAAAGTAAAACTTATGGTGTTTTCTGTTTTATTTTTAGTATTTTCTAATGTCGCTTTTTAATCAGGAAAATTTGGTTTGCGTATTGACTTCTTTATTTATCTTAGAATTTCATCACCGATGATTATGTAATAACTCGTTTTCTCACAAATATGGTGAGTTATTATAAGATACTAAAATGAAACGGAAAACACTATAAACTTTGTTCGAGGAGACTCCAACAGCTAAAAAAAATGCCTTGTTAATCTCATTATTTTTTTTGCCTACGACATATTATTTACCGGTTGACTTTGAAAATTATACAGTCACTAAAATAAATCTAAACGCAATCAATCTTACTCGCGATATACTTTTTATATATTCAAAAAATAACAACGGAAATTGATGAGACTTTTCTCCAGAACATGCTATGTTATGGATCAAAACAAGATATACCGTAATGGGGCACTTTGCCATACATTTTTATGATAGGTGACTGCTGCGGTGCATTTTGGAGTAGCTAAACCTTTCTTTTGTCTGAAAAACGACTCAATCTCGAGATACGTTGAACAGAATTGAAGACATTTGAAATGGATTGGATATTCAACGCCACGAAAAAATCATAATATGTTACATGGAAATTCCAAAATCACTTCTTCGAAAATCCCTGGCCATTAGGGTTTTTGAGCTTGACCGCAATCATGAAAAATTGCAGCTTAGTGGAAATGAGAATCAAAATTTTGATAAAAGCGAACCGCTTCAAATTTTGATACTAAACTTTCAAACATACAGAATAACTGGAAACTTTTCAAAAAATATTAGGAACTAAAATTTTTAAAATGAATTATAAGCTGGAAAGAAAAGATTTTATCATTTGTAACGCTATCAGAAAAAAATTATAAATTTGAAAAACAAAAAATGAGATATTTAGGAGCTGGAGCCTGGAGCCACTAAATTTTTGGTAGCTCCGGCTCCAGCTCCATCTGTTATGAAAAGCTTGGCTCCGACTCCGGCTCCATCAAACTGTAACGGCTCCATGGCTCCAGGCTCCGACTCCAGCTCCGGCTCCCCAGCCCTGGTTAGTCTGCCGAGTTTACTAAAACATACCCGCTGAGAATTAATTAGATGCAGGACCAGCGTGTGGCCACTGCAACTTACGCGGCCGTTGTAAAATATTAAATTTAACCACTATATTATATCAAAATCAATTTTTTATTCTGTGCTAGCAAGACTCGTAAAACCAAGTTCCCCTAAACGCGATTTCATACTTAGTTATTAGGTAATAACATCTAAAGACTAATTCCTTTTCTATGATTATCATTACATATCATTATCTACCCAGACTTGGCCCTACTTAAACTCAATAGGTCACTATCTTCGCCAGATGCGGCAACTTTTTCTTTAAATTTTCGGCGACTAAAATACTACAGACACTCGATCAAACGTGCGTCTATCTTGAACGATAGGAACGGACCGAAAAATATGTACCGGTAATCATTTGAGAGTGATATTCAAATGTGACAGATTTTCGCGTATTGCGATATAACTTTGTATTTCGGAAAATGGTGTACTTAGTTATTGGGTGATAACATCTAAAGACGAATTCATTTTCTATGATTATCGTTACAGAATATTATCTACACAGACTTGGCCCTAATTAAACTCAATACGTCATTATCTACGCCAGATGCGGCAACTTCGTCTATCTTGAATGGTAGGAAAGGACCGAAAGAAATGTAAGGTTTTGAGAGTGGAATTTAAATGTGACAGATTTTCGCGTATTGCGATATAACTTTGTATTTCGGAAATGGTGTAATAAAATTATTCGTAAATAATATTTGATCTAAATTAATCGCAAGCAATGTTATAACATTTAACGCCTGGCTTTTGTTTACATGCATCATTTTTTTGGGAAAACTCGCAAGTCGCGAGATATCATTTAATGTAAAATGAAGCAAGGCACGTCTGTAAACAATTAAAGATTGTTGCAATCAGATTATCGCTAGTAAGTCGGCACAAATAATTATTAATATTATGCGTTAGCTATACACTGAAGCAAATCAGTAAAACGCAAAAATGTTGCAATAACGAGTCTTCGCCGACTTCTTTTTCTGAATATGCCGATTGAGATTACAGTGTTTGATGTTTACCGACTTTATGAGCAGACGCAAGTAATATTAAACGAGAGAGATTTCCACGCGAGAAAAAACGCTGGTGCGATATCCACGCGAGAAAAAACGCTCGTCTTTAATTGATAAATTAGTAACCCGAAATACAAAAATTGACGCTAGATTATCGCTAGTAAGTTGGCACAAATAATTATTAATTGGCGCTTGGCGCCGGAAAGGCGGAAACCGAATCCTGATATCGGATCCCGTTGGATTCGAATACTTTGGGATTCGAATCCTCCGGATTCGGTATTCTATATTGCCCATCCCTACTGGTAAGATAACGATTTGTCATGTCGCTGCATCCCAAGCGATTACCAACGCAAAGGCATACCAATAGCCTGGTAGTTTTGCATAACCTCAAATGGTAGTTGCTGATCATATATATTTTGCATTCTGGATGTTTTTGCTATGATAGCATTAGGATAAGATAAGCAGAGGCGAATCACGTATTTATCCCGGAGAAGAGGAATGCTGATACAGTGGCGTAATCATATGACGAACCTCGGATGGTAATCGACCAGCGTTTACCACCCTACGATGGTGAGGAGGCCAGCATTCCTCTCAAGCATAATTTTCCCCCACATGATTGAACCTGCAAACCCAGGCAGGGTAAGAAGAGTTGTGGTGGAGAGTGTATTCCATCCGCTTAGCATGATGCGCCATGTGTAACGTTTTTCTACTTCATATATTTCCAGGTACTATCACACAACTCCTCAAAAGAATGTTGATAACCGTGTAATGTATTGGCCCAGGGGTCGTGTCTGGGGTGGATCATCATCTCTCAATGCCATGGTTTATATCCGTGGTCATGCTTTTGATTATAATCGATGGCAAGATGAGGGGGCAGAAGGATGGGATTACGATCATTGTTTACCTTATTTTAAAAAAGCTCAGACTCACCAGTTAGGTGCTGACACATATAAAGGTGGTGACGGCCCCTTGAACGTTTCTCGAGGTTAGTTATATCATAACCTGTAGTTTATACCAGTGGTTTTCAAACTTCGATGATTCGTGCGTGTGTGGCGTTTTCAACACTTATACCTGTCCTGAAATAATAATATATAGTTTCTATCACTCATTTCATTTGTTATAATAAAAAGCCAACAAAAAAAAACAAGAGAATTAATGTACAGCAGTCGAATACTTATTCAAATAAATTTACTTTGAACTAATGTAGGTATTGCGAAAGGTACATAGTGAAAGTTTGTTCTTTTGGTCCCAGAGATTTACCCAGAATTACTTGTTTCGCCAAAAGGTATCGAACATGGTTTCTTGAAGGGCCGTTATATTTGGGATAGATGGAGGGCTTTGGGTTTTTACTGGACAGTTGTGGTTCTAACTCCAGTATTTGTAATTTGGGATCTAAACAAAATATAACTAATGTGCCAACTTGATAAATTAGCTATTTTGCAGGTGACACATCTGGACCATTGTATCAGGCATGGATTGAGGCAGGAAAGCAAGCAGGATATCCATATACTGATGATTTAAATGGATTTCAACAGGAAGGTGTTGGTCCAATGGATATGACGGTTCATAAAGGTCGTAGATGGAGTGCTGCTACAGCTTATTTGAGACCTGTATTAGGGAGATCAAATCTTCAAACAGAGGTAAATCGGCGCTCCCGAAGTATGTGCACCAAGATGGCGCACAACCTGAACCCTAACCTGGAACAACTACTATGTTCAGGTTGTGCGCCATCTTGGTGCACATACTTCTGGAGGTCCGGTAAATCTTATAGGAATAACGGTGGCTCTGATTACACTGTGTGGGTTTGCAGGTTCAAATCTCATGTGGTGATAGTTATGTGTGAAAGAATTGCTGAACTCCTCGCTGCTGTAGTAGGGTACGGTACTAGTACTTCCACCATCAAGTCCATGCTTCCAAAAACAAATAAATGGCTAACTAATCCCATACCCGCCGACATGGCCTAGTTGCCAAACAAGAGGCCATTGTTCGGCTTACGATCAAGCTGTCTCATCCTCCTTCCTCTCCGTCTGATAAATATGTAAATCCTATCTTGTCCCTATTGGTATAAATCTATGGTGATGCTCCACTTGAATTAATTAATCTAACAAAGAACTGTATCTGAGGTACAAAATAAATGCAAAAGTCCATGCATATGAAGCATAGAACTGGTTAACTATTCCTGTACCCAATTTGTACCGGTAACCCCTTTCAATGTATAAGTATCGACTTTCTTCCTATTACAAACAATTTGTACGCAGTTTTCATATATACAGAGTGACCCCAAAAAACGAAACCCATGCAATATGTTCCAAATGGAACTGGGTTCCGGTTTCGTTTGGGTCACCATATATAAGGTTCAAATACCATGTCTACCAACTCAATCAGGGTTTTATAAATTGGGTATGCAGTGGCAGTGCCGAACCAGACAGATTCTGTTCCTTTCAGAAATTCCAGCTCCTTTGATCATTAGATATCAGTGTCCTCTTGTACCGAGACTTGTTTGGAGCCTAAACATGGATAAGCTTTTTTTTGTTCAAATGGGACTATCTTATTGACTTTATTCTTCTTTCATATGAATATGAAAAATTCTATCTCTTCTTATCTCTTCAAAAGCTAAATTACTATGTCAATCGAATAAATTGGGGGGAGCTGACTTGGATGACCGCATGGTTCTGTCGCTCCTTCCAGTCTTTACCAAAAAACAGTATTTGTTTATTATATATGCTTTCATTTGTTTTTCTTATTGGTTGACAAATCAATGAATCGATCATCTATTTCAGGGGTCGGCAACCTACGGCCCGCGGGCCTGATCCGGCCCGTGGAGCACTATAATCCGGTCCGCGACGCTTCACTAAATTACACTAACAAAACATCTGTTTTGACGAATATATTCTTTAGACTAAATTATATTATAACCTAACAATTATATAATTCGCAATTACTCGTTTAATGAGCATATAATTTAAATATAATTAAGCAAATGGCAACAAAACGCAGAAAAGTTGATGCTAAGTGCAAAGGGTTCAATGGCGCTGAAAATATTCAAATAGAATTTTATGAGATGCAATGAGGAAACAAATCGATATTCTATTCGAGAGATGTATCACTGCTTGATTTTTAATATAAAAAGTATCATCCGTTCGGTTTTCAACTTTCTAAAAATATGTGCGGCCCACCAATGACTTGCAACCTTAATTTTGGCCCGCGAGCGACAAAAAGTTGCCGACCCCTGATCTATTTGATCAAAAATACTCGATTGAGCTAAATCGTTATGATTATAAAATTTTTTCTACTGTCTTACAGGTACAATGTTTTACAACTAAAATCATATTTGATGGTAAAAAGGCAGTTGGAATAGAATGCATGATTAACGGTCAAAGAAAAGAATTCAGAGCTTCAAATGAGGTTATTTTATCTGGTGGATCAATCAATTCTCCACAGTTATTAATGTTGTCTGGAATTGGTGAGTTGGTGTTTTAGTTGTATTGCAATGTACAAGAACGTTTCTGGGAGAAGCATTGGTGATTATAATGTCTGCTCGTCACCACCATGATGGTTCAACATACCTACTGGGGCAGTGCTGTGATGTAGGGAGTAGAAATTTCGAGTCGGAATTGCAGAATTTCAATTGTGACAAAACTAATCGAAACTTTCAATAGGAACCTAAAATTTTCAATGTTTCAAAGCATCAAGGGTTAATTTCAGTATGCTGAAGATGGCCCGAGCCTGACTAATTAACTGGATTTGCAGGTCTGAGCCCGAAGCAAACCCGAAATTTCGTATTTTATTTGGGGGTCTAGGAGTATAGGAAGAATATTCTCAGGGGTCAGAGGTCGGGGAAAGGTTCATTACAGCTTCTCTGATTTATTCAAATTATTTCTTTTATACCAAGTATTCCTTAGTTTAGTATCCACACATAGTTTTAGTATTTATTTTTTATAAAAATATATTTATTTAAAAAAAAAGTCATCGATAGAGAAGCCCGACCCGAACGTAATGATTGGCATTTTAGGCCCGACCCGATCCGAATTGTCGGGTCGGGCTTGGGCTTCAGATCTCAGCTCTAGTGCTAGGTTTGTCACAACTTTCTCCAGCATCCGAGTTTATGCATTTGAGACTAAATTTATCTTATTCGCTATTCCCATACCCAACTTGAGGCCGTGTTACTTCATGACCTATTATACAATTACATGTAAAAAAAAACTTATCTTGTATCATACTCGAATTAAATCTTTATGTTCTCTCGATTTGATCGTTTTCTTAATTATCTACAGGTAACGCTGATGATCTGAATAAATTAGACATTCCTGTTGTTGAGAATTTACCGGGTGTCGGTGAAAATTTACAAGATCATATAGAAGTTTATGTTCAATACAAATGTAAAAAGGTTGGTTAATAATAAACGTAACATGCAGATATTGTATTTTGTTTTAGATAGAGTGCTGTGCATCATTTACAAAACAAAGTCTCTACATTGTTAATTAAAATTTTGTCTCAAATTTTTTCCACAGTTTTTTTTATTATTTCCCAGTTACATTCTGTATGTTTTTTTGTGATGTGATTGTGATGAGATAATGATATATTAGTGTTATAACATTTAATGGTTAATATTGATGAAAAATGGTTTCACAAACCTAAAGTTTTTGAGACAAAATTTTTTTTTAAATTGATGTTTACAAATTGCAATTTTTTGAAATGCTTGTAAATATAACTATCGGTTGGAATTACACGAGACTACTCTATACTATACTTTTTGATGAGTCTGTATGTCTATAATGCAATGACACTGAATCAGGAATGAAGATGACTATTCTATGTGATTCAAGGATCTTGCTGCACACTATCACAAATTTATTTCTCAACGTTTCCTCTGACCGAGGTCAGCATTCTTCAGTCAAGAATAATTATTTAAACTTCAACAAGACTCAACAATATTGATTAAAACACGATGCATGTTTCACTTTCACATACTTATAAAAATTATTTAAAGTAAATTAATTGAAACTTGAAATGTATTGTAGGTTGCTTGTATTATAATCATTTTCAATATAAAATATGTTTTGTTTGTTTCAGCCAATCACGCTGTACAGTGCTCAACAACTTATAAATATGATTCCTATTGGTGCTGAGTGGTTGTTAAAACAGACAGGCATGGGAGCAACGACACATCTTCATGCTGGAGGATTTATAAGAAGTAAACCAGGAGTTTCACATCCTGATATTCAGTATCATTTCCTACCCTCTCAAGTGTGTCCAACTTTCTGAATTGGAAATATGTTCTAGAGAGAGATAATAAGCCTGATTCACTGTGGCTGTCTCTTGCTGTAATATTGGCATTTCGTCTGTGTTGTTTAGGTTAAAATGCGTTTCGACAAAATTTTTTTCAAGCAACCCAAATCTTTTACAAACTAAATTCTGTAAAATATTGTGACCCAGTGCTATGCTCAAATACTGAACAGCATGTAGTACTTTTATGGCTGCAAAATTAAATTACTAATATAAATCAATCAACCTAAGCAAAATAGAGGCTGCCAAGTTTTTATGCTATGATACTGTATGCTGTACTAAATTATTAGGGTGGCTCATTACAGAAAGGAAATAGAGTTTCAATATATATTCCAGGGCAATATAAGCTTGCTTGATCAATGTTAAACAATTGTTCCATCAATGTTCTTTCTCAAGATAAATTTTAATCCTGCTCTATTCTGATTAACAGAAAATGACTTGTTCAAAGACTTCATTATGCAACACTTTACTTTATTCAGGTTATTGACCATGGTAGAGTTGATCCAGAATTCCATGCATTCCAAGCACATGCCGGTACTATGAGAGAATCAAGTCGTGGTTGGTTGAAATTGAAGTCAAAGAATCCTAAAGATCATCCAATTATTGAACCAAATTACCTCAGTACCGGTGAGTAAAACCTTTGTACCTCTTTTGTATTACAAAGATCAAAACTTTCTTCTAATATATTTGAAGCTAGTGAAGTTGTATTGGAAACTGTGAAATATTAATTCTCACATTTTACTGTCACAGTAATCTCTAGTGCAGAGTTTCTCAAATTGTGGGCCCTGGGGTCACTTATGTTTAACCACAAAGAAAGACTTCCACCAGCTACCATTCACCAAACAGCAGAAAGCACTTCCTGATCCATACTTTAGACCAGGGGTGTTCAACCTTTTTTCCGTCAAGTACCCCCAGAGTCACGAAACAATCAACGCGAAACTTCGGTAATCAGACACCGAACAAAGTTGTGATTAACTGATACATTGACTAACAATTTGTTGCAACACCAATTTATTGACCATATGTAACTAAATTAAATTGTCTTGTTGATATTATTGCAATTGTCGTCTGCCTAACTAATGAACTCCTAAAATTTCTCCCAATTTTCAATAAGCATAATCACTTCTCCAATGCTCGCAGCACGCTGTCTTTAGAGATTTCACAGTTTGTACGCAAAGACTTGAAATTCACATTGTTGCGTCACAATCACAACAATGCAAGATCAAGGAAAATCTACGTATCAATTGGTGTCTAGTTTCAATGGGCACGCATTTCCCCATGATAGTAATAAAGGATATTAAAAAACAGCAACATACAAAAACTCGACTGTCATCCAAGTACCCCTGGAAATCTTCTCGTGAACCCCTGAGGGTTCGCGAACCCCAGGTTGAGAACCTATGCTTTAGACACACAATCGTCTTTTGAGAAAAACTTTTTCGAATAAATGCATAAAACCATTAAAATTGAGATTTTGCTCAGCCAATTTTTGAGTTCACTATGGTGCACAAACAGTGAGTGATAATCACCTGCTGTTTTAGCATCAGTCAGGCTAGTCAAATTTGTTCACATAATATGTATACAGGGAGTCCTCGACTTACGACGTTGTTCCGTTCTCGAGACGCGGTGTAACCCGAATTTCAGTGTAAGTCGGAACATTATAGTGTACAGTACATAAATTACTCTATACATATCGTACTGTATTGTAAAGTATGGTACTGTAATAAAATGTACAAATATTGCAAAAAAGTACTTTATTACAAAAAAACAGAAAATAATTCCATATCACATGAATAAAAGCAAATTCTGTACAGTACAGTCTTATCTTTTATATTTTTTATGGAGTGCGTTCGTGACCTCGAAACAGCGCTATGGAGTGCCCGTTCGTAACCCGAGGACTCCCTGTATTACACTAAATTACATTAAAGACAGATTCCCAACTAATATAAATCTAAGTTTATTAAAAATAATATTCGGACAAATTATGGTAGGTTACTTTTGTTATTTGCTTATTAAAACCCAACCTTAACCCGTTCAGAGGAAGACATTGTTGACATGAGAAATTGTGTGAAACTGACCAGAGAAATATTTCAACAAAAGGCATTTGATGAATTGAAAGGAGAAGAATTAAGACCTGGTGCAGAGGTATGATTTTTTTGTGAATTATTGAGTACGGTATATCTTCTCAAACTAAAACAGGAAGACAAGTTCATGAAGTTTTTTGAACATAGTTTCTATATAAAATCAACAGTCTCGTTTGTGCAGTGGTACATTTACAAATGTAGCTATTTGGTATATAGATTTGAAGTGAATAAAAAAAATAGTAGTCACCTAACTTCATTGTGGAAACTCTAATTTACCTTTGTGGGTTTGAATCCCTTTGGGGATAATTATGTGTGAAAGAATGGTTGGACTTTTGATTGTCGTAGGTTGATCCACGTAACCACTGGTCAGTTGTGGGCTTCCACCACCATCAATCCACACATATGAAACAAATAACTCATCTGTCCTCATACCCAGTATGTTGCATTGGTCGAGATCGAGAGGTTGTAGTTCCCATATTATGCTTAAGGTATATTGTCAATTTTCACCTTCGCAGAATAATATGAAAGTCCCATCTTGTATAAACCTATGTCATTAAACATTGAATGCTTTTTCCTTCAGGTACAGTCAGATTCAGAAATCGATGCATTTGTTCGGAAATATTGTGATTCATCCTACCATCCCTCATGTACTTGTAAAATGGGAGCGGAGTCTGATAAAATGGCAGTCGTCAACAATGAAGGCCAGGTGAGAAAATAAATGTCCAGAATAATACCAGCATTTTTAACTTTACTGTAGAACCTCTAACTGACAATAAATCAAGAACATGAAATTGATATGTTCATCAACTTTTCATTCGAAAGCATGTTTTTGTAATGGACCTTGTTCTTCTGATTGTTTGATACTTACTCTTCCAAAAGTTTTCAGCCATCAAACTCAAGGCTTTGAGCTTTCATAATCTTTATTTAAAATCTTTTGCAGGTTTATGGCCTTGAGAATCTACGAGTAATAGATGCCTCTATCATGCCAAGTGTCGTAAGTGGCAACCTCAATGGTCCTACGATTATGATTGCTGAAAAGATTGCAGATAGACTTCGTAACCGTGAACCCCTTCATATGCCAAACACTCCCGTTTATCAACCAAAATCTTTGTCAGCGCAACGCTAGATGTGATAAGATTTCCATTGTCAACATGCCAACTATTTCTGTAAATTTTCAGGAAATGTACTTATTCTGGTGCTATTATAGCGTGAGATCTACATTAAGCTAATAGTTTATCTTGAGAGATACCGCTGCATTTTTCATCCCATCTCCATCCCATTTAATTTGGCTGGAAATACTTAATTTGTATATGTGCTAGGAATGATTTAATTAGATAATTAAGCATTATAAAAACTACATATTCAAGGAAGAAAGGTATAAAAAAATGGTAGCGCTGTTTTTTCTGTCAGAATGTCTCTTCTATAAAACTCTACAACATTTTGAATTGCCCTCAATCAATGTCAACTTGATCAGATAGTGGAGGAATCTGATTTAGGAACTCCATATTGCTCCCTTGTTTACAGGGCAGCAGATCCTGGGGGAAGCAGTAGTCCTCAGACTGCACCTGATAGGTAACAAATGGCTCTAGACCTCGTGCTACAGTAACACCCATTATTCTGTAGTAGTCTTGGACCATTCCAATTGCAATCATGCGTAATCTGTAAAGAAAATATTTAGCTAAATTAAGGCCATATCGAGCAGAAAAAAATTTATAGTGTAATTTATGAAGCAAAACGAAATCGCAATTGATTATTCATTTTCTGTAGGTTTGTAAGTAAATGAGATCACCTAAAATGAATCATAAAATTAATTAACAAACTCTATGCAAAATATGAAATTTAACACTGCTTTGTGATGTCCAACATCAAAACTTTGGTGCTATGATATTTTTCTATAAATATTTCATAACATACTAGTCTTCAATGAAATTTCAAACTTTATACGCAAAATCGTACATTTACATCATAATTTATTTGTTGCATGCAATATCATTTTTAAAGTCGTCAGCATTTAGACTAATAGCAATAACATAGAAAGACGCTATATAAATGAAGTGGGATTTTGTTACTGCATTAATTTAGAACTATTGTTAATAATTTTATTCAACATTTTATGGACGTTATTACCAATATTGAATTGTAGAGGGAGCAAAGAAATCAGGTTTCCCAAAAGTGATTTGGTCATATCAAATACAGCTCGAGAAATCTCAAATTATTCATTTTGACTCGGTTCATTGACATTTTTTAAACGCTGTGTGGCTAGTGACTTGACTCAAAATCAGACCAGACAAACAGGTAAAGAAATTGAAGTCTTGAAGACTTCACTCAATTGTAGTTAGGGGTTGGTTGATTCCTTCTTTGAAACCACGTTTGAATTTTTATAAATTTTCAATATTCGTAAGATTATTTATTCAATATTCGTAAGTGTATTTCATTAGTTTAACACTTTAACAATAAGATACTAATTCCATGATGTGAATGAGATGAAAAATGTTAGGTTTTTTGTTTTAACTTCAAGTATATGTATTTCCAGATTTGGTAAAAATTCATGGTGTGGTGTTCGGAAAAATATGCATGTTGAGGATCGAATTACTGCCTAGTTAAACATTTGTTATTCTTGAAATGAAATAAATTTTGTGGAATTAATTACATTGAAGCTATACCCCCAATCATATAAGTTTGAACTACTTCAAGTCTTGAAGGAATCAGCATTTTCTGGCCCATTATTCCCAATTTCTAAATGGTTCCCGTCTGTAACTCTGATCAGAGATGAATATTCTTTACTCCTGAGTGTACACCCCTTGCTTTGTACTTGAAAAATTCTGGAATACCACCTATTTGGATAATAACTTTTTCATACCAGCTCGTTTTTTTTTATTTTGATTTGGTTCGTTCATTGACAATACCTCAATGTTATCTGTATCATAATATCTCCTTTTAAACTACCTAAAAATCCTTTCATTTTTCAAAGGAATACATGGGATGAACCTGGCTTATCATTGTCCAAATTACGTTTTACATCGCCGATTCTAGCAAGGACGTTAATTTTTACAATATGCGGCAGTTCTTGCTTTTTCATACTTGCATTCGATCAATGTAATGATTCATTCTGATTCAAGTGTGCAATTCTCGTGTAATGAAATGATTTTGTGTACATGTTTTTCTGGTGTCGGAGCAAGGTTTAAACTTATTTAATTTGAAACGTGGGGTAATACTTAGTATTCCCCCATCTAGTAGACATACATAGTGAGCTCAGTCATCGAAAATGTTGATATTACACGCACTTATTCTGATAGAGCAGAAGATTATAATACTTAGTATTCGAGACTTTTTCAGTGGACTCGGACATCGAAAATGTTGATGATGTACGCACTTCTTTTGAGAGAGCGGAGTATATATCTTGAACCACACATCCGCTCTCAACTGTTTCAGGAAGCGCAAAAAATGGGATTTTGTTTTTGGCTATCTAAATGGTGACAGAGTACTCTTGTCCCGATTTATCCGCAGAGTGCTCATGTACTGATCTACTTATTTTCAGACGTTATTCTTTACTCATAATGTATAAAATTGAATTCGAGTTATTAGAAATGAAGTAAACTATCTCGCCTGTATTAGTGATGGAATATTTGCACGAACATGTTCGTTATTTACATAGAATTGCATTGTTAACATCAGCATTTAGGGACATTACGAACTTCATCATAAGGGCTATTCCAAGTGACACTACAGGACAATTCCAAAAATTATGCATGTTGTTAAATTCAATATATTTTCAGCTACATGTTTTGTTTCATTGTCCAATCAGTTGCTTTATTGAATATGTAAAAAATTGCACAAAAGTTACACCCAACCTTACTAAGTAGATACAAAAAATATAGCGTGACACTACAGGACGGCAAATCCACGATGCACTAACAGTACGTTGTGTTGTGCTGTAAATTTTTGCGATGGTACAGTAGGAGCCCATAATATTTTCTGGTGCAGTAGCTGAACTACCCCTCTATGTGTTGCTCAAGTTACTTAATGTAACACTGTAAATCCATACCAATAATGTGCATATTGTATGTGACACTACAGGACATTTTTCCTCTTCGGAATAGCGGCATCTATCATCTCTTAAAATTCTGGTAATAAATCGTTAAATGGGTGAAGAAATGTTCTACAGCACTGCAAACATTCAAACTTTATTAACTTAAATCCAGTGCGTCAATTCCATATGAAATAACTGTATCACACAATCAAACACTTTGTATCAGGAATCATCACAAAATATGTCAATTATACCAAAATTTCTACATTTCAGGCCATTTTTTATAAACCATCAAAAACCTGGGTGAAATTTTAAATTGTTCGATGAAATGAATGCAGTCCAATAAAAGTCCAATGTCTTTTGGTATCAAAAATAAAAAAAAATTACTTTCACTACACTTTTTAAAAAATTGATGGAGTTCAACTTTTGCTTGGAATGGCCCATAAGACGATAAATGTTCACAGGCGTATTGATAATATTTCATTTGGAAAGCGAGTATTCTGTTGCTTGTTCTTTTATTTCACGCTCTAATTATTATTCGAATCGAAGATTTTTGGTCTGCGCGCCAAAGGGCTCTCTTTGGAGTCTCTCGTTTTTAGTCATCAGGAGTCAAAGTCCACAAGCTCGAGCTTGTTTTGTTCTGTAGCGCTTATGACTGCGTCATCATAACATAGTAAACATATTTTTCATCGGTATAGTTTAGACTTAGTTATTATTATGATGCATGTATATTCGTGTAAATACTTTCAGGATCTCAAGCATTGAATGAAACTAGTGAAGCACGTTGATTATACGATGCCTACGAATTAGACATCGTTTCGAATTGGGCGTCGTGCTCATTCGCCAATGAAATCTGTTGACGCAGAATACGATTGCTTTTTACCAAACTTTTGCCGCTAGCCTGCGGCTCATCTGCAAAGCCTTTATTTAAAAGTTGAATTTTGAGAAGAAACTAAGGATTTTAGAAGAGAACCCAAGCTTTTTGTATGGTGCTTTTTGCCTTGATACCTCGAGTATAGCATCTAGTGAATATGTGGGCTATGTATCGACCCGAGGAATAGCGTGAGAATGATAGAAAACTTTCAGCGATTCCCATGCAAAAGTGTTGCCACCACTCTACCTATTATCTACCTATTTCGCGTGAAATCCGCCGCCGTGGTATCAAATACAACTCTCTTTATCGGCATCCGATTGCTTGTATTGCCTATTTTTAATCCGCAATCCTCTGATGAAATGATTGCACAATGTTTGCAGACCTATAAGTTAAGCAAAGAAATAGTAAAGTTAGGTACAATTGTAATTATCGCGTATCAGCGAGTTGGCAGTTCTGTGACGCTCGTTGTTTTCTTAGGGCGATGCTACCAATTTACCTCCATCGATACACGGAAGTCCATTGAACAGTTACATCCGTATTTTTACTTTTGAATACCTGTAATACCCATGCATATACTCGTTCCTAATTCATTAATATTCCCATGTAAGCATACAGTAACAGTAAGTTTAAGTCCTGCAAATGTAGATGTCATTTTAATCGCTTTGTACGCGACCGTAAATGCATTGTACACGAATGTTATTGTGCGGCGGCCTATTCCAGTTTGATGGTTTAATCCGGTATATAGTCAACAAGATCCTGTGTAAACAAAAGTTGCGAAAGCAAAGCTGCTTGACAAATTCGCAGCAGCACTGATAAAGTTGAAACTATCCGCGAGACAATGAATGGTCTGAACTATATTTCAAAACGATACAATAGACGAGATCGCATTCATTTTGTAGTGTGGGGCGACCACAATTTTGTATGTCGTATTTGATTTTGCATCAGTTATCAGTCAGTATATTATGATTGTTATTGCTTACCTATGTAGGCAAATGTAGCATATATATAGGTCAAGTTATCGAGTATTGCGGGCTCAAATCAATAACCAATGACTAACGCGTCTTGTCAGAGATGATTTCTTTGAACTGATCTAATTCAGAGAAAACGAGGGAGCATGAGACATGTCTGATGTTGGCGACAATATGAGCATGTAATGTCAATTTGCATTGGTCTTTCAAACGTTACTTTTAAGGTCCGTATTAAATTTCTTGAATTGTCAGGCGGTCAGCTACTTATATATAGGCCTATGGAAGGCGCATGTGAGATGAAGCTAGAAAAGGGAGATTTGGATAACGTCATAGGCGTGAAAATTGAACCCACCCACCCCACGGATTAATATAATGGGTTAGCGAAGCCGAATCAGTAAAACTGTGTAAATTATATTTGTGTCGTAATTTATGTTTGTGATATTTTTTACTGGTTGGAAAAATAAACTTGACTTGAATTCGAAAGATTCAGGTCTTTTTAAAATAAATTAGTTTCCAAATCTTACAAAGCAGTTGCTGCTTATACAGAGCTTTGTTCGGAGTGAAAGATGTATAAAAAGCGCGAAAAAATCGAACTGCATTCTTGGCGTCAATTCTTTCAACATGCGAGCAAGCAATCAGTTTTGCATAGACTTTTTAGTATGCACATTTTTGGACACGAATTGGAATTATGTATGGATCGTTTGTTGTTAGTATTCGTAAAATCGCGTTTCTTTTTAACACTGAACATTTCAGTGGTTAAAGATTGTTGTTGTTGCTGAAAGGTTGTTAATTATATTTATTTCTAAATTTCATATGAATCTTATGTAACCTGACATTTCATCCAAAATGACGCTGTTTTCTTTTTTCTTTTCATTTTATCAATAAAAGATAGTAATAGTATATATATATTGTTCTGTAAAGATTTTTAAAACATTTTTCTAAATATTAATTAATCGACTATCGTTTAACTACGATTATTAATCATGTCATTGAAGTATTTTTATAAATCGAATAATACTCTCAAACAATGTCGATATCTTAGCTGAAATTATCGGTATACTTATATTTCATGATTCCGTAGCATTGTTGATATATATTGGATAATAAATGGCGATGTCGCAGACTCTTGATGACCAGTTGTGGTCCCTCACAACTACCTGTTAATTGCGATGATATCTGGTATCCTATCCAATGTATGATAATTTATGTATGAATTAGTTATTTGTGACTTCTCGCATGACAAAATAAATTTATTGTCTTCATCCCCTAAATTTTCGTTTTTAATCACCAATGACCGTTTTCCAGTATTTTGTGTGTAATATTCAATGGTATTGGCATTTACCGTCCTGAATAAACTATTACAACGCACATAGCTGCCTGGAGTTAGTCTGTGATGGGCCCGTCCCAGATGATTTCCGGATCGTTCTCAAAATTTCTCGGAAAACCGAAAACGCTCATTATAAGGTAAATACTCATTCTAAAAATAAATATTTTGCGGTATATAAATAACTAAACAAAATTAGTAAAACTACGCCGAAATCAGAGATAGCATTTCGATATTTCCGCCCCGAAACAAAAAATTTTATGCTTAATTTGTTTGGTTTATTTCTCTCAAAAGTCTAAATTGTCATTGCATTCTGTGGTAATCACAAATCGGTTTTAGGGCTAACTTGCAATTGCGTAAACATCCTAATACAAATTTTTTTAGCTTTATTTGCTCTCAGATCAAATTACGAATGATTTTCTTCGTTATCAAATAGTGCATAACCCGTATCTCGTGCACTTTGGAAAGTTGTTTATTGTATGGAAAGTTGTTTTTTACCGGTATAATCCCTGAAAATTTGCACTGAAATTTTAGCCCAAATATGAATCATATAAGCTCCTTTTCTCGCCGATAAGACAAGTATCACCTATGTCTCCGACCTTCGATTGATAAAAACATTTTCTTTTTGACCAAGGTTTTCAGAAAGATATGTAACGAAGTCAATTCAGCAAACCAGTGCATCATACAAACTAGCCGTTTTCGACACCGCTGAATTACTACCACACGAATCGCTGATAGATGAGCAGAATAAGAGATCTTCAGCGACAATTGGTTAGTCTGATTAAATTAAGAATTTTTGAGCAAAGCAATGTCATGTAGTAAGCGTGACTAGACTATTTTGGTTCGCTTATGTCCAGTTCAAATGTTCTTACATCTTTGAATAAAATATATCTATTCGCAGGTGATGTAATTGGTACATTCAAAGACTTGAAGAACCTCGGAATCAAAATTGCAATATGCTCTTCCAGTACCAGAGACGATACCAAAAGAACTATATCATATCTTGGAATAGAAGAAATGATAGACATTACAAAATGTGCGAAAGATCCTTCCCTTCTGCCAAAGCCACATGCTTCGAATGTTGATTCCATATGTGCGGACACTGGCGTTAGACCTAGTAATGTTGTGGTCGTCGGAAACACGCCAATTGACATGAAACTGGGACGGAACTCAAAAGTTGGTCTCACAATAGGCATCTGTCCAGGTGGAGATTGTGATTTGGGTGCTGACAAAACAGTGGATAGTATCACAGAAGTTGTGCCTTTATTAAGACGATTGGGACAGGTAATAGAAGAAAAATATTGAAGTGGTATTGTGGGCCAAAGAATCGTATGGAATTAGGGCCTGACCGATATATCAGCCATGTTCTTCACAAATTTCGAACTATCGGTATCGGCTAATTTCACCGATAGTTATCGGCCAATCACGTGACTGCCAAAATGTAAAAATTACGCTGGGGAAGCACGAATTCTCAGAGTGTTGCTTGTAGCCATCTTTTTAGGTGAGAAAACATCGGTATCGGCCTGGCCTTAGAAAGAATACTGCAAATCAAAACGTTGGGAGAATTTACCCCTTCCTATTGATAACGGTAATCGAGGAAAAGTGACACAAACACAGAACAATCCGCTTTCCCAGACCGCAAATTTGTCATATTTTGCACTTATTAATAGCTCCGTCTCCACCCACTATTTTAGGTGCTCCTGAAGTATGTGCACCAAGATGGCGCACAACCTGAAAATAGTATTAGCTCTGTCTCCACCCCCTATTTTAGGTGCTCCCCGAAGTATGTGCATCAAAATGGCGCACAACCTGAAAATAGTATGTGTAATCAGTAGTAATCAGTAGTTTATTTTTTCACCACACATGAAATACACTAAATGCATACGGAATGTAAAAGGAAGCAAAAACGGATAACTCGAGGTGAAAGGAGTCGCGAAAACCAAAATTGGTTATCGAGCGGCGACACCTGAGCTAAAGTCTAATGAATGAATCATAAAACAATGAAAAAAGTCAAACAATAAATAACAGAATATAAAGAAGTGAAAAATCGAGACGACCTGAATCCAAGAGACGCTCGAGACACAGAAAAGCAAAACCAAAAACGACTCCAAGCACATATGTGCGAGTAACTATGGGAACGGCAGCAGGAATGCAGTACAGTGCGATGACAGGATACCGAACCGATATCGCAGCGTTATGGAATTGATAGTTATTTAACAGATTTTAAATATATCCCGGTAGGGATATTATGCCGATAACACGGCGTAATCATAGTTATAAATGTTTGCCAAGAGTTCGAATAAGATTGCATGAAGATTGTAAGTGCTGGGGTGCAAGAAGATTGCAAGAGCTGGGGTAAGTCGAATCGTCATTAATACATTAAAGATAAAAATTATTCTAATCTGTGAAAAACAGGTTAACTCAACAAAGTAGCTGGGGGTAACAATAAATAGCGTTGTAAATTAGTAAGCATACCGCTTGGAATCGTTGAGAATATAGAATGAACACAATATGTGTATGAACAGATGGATGAAATACCCACTGCAGCACTGAGTATCAACAGTGCTATATATATACAAATTTCGAAAATGCAACAAAGCACAATAATAATAAAGTGGTAAATATGATAGCTTTTTACAAAAATATATACGAGATAGTTATTAAATTGTATTTGGTGAGAGACCAATATCAAGGATCATGAGTGTAGAACTGTTGAAAGATACTGCTAACACTATACGATTAGGCTATGAGCAAAATTGAATTACCATTGTATGACAAATGGCCATACAGTATAATATAGTGCAGAGCATGCACTATGGAAGTAGATGATAATAAAGAAGCAACTTAAAATTTACATGAAACATTCAGATTCACTTATTACAGGTACTGTCGACTCTGGGAGGTTGTGGACCTAGTCAAGTATTCTGCTGGCAGTGCCGAGGGAAAGTCAGTAAGCACATCAAACAGATGTGCTGGAGAAAGACAGGTAGGATGAAAGCATGAATTTTTTATATTTTATTTTGAAAGTAGCATATGTGGAGTCACGTAAACTTTGGGGAATGTTATTCCAAATTATTACGCCTTTGTATTTCAGGGAATTTTGAGATTTGCTCAGCGAAAAGCGAGGTACAAAAAGATTGGATTTGGTCGAAGAGCGTGTGTTGTGTTCATGCACAGAGGTAAGCGAAACAAAATAATTGTCGAACGCTGTGGGCAAGTAATTATTCTGAAATTGGTGCATAACTTTGGCAATCTCTAGAGTATAAATGTCGGATAGTTTCAACACCCTGGTTTTATTGTAAAGGGTGTTTAAGTTTGTACGAATAGACGCTCTGGAGAGAGTTCTAACAGCTTTATTCTGTAAGACCTCCAATTTGCGAATGTTGGTTTGTGTTGCAGAGCCCCATGCAGTTATAGCATATTGGATGTGGGATTGAAAAAGAGCAAAATAAATGGTTCGCAGGGTAGCATCCTGCACATAATGCCTAAGTTTTCCCAAAATCCCAACAGACCTTGACAATTTCTTGTGCATCTCGGTAATATGAGTGTTCCATTTTAAGTTACTATCTATATAGAGCCCGAGATATTTAAAGGATTGAACAACTTCCAAAGCAACCCCCTGATTTTGATTAACATGTTGGAATGTTTTTTAATTGATTTAGGACTGAATAGCATGACTTTAGATTTTTTTACGTTCACAGTGAGTTTGTTGCATAACATCCACTCAATTATTTTATCTATTTCAGTGTTCATAGTATTTTGGAGCGTGGTTGAATCTTTGGCACTGGCAAGCAAGCAAGCGTCATCGGCGAAGAGTTTTGTTAAAAGATTCGAACAGTTCGACAAATCATTTATGAAAAGTAAGAAAGCCAATGGTCCAATGACCGAACCTTGGACAATTCCACAGTGGATGGGCAACATCGGAGACCTATGACATCCTACTTCAACAAACTGTGATCGACCACTCAGGTAATTACATAATAGTTTGCATGCGTTACCTCTAAAACCACAGTGTATCAACTTTTGGACAAGAATTTGATGATCAACTGTGTCAAAGGCCTTCTTTAAATCCAGGAATGCACAACAGACAGACTCCCCTTTATCAATTTTTTCATAGATAAATGAAATAAGATCTAGGATGGCATGGGAAGTCGAGTGATTGGATTGAAATCCGAATTGGCATTTGTCGATCAGATTGAATTTGTTACAGAAGTTGAGCATTCTTTTATAGACTAATTTTTCCAGGACGATGCCGATACAGGGTAGAATTGAAATTGGCCTATAATTTGAAGGATTATTTTTGTTGCCACTTTTGAAGATGGGTATTACCCTAGCAATCTTCAGAGCGGAGGGAAAAATTCCTAAACTAAATGATAGATTAAAGAAATGACTCAAAGCTGGGGATATGCTGTCTGCGACTAATTTTAAGAAAAAAGAAGGAATATTATCATGCCCAACTGCTTTGCCTTTTTTCAGGTTCATTACTACTTGGTGAACTTCTAATGGTGTTGATGGCTCCAGAAAAAACGAATTCTGTGTAGGAGCACCCAAAAAGGCTTTGAAAGATTTCGTACTGTGTGGGACATTATCGGCAAGTCTCTTTCCTACGGATGAAAAAAATTTATTAAATTCAACGGATATCGCGACAGGGTCTGAGACTATGGTACCATTTTCAAGCTTCAGTTCCGAGATAGTGGTTTCATCATTGGACCTTACTTTGATGATGTCATTTATAGTTTTCCAAGTGCGTTTAACATCGCCTCTGTTGTTCTCTAGGATATTATGGTAATACATTTGTTTTGATCTCCTCTGCAAATGTGTCAAAATGTTTTTATATTTTTTAAAGTGGAGACGCTGGGATAAATTTCCCTTCAGGAACTTACTTTTGAACATCTTGTTCTTATGTTTAATGGAATTACGAATTCCTTTAGTAATCCAAGGTTTGGAATAAAATTTGTTTTCTCTACGCGAAAATGGTCTTAATGGGGCATGCTTATTGATTAACCACTTGAAGTGACTAAGAAAAGTATCAAATGAGCTATTGAAGTTTACTTCAGATAATATAACACTAGTATAATTATTACACATTGACTCAACTTCTAGCCTGAACGAGTCAGCACAAAATTTAGTCATGTCCCGTTTCATGCGAGTGTTTGTTTTAACGTTACTATTAGTTGCTGGTATTGTGCACATTATGGGAAAGTGGTCGGTGAGATCACTGAGCAAAATAAATGACGAAGTGCGGGAATCTATGATATTAGTGTAGATATGGTCAATTAATGTGTGGGAGGTTGAGGTCACTCTGGTTGGTTTGGTGATAAGTGGACATATGAAATTGGACATTAGCATATCCAGATACTTGGTAGTAGGATTGTCACAAGAATTAAAAAGATTTATATTGAAGTCGCCTAATATAATAAATTGCTTTTTAGCCATCGCCAGCTTCTCAAATAAACAAGACATTGCTGTGGTGAATGATGGGATATTATTTTTTGGATGTCTATATATTACACCGACAACAAGATTTTGAATTTTTGAGGTTGGTTGGAAATATTTGAGTTCGATCCACAAGTCCTCACAGTTTGGGAGGCAAAGGCTGAAGTCAGTGCATAAATGAAAGTTTAGATTGTCCCTAATATAAAAACCAACACCGCCTGCGCGAGTAGAGGAGGGAGCATGAATGAAAGTGTAACCAGAGATATCAATATTGACAACAGCAGTTTCACTCATGATCCTAGTCTCGCTTAGAGCAATAATTTGAGGTGGAATACAAAAATTTGAAATTAGCTCAACTAGATTATCGGCATATTTTGCCAAAGATCTGATGTTATGGTGCAATATAATAAAGTCTGTTGCTAAAAAACTTGATGTTACTCTATTGATATTGGATATTTCAAGGTATCGACTTGCAATAGAAGGAATTTCGGGATGAAAATTGGTTGATTCCCAGGTAGGATAAGGATCACTCATAGATGAGGAATGCTAATGGGTTCGAATTAGATAACATTAGGTTGGTTGAGGCGAGGGGGGCAAAGTCATTAGATGGGCTATTCCAATGGGGACTGAAGTTATTTAAACCAATAACATGATAGAATAATTTACTAGGATATGGCAGTAAAAAATTAAATAGACTCATCTTATTTTATCAAGATCTTCATCTTCAGTTATGGATAAAGTGTTAGTGTCTTTGTTCTTTTTTATCAGCACTTTGCCATTTGATGTCCATAGGAAGGCGTAACCACATTGTCTTTTGAGAATTTTCGCTTTGTAAAATAAGTTCTTGTTTTTGTCGGTCAAATTCTCAACAACAAATGCTTTGGATAGGTTCCTTATGGATGTTGAATTGGTAGCGGTTTTGATCAAGTGACGATTTTTGAGAATTTTAGCTCTGATTTTGCGATTGGTAAATTTTGCGACAATCGGTTTATGGATGTTGGAATTTCGCGTTGGACAACGATGTGTTACAGAGATGTCAGATGGTTTGATGTCCACGTGGATGATCTTTCCAATTTCTGTTATCAATTTGTCGGTGTCCTCATTTTCATTAGGTGCGATGCCATGAAATTCTAGATTATCCAATCTAGATCGGCGCTCTTGTTCCTCAATTTTTTCTGTGGCATAGTATAATTCGTCCTCCAAGTCATAGACCAACTCTTCTAGATCTCTTATTTTTTTGCCATAGAGCATAAGTTTGTCATCTGTTATTTTTTGCTTGGCAATAATCTCATCATATTTTGTTGATTGAAAACTTTGAGATTCTTTAATAGAAGCTAGATCTTGTTTTATTTCTTTTAGAGACACCATTTGGTCCTCCATACATTCTTTTAGCCCAGGACTCATAGGCAGGTATTCAGAGGTGAAGTTCGCGGAGTTGAAGTTTTCGGCAAGGCATTTGGCAATTAAAGATGGTAATTGGTCTACTATATTTCTTTGTATTGCTTCCTGGAGATTCATCTGGAAGTTAGCTTGCCCCTCCTGTTGTTGCGTTAAGGGGCCAATAGGTGAAAGGCCAGGATCCGGGAGACTCCTGGTCAGGGATTGCTTGGGTTGCGAAGCCATGTTGTTATAGATGATTGACTTATATGCTGGAATTGATGTTGAAGTACACAGTGATGATTCAGTTAGACTATTCTGCTAGTTTTAGGTTAGTTTTTAAAACCTGTAGATCTTAATCAAATACCCGGTTAGGGCTATCAGGTTATGCGCCATCTTGGTGCACATACTTCTGGAGCGCCTTATTTTAATACTATATACTTCTACAATATATTCCACACCATACAGTCATTTTTTTTGATTTAGTTCAAGAAAATCCGCACAAACAATTACAGGAAATAAGAAGATAGGACTAGAGCAGGGGTCTCCAACACGCGGCCCGTAATTTTTTCGGCCTGCGTTATGGTTGAGATAAACTAAACTATAAGTTTTATCGCGTTATTTATAATCAAAAGTCCGGTCAGACAAAAACAAAATTTTTTCCCCTGTTCTTCCACTTTACCACGTTACCAATTAAATATTTCATTCCGCATTTTTATAATGACGAAATGAACAAGTTATAAATCATTAATTCTGCCTATGTGCAGTTGAAGCAAAACTAGATTATTTTAAACTTGTTATAAAGTAGTAAACCCATACGCAATGTCCAAGAAGCGGAAATGTTAAGAAGAGCACAGAATATTTCAAGAGAAGTGAGATGATTTGTATGTTGTGTGCAATTCTAATAACCATTTGGGCGCTCCGTAAGTGCGTGTTCCAATATGAAGGTAACTAATTTTGTTCGGCTACTGTACATCAGGTTGTGTAAAGGGACGGAAGCAGGGGTATATTCACTTGGCTAACACAGACAGTCCCTGAACTCGTAATATTATAACTAAAATAGGGAAAGTCGGAATGAAAGTATGGCCTAACCCTAACCTGGTACACACACTACAAGTGTACCACAATTTATTGGTTTGTGGCTTGCTTCGTCAATAAAGTTCAAAAAGTGGCCCATGACATATTTTGAGTTGGAGACGCCTGGACTAGAGAGTAGAGACTAAAGTGGTGATACTTCGATATGTGATCTCAGTTTTTTAGTAAAGGTTAGGAACTGAAGTTTATGGGAATGTCTCCATAAGATTAAATACTATTGGTGACACTTTGGTATGCGATTGAGATCATGTTAACTTGTTAAGCATACTAAAGTGTCACCACTCAAGTTGTTTAAGCATACCAGACTTGAACAGTCATAAGCTTTCCAATAGTCATCTTGTCATCAATCAGATTTAAGACGTTAAACCTTGGGCATCATAAATAAGGCATAGTTGGTGCCTGGTGGTGAAGATTATTTAAATGCAACGCACAGATGAGAGTTCACCATCTACTAGCATGCAGGAATAATCCATTGAGCAATTAATTCACAGTCCAATGTTCCAATGACCCAATATTGCATTGATTTCGAAAGAGGGAAATGCATTTAGACTCAAAACTCCGAATTTCAACACTTTTCCTCAAGAGCATACCAGATTCATTTGCACTAAATTATTCTTCTTTACCAAAAACATATTTCTTTGGATTCAGATTGATGTTTTTCCCATGTAAAGCGCGTGCATAACCTGGCTCCAACTGTTTTGAAGAGCATGGTACTTGACCTTCAACTTCACAAATACATTTTCTACTGAACTTCCTCCCAAAATTTGCTGGGTTTTCATCTTTTTTCGTCATTTCCTGTTCCAACAAACGCCTAAAAATACATTTACATGGAATGAAAATATACTTACGATAGACAGTAAGTTGTATTATACCAAGTTCTAAGCGATCATTACTGATATTCTAAAATATACCCCCTCACAAAAGGTTTTGTTAATTAAGCAGTGGTTCCCACTTTTTCAGTGCTGTGACTGTGGGCCGTTTTTACAATATACTCGAAATTTGTGGGCCCCTCAAATAAGACAAGTCAATAATGCTATGTTATAAAGTGGTCTCTACAGGAGGCAATACAAAACTACATAGAAAATTTATAGGAAGATATATGATATGCTAAGCGATGTTGCGCATAATGCTAAGCGGTAACAATATGCTTGCACCGCATCTCTGACTACCCTGCTTGGGTTCGTAGATTCTCCTGTGGGAGATAATATATCGAAGGACTACAAGACTCCTTATCACCATTGGGTGGTTCATGTGACCACTATTCAGTTATGGCTTCCTCTACCATCAAGTTCATGTATTTGAAACAAATAACTCATCACCTAAACCCATACCCGACATGGACTGGTAAGGTAACCAAGAAGCCATGGTTTGCCATATGATTAAGCTGTCTCCTCCTCTCCTATGGGATAAATATGCAAATCCAATGCTCTGTTGAAACTTCTCCCAAATAAAACAAAAATTCTCTTTCTGAGAATCATAATCTATCTTTAAATTGGATAGAATTTACATATTTATCCTGGTGAAGAGGAAAGGTGATCTAATCATATGGTGAACCGAAGCCTCGCATCCGGTTACCCGTCCCATCAGGTATGGATTAGTTAGCAAGGTGTTTGTTTCAGTGACTTTAAAACGAAAATTTACTTTACATACTTTGGTTTTCCTATAACTTTTTGAAGGTGAGTCAGGATTTCAAATTGTTCTTTGCCATCAACATCTACATGGAACTTATCTCCAGAGTCTGCAAAAATAAGACTTTCTTGGTAAAATGCCACTGTGCACAATTCACTTTTCTGTTATTTGTAAGACTTATTATAATGTGTTGGTATCCACATAAATGTCCACTTAAAAAAAATAAATTCTGAATAATTTTTCTCTGCTGTAAAACTGAATAAGCAGATGTCACATTTCAAGGTTTTGAGAAAATGGCAAAAATTTGTAATTTACAATCTATCTTACAAATGTAGATTTTATAAAGAAATTTATGGCTCCTGGTTCATGATGACATATTTTCATTAAGTCCATTTCTGAAACACGTAACATACCGTAGCTACTTTGGGTTTTCTGATGGCAATCTACTCAGATATTGATGATAAAGTTAATTAGAAAACAAAAATATGATATCAGATTTTTCGATGATATCAGCCTGACTTAGTGAGTTATCCAAGTAACTGTACCCATGCTAAATAGGAAAAAAAATAAAGGTAGTTTTAATATTAAAAAAAACAACAATACTTTTACCTAAATAAAATGTAATATATGGTGTCGGTGTGAGGTTTTCTATCAGGTCAATGTGAACATTTGGATTTGAGTATCTGAGTTGTTGGAGATTCATGTTGATCACATCTCTGGAAAGCGGAGTTGCAAATCGTTAATTGAAAATATACTGTCTGAGTTGGTCGAGAGTTGAAGTTTGAGCAGATTTCATTTAACCTCTGATGCTCAAATGAAAAAAACATGAAAAGTAAACTTCTGCACAAGATAGTAAACCATTGAATATGATTTTTATTTTCCATTATAAAAGAAATATCTATTGATTATGGCATAATTCAATCACCTATTTAAAAAAAAAGTTTTCAGAATGTTGTGAAATTCATGTTAACATATACAATCTCAGTTTTAAAAGGAATGTTAAAGCCTTATTTTAAAAAGAGACATTTATTAAATGACACTGAAATAGTTGATGAATGACTTCCGAGCAAATACAGAGCTAAAATAAAAAATAGCATCGTCATCTAAAAGAATTAAATGTCTTTACAACCGGTATGTGTTTTATATGCCCACTGTTTCTTAAAAATATGAATTTCTCACCTAATTCCTTCATGATTATTTTCCCCATCTTCATAATTTCCATAATTTATAGTCATAACCTTCACACAATCTCGGAAAACGATGCCTTGTCTCAAATATTCCCTTGTTCTTGTAACAGGATAAAGTCCTTTCATTAATCCTTTCATCCTGCCTTCCACAGGAGTTTGCTCCGAACCATAGAGTGGATGACTCCATTGTGATAAATCTTTTAATTTTATTTTCTGCTGCCTAGAAAACCTCCGAACAAACAGTGCTCTTGTCAAAAATACCATACCTTAATTTAATTGATTGCACAAATTATATATATTATATATGCATAACTAATGCATTCTCTCAAATACAGTCTGCAACAAATAACCACAAACTTATTATCAATTGAATGTTGAATATATATCGCTGGTCGGTTACGGCTTCCTCCACCACCAAGTCCATGCTTCCGAAAACAAACAATACAGTAAAAAACTAATCCCATACCCGACTTGGAATGGTAACCGGACGAGAGGCCGTGGTTCGCCATATGGATAATAAGCCGTCTTGGGCAACCCTAAAATGCGGGAAACGGGAACGACGGGAACTACGGGAAATGCACTAAAATGCGGGAACTGCGGGAACGACGGGAAATTGCAAAAACTAAAATGCGGGAACTACGGGAATGACGGGAACTACGGGAAATTTCACTAAAAAGCGAGAAATTTCACAAAAAGCGGGAATGACGAGAAATCGCTTTAAGGTACAGGAAATATTCATTTTGGGGTATGTTTGTTTAGGGGAAATAGTTCTAGAAAACGAAAGCAATGGTTAATATACGCTTGGGGGTGTATGTACGTGAAAATTTATCTAAAATGCGGGAACGACGGCAAATCGCGTTAAAGTACGGGAAATACTCATTTCAGAGTATGTTTAGAAGAAATTGCACTAGAAAATGGAAGCAACGGGAAATATACGCTTGGGTTGTGTGGATACGGAAATTCCACTAAAAGATTCTAATAATATTCGGATTCGGATAATTGGTGCACATACATCTGGAGGTCACTTTTTACCTAACCCTAAAGCCAACCATATCCATATGGAAAATGTTCTAAATTATGGTACCCAAAATGTGTCACCAGCAGGGGCAGACCTGCCATTACAGCATTACTGGCTACCCGTGGCGTAGCAAGACTCTTAAAAGCTAAAACAACGTTTTTTTCCCTTATTTCGTCAATGCATAACATGTCGCTATAAAAAGGCAATGGTAACCTAAAATTTACGCTTTCGCGTTAGCAAACTCATCCACCATCTTCGTCATATCAAGTCGGGTCGAGCGTTCATAGTTCATATCCAATACTTAGCAGCGCCAGTACAGAGAGCCTTTCTTGCGACATCGTGCTCCTGAGATAATTTTTTATTAATTTCAGTTTCGAAAACCAAATTATGCAACCTTTTCAATTTGCTTCAAAAATCGGTAGCTTACCTGTAGGGTTGCCAACTATGAAAAGTTTCAATAAAGGACAAAGATTACCGTCATCATTTATTTCGTAACTCGCAGGAAAGAACAATATAAAACAATGAAATGAAAATTATATACAAGCTAAAAATATATACTAAAACAATCTTCATGTGTTTTTCATTTAATGTTCATTTAACATTGACCCAAACAATGTTAATAAAATTGTTCTTTGGCTGTTTGAGCCGGACCAAAGCGAATAATTAGAAGCTTGCAAATACATAAACGGAGGCAATTTTTCAATAATGGAACAATATCGAACACAGTACTATAACTATCGGGCAAAACGACGTTGGAAAGAATAAAGGACAATTAGCATATTTTCTAAATGTTAAAAAGGACAAGGACCGAAACACTTGATTAAAGGATTGTCCTTTGAAATAAAGGACGGTTGGCAACCCTACTTACCTGTGATAATTGTCGTGTAAGTTTTGGAAGAAATTCATTCGCGCCGGCGCCATCACGTTCGGAGATTGAACACGTATTTGGTTTTCCGGAGTTTTCTACCGATACCACCGATGCTAGGCCTAATTCCTCGTCAGTTACGTTCGGTATTCCCTACGTCCCGGTATTTTCAATTTTGGTTTAGATATTTCATTTATCTTGGTTACTTTAATTTTTTTCATACGTTCTTCCTCTTCTGCCCTTTTTCTGCGTTTCTGTGCGCCACTGAAAGGTTTTGCTTTCGACATCATTCTGACAGCCTTCATAATGGACCTTTCCCCGAGCATCGACTTCCTTGTTTACTTCGTGACATTGGCCAATCAGCAAGATGCAAAAAGGGACGTAACAATGCTCCCTTTTCGCACCCGCTCAGACACTTTTCTCACTCAGACAGATTTCCAGGCGTGGTCGTAAACATTACCTCGTTTTCGCGTTTTTGAACTCTATTCGTTAGTGTTAAGTTGTGTTTTGGAAATTTAAATATAAATCAGATAATTCAATGACCACTCTGTCTTCTCAGGAAGTTTAATTTAATTGCAGTAATTAAAAATTCGTGTAGAAATAGCTGTGATAGACTGGGCTAAAATTCTTTACCGGTACTTTTAAAAAACAGATTGTTGTATGCGATGAATCATAATGATGGTTTGAAACCTATGCCGATTTTACAGGCGCCAACTCGCGAAACCACTCTTAAAATGGGCCCCGAAAATTTTGCAATGGTAAAGTACAGGAAGAACTTTTCGGGGGTCAAAGGTCGGGGAAAGGTCCATTGTGCCGGTACGATCAAACCACACCGAAAATCGACGACTCCCTGGCATTGTTACGTAACAAAACAATTTGAGCAGAACTAACATCAACATTATAGGATGTGCATTACTGGTTTTGCAATGCAGCTTTTAGTTTTGCCGCTTAAATTTCTAAATTCTAACCGCTTGGGGCCCCTTTGCGCTGTGGGCCCCCCGCGACCGCGGGGGTTGCGGGGGTGGATGCTACGCCACTGCTGGCTACATACGTTGGTTTGTGTTTTTAATTTGCTGCCGTGGTACTCCAACTCAAAACAAGATGCCCCAAACTCATTGCAAAATTTTTTTCTGCTTCACATTGTTTCCCTCTGTTTTGCGCTCTTTCGCGCTGTTTCCCCACTGTTTTGGAGGCGCAGTTCTTACCACTTCATGGCAGCTCCTGCCACGAACGAACCGCGGCAGCTCTTGCCATGGTTTTATAGCGCTATTCATAGAAATCACAATGTTTATCAAGCTGAGTGAGTGCACCTTGCTTTGAGCATATTTTTGTAAAAATGCATACAAATCTCCAAGAAGTGTACCAACCAATATGCCGATACCGTAACTAATTGTGTTTGTCTCATTTACATCAAGTTCTATTAAGGGACTTATTACTATGGTCAGAGGGTATATTCAATTAGCTAACACAGACAGTTCGCAACTCGTAATTGAATTAAATAAGGAAAATCGGAATAAAATTATGGCCTAAGCTTAACCTCGTACGCACACTACAGAAGCGGTCTTACTACTTACTGAATACAGCGCGAAACACCGCAAAGAGCGCAAAACAGCGCAGAACAGAGGGAAACGGCGCGAAAGAGCGCAAAACAGAGGGAAACAGTGTGAAGCAGAAAAAAATTTTGCGACTGCACGGCAGCAAATTAAAAACACAAACCAACGTATGTAGCCAGTAATTGATGCTGTAATGGCAGGTCTGCCCCTGCTGGTGACACATTTTGGGCACCATAATTTAAAACATTTTCCATATGGATATGGTTGGTTTTAGGGTTAGGGTTAGGTAGAAAGGGACCTCCGGAAGTATCCTGTCTCCGGAAGTCTCCTGTTTTGCGCTGTTTCCCTCTGTTTTGCGCTGGTTTCCTTCTGTTTCGCGCTGTTTTCCTCTGTTTTGCGCTATTTTGCGCTGTTTCGCGCTCTTTGCGGTGTTTCGCGCTGTATTCAGTAAGTAGTAAGACTCCTAGAGGAGTACGGGTCTGAATACAGCGCGAAACACCGCAAAGAGCGCGAAACAGCGCAAAATAGCGCGAAAAAGAAGGAAACCAGCGCAAAACAGAGGGAAACAGCGCAAAACAGGAGGCGCAGTCATTACCACCTCCTGTCACGAAAGAACCACGGCGCCTCTCGCCATGGTTTTATGGCGCTATTTCCGGTATATTTACAAGGTTATGTACCGGATTATAGGTCATCATGCAAAATTTTATCTACCTTTTTGGTGCTCCAGAAGTATGTGCAGCAATATGTCGCACAACCTGAATCCGCTACACACACACACATACTATTTTCAGGTTGTGCGCCATCTTGGTGCACATACATCTGGAGGTCACTTTTTACCTAACCCTAACCCTAAAGCCAACCATATCCATATGGAAAATGTTCTAAATTATGGTACCCAAAATGTGTCACCAGCAGGGGCAGACCTGCCATTACAGCATTACTGGCTACCCGTGGCGTAGCAAGACTCTTAAAAGCTAAAACAACGTTTTTTTCCCTTATTTCGTCAATGCATAACATGTCGCTATAAAAAGGCAATGGTAACCTAAAATTTACGCTTTCGCGTTAGCAAACTCATCCACCATCTTCGTCATATCAAGTCGGGTCGAGCGTTCATATCCAATACTTAGCAGCGCCAGTCCAGAGAGCCTTTCCTGCGACATCGTGCCCCTGAGATAATTTTTTATTAATTTCAGTTTCGAAAACCAAATTATGCAACCTTTTCAATTTGCTTCAAAAATCAGTAGCTTACCTGTAGGGTTGCCAACTATGAAAAGTTTCAATAAAGGACAAAGATTACCGTCATCATTTATTTCGTAACTCGCAGGAAAGAACAATATAAAACAATGAAATGAAAATTATATACAAGCTAAAAATATATACTAAAACAATCTTCATGTGTTTTTCATTTAATGTTCATTTAACATTGACCCAAACAATGTTAATAAAATTGTTCTTTGGCTATTTGAGCCGGACCAAAGCGAATAATTAGAAGCTTGCAAATACATAAACGGAGGCAATTTTTTAATAATGGAACAATATCAAACACAGTACTATAACTATCGGGCAAAACGACGTTGGAAAGAATAAAGGACAATTAGCATATTTTCTAAATGTTAAAAAGGACAAGGACCGAAACACTTGATTAAAGGATTGTCCTTTGAAATAAAGGACGGTTGGCAACCCTACTTACCTGTGATAATTGTCGTGTAAGTTTTGGAAGAAATTCATTCGCGCCGGCGCCATCACGTTTGGAGATTGAACACGTATTTGGTTTTCCGGAGTTTTCTACCGATACCACCGATGCTAGGCCTAATTCCTCATCAGTTACGTTCGGTATTCCCAAGCTACTTGTTTCAATTTTGGTTTAAATATTTCGTTTATCTTGGTTACTTTAATTTTTTTCATACGTTCTTCCTCTTCTGCCCCTTTTCTGCGTTTCTGTGCGCCACTGAAAGGTTTTGCTTTCGACATCATTCTGACAGCCTTCATAATGGACCTTTCCCCGAGCATCGACTTTTTTGTTTACTTCGTGACATTGGCCAATCAGCAAGTTGCAAAAAGTGACGTAACAATGCTCCCTTTTCGCACCCGCTCAGACACTTTTCTCACTCAGACAGATTTCCAGGCGTGGTCGTAAACATTACCTCGTTTTCGCGTTTTTGAACTCTATTCGTTAGTGTTAAGTTGTGTTTTGGAAATTTAAATATAAATCAGATAATTCAATGACCACTCTGTATTCTTAGGAAGTTTAATTTAATTGCAGTAATTAAAAATTCGTGTAGAAATAGCTGTGATAGACTGGGCTAAAATTCTTTACCGGTACTTTTAAAAAACAGATTGTTGTATGCGATGAATCATAATGATGGTTTGAAACCTATACTGATTTTACAGGCGCCAACTCGCGAAACCACTCTTAAAATAAGCCCCGAAAATTATGCAATGGTAAAGTACATGAAGAACTTTTCGGGGGTCAAAGGTCGGGGAAAAGTCCATTGTGCCGGTACGATCAACGATCAACCCACACCGGAAATCTCCCTGGCATTGTTACGTAACAAAACGATTTGAGCAGAACTAACATCAACATTATAAGATGTGCATTACTGGTTTTGCAATGCAGCTTTTAGTTTTGCAGCTTAAATTTCTAAATTCTAACCGCTTGGGCCCCTTTGCGCTGTGGGTTGCGGGGTGGATGCTACGCCACTGCTGGCTACATACGTTGGTTTGTGTTTTTAATTTGCTGCCGTGGTACTCCAACTCAAAACAAGGTGCCCCAAACTCATTGCAAAAATTTTTTCTGCTTCACATTGTTTCCCTCTGTTTTGCGCTCTTTCGCGCTGTTTCCCCACTGTTTTGCGCTGTTTCCTTCTGTTTTGCGCTCTTTGCGGTGTTTCGCGCTGTATTCAGTATGTAGTGAGACCGTAGGCGAGTTGTACCGGTACCGGTACCGGTACATGAATAGGAGGAGAATGATTTCTAGGGAATACCGGTAGTAATAGATTAGTACCGTATATCAAGTCAAAGGGTCTCGAATGTAGAGCAATTCGACCTAAACACAACTGGCATTTAACATTGCCAATTGTGTTTGAGGATTTATTTCAATGTTACATAATTGAAATGGTGACCGTACATTTGAACCCATGCGTATATCCACGGGTTCAATCTATATGCGGGTGCTAAAACCCATGGGTTAGGCTTAGTAGTCTATGGGTTTAACTATCCATGAAACAAAAAAAATTCCATAGGTGCAATAGCATACAGGTGCAATTGTCATGTGTTCAAATGTACGTGAGTTCAAATGTAATGGAACCGATTGAAATATAATTTTTTTTATGATTGAGTAAATAGTTGATTTATAATGGACACTATGATTTAATTTAACAAGTCTAGAGATGCGAAAAATATTGTTATTATACGTTTGTGTTAAGTTCTTTTCAGTTCATGGTATTCTAATATTACTGTATTAATAATTTCAGAAATTATACGGCTCTCACATATTTTTGACTTGCTGCATGCAGCTCTTATACTAAAAAAATTTGCCCACCCCTGATACCGGTATATGCCAAAATTGTTTCGCCATGCCCACTAGCAGACTAGAAGTTACCTATTGTTGTACGAAACTACAGTCTTTATCCAATTTTGCACTCCTGTAAATTCAATGGCTTAACAATTTGCGTTTCGTACCATGGAAAACTTAACCCTGCTCTGTCAGTCAGAATACATATTGTATTATTGTGGGAATCGATTTTACGTGGTTTTAGTTACCGGTATCCTATAACTGTGGAATGAATATTTGTGAGAATGTATAGGCGTGACATGTTGGAATGTAGTTGTTGAATGGTTTACTTTTTCTTATGTGAACAGACTCAGCAGAAATATTTATACTCAGTACACTGACCCTATGCAAATAATATTTAAACAAAAATTTTCTGACTCAAAACTCCATTATCTGACATTCTCCTAAGAGGTTAATAGCCCTAAAATCATCCTGATCATTGTGCAAATTGGTCCAAAATACATAAACATTTTGGTTTTCTGGATTGTACTCATTTTTCAAAATTGACTCTTATTGTTTCAATTTTATATCTTTTCAATATACGTAAGAATAGATTAAGTTCTGCTTTATTTGTACTACATTACTATTGCCACATCATCAACTGTATGATGAAATGGGAACACTGTAATTGCAATTGGAAAAAGGTTTTCACCATTTTGGTCATTTTTGCACTACTCACTTCACTAGTGATATATCATTCACCGCGACTATCTATAAGACAATTTCAATCTATTCCAACCACAAAATCGTCTGTCTGGTTGAATAAAATAAAGCATGCAAGGGAACAAGAAGAAACCATTAAATTCTTGGAATCTTCAACTGAAAAAGGTAGCATTTGATGATCTTCTTTTATTGTATCAGTGTTAATAGAAAATTTTGTCATGTAATGTTGGCTGATATTTGTCTGAAATTGGCCTTTGTCATACATTTTTTTTGCAATCACCCGAATATTGCATATTTTTGCCTATTTTATGAACATAAAAATCTCCCGTCCCGTCCTCTTGTCAATATTTCTTAGATTGAAATTTGGTCGATGTGGTTAGCTATGAGATGTTTTTTTTTTCTGTGCAGTGCCCATTAGTAGTTATATTATGAGATTGATATCGAATGAGAGTTTTAGCCACCTGAATTCAATTTTATGGCTTGAAAAGACGACTTTTCAAGTGAAATATTTTTAAAATCTTGAAAATATCAATTTATGAATTTATTTTAGTGTGTTTCGGACCTCTTCTCAAATAATGCATTGGAAATTATCATTCATGAAATATTGAATAATTGGCACATACAAACTCATATTTGAGTTATATAAAATTATAAACTTTTTTGTTAGAAAGTTTTGACTTTTATTATTGATTTTCAGGAAACCTGATTGATGATAAATTTGGCAAAGTGAATTTTGACATCAATGGTTCTGATGTTTTGGTATTTCTACATATGCAAAAAACTGGTGGATCTGAGTTTGGGAGGCATCTGGTTTCCAACCTAATTTTAAGTAAAGAATGTGATATACTCGAACATAGAAAAAGAAGAAATTGTTTGCGACCTAACTCTGATGTTGAAACATGGATATTTAGTCGGTATTCAACTGGTATGATCACTGTCTTGTTAACTTTATACAGTGTTGTGAGATAATTATACGCCAGTCAATTTTATCACATTCGTTTGTGCAGTCTGACAATATTCAGGCAAACATGATTTTAATTAATGGTAATACATTTCACAGGTTGGGCATGTGGACTACATTCTGGCTGGACGGATCTTCATGAATGCATCGCAGACAAAATGACAGATCTAGAAAAAGTTGATAAAAAGAGAAAGTATGCTAATTGTGATATTGAGTAGTTACTTGTAACAATTCTTTGCTACAACACTGTGGTTCCCAACCTTTTTAGTGATATGCCTGTATTTGTGAAAGTCTATAGCCAATACTGTTATGTATAATTGGTGGTTTCTGGTTGAAGCATCAAAACTACACACAGTAACCACCTCAAATTTGGAGGATGGTAGACTTTTTCTATCGACAAGTTATTGCAAATATTAGATACCCCAAAAAGTACCAAGCACTCCATTCTAATAGATAAACTACAGCAATCTTTTTTATCCGATTCCTCTGTTTATAGAGTTGCTCTAGATTTGTCGTCGTGTGTGAGATAGACCATAAGTAATGATTGTGAACAGTTTTATTTGATTTCATATTGTGCATGAAAAGCTCATTCAAATCCTCATGTGCACCCTGGTTGGAAAATACTTCTCTGAAATATATTTAAAACTTAATGTTCAAGATAACCGATGTTGGATCATAAGTATAGGCTAAATTCATGCTAAAGATCTGATGTTGATTATGTTCTCTTCAGCTTCTTCTATGTAACTATGTTGAGAGATCCAGTTAAACGATATTTGAGTGAATGGAAGCATGTGCAACGTGGAGCTACTTGGCGAACTACTCGTTATGCTTGTAAAGGTAGAGAATATGATATTCCCAAATGCTATACAGGTACAGTTGCTGTTACGCACAATTAAATTTTAATGAAAAGTAATGTTCAATGTGTTACTTATATATTGACTTCTATTCTACAGGCAACGATTGGCGAGAGGTATCTCTACAGCAGTTCATGTCATGCCAATACAATATGGCACATAACAGGCAAACTAGAATGCTTGCGGATCTCAGACTTGCTAATTGTTATCAGAGATGGTCAGACAAAAATATGACTGTTACTCAGATTAAACAAATTGAAAACGATATGTTAAAAAGTGCCATGGATAATTTGAGGGATATGACCTTTTTTGGATTGTTGGAGCAGCAAGAAAAATTTCAAAAACTTTTTGAGTACATATTCCCATTCAAGTTCAAAAACAATTTTGTTCAAAGCAACATGACTCGTGTATCTACGTTTGTGCCAACGAAGGAAGAAATAGACGAGATACTGGAGTTGAATTATTTGGTAAATATAAATATAGCAATATGAAATTTTATAATTGCATCAAATTAGCTTTTGGTAAGTGTTGAAGATGTATGGTGTGTTGGATGAATAAATGGCAATTCTAAATAATTTGAATAGTTTGTATTTAATGGTTCAAGTTTGAAATATCAGTCAAACATTGTTTGATACATCCATGATTGCTGCCAAAATTTGTTCACATTATGAGGCTGAAATTTCATAAAATATACTGAGCAAAGTAAAACTGGAAAAGTTGTGTAAGCACAGACCACTTCTTCATGCAAGGTGTTATAGACCAGTTCAATCTTGGTCATCTGGTGCACGAAATGAACCCAGTTCATATTGTGATACTCTTAATATTCCCATCAGTGCAATCAAACTATTCATTTATAAGTTGCCGAATACATATGGCTATAACTAATCAGTCTTACTTTTCAGGATGTGAAATTGTACGACTTTGCAAAGAAACTTTTCGAACGAAGATACATCCGAAGTATATCTTGAAAGTTTGCTCTTTATTTTAAATCTTGTATTTTTATCAATAATGTGCATGTACGTAAACATTTCCAACACTGTGAGATTTTTTCTTTGTACTGATATTTTCACTTACAGTAATTTTTTTTATCAATGCTAACTAATCATAATTGTGCTAAATAGTGTTGTGGTGCCTTATCACATTTCTTTACTTCCTTATCTATTATAAAAAAATGACGTTTTTCCCAGCATATTTATGTATGTGTAATGTTTTCCGGTTCTACGCTCCATTCATTGGTTTCATATTTCATCTGCTATATATTTGAATGGTCAGCCAGCCCATAGAATTTAACTTAATGAGGTCACATCCTGAATTTGGTAAAATTAAACCCCTGAAGTGTTTAGAACATATCTGGCGATGTGATGGTTATTAGAAGCGTCCCGTCCTAGTTTGATCAATGTGCCTTAGACATATGCCGGCAGTTACAATTCTGATCCAACTTCCTTTTATCCAAAACAGCAGGATTATTTTCGATGCTATTTCCGGACTTTTTGCATATGGATCATTTAACATCGACTCCTTTAATACCAATGATTTGTTCTTGGTAACCGCGCTCTTGGCTCGCCTTATAATCAAGCAATCTTATCGGTCTTTCCCGCCACAGATATAAATATTACCGGTGTTTATATTTTTAAATTGTGTCCTTATCGTCAGCACTTCTATGCTTTTCTACGAAAAGCTTTGCAATTTAATCACCTTGTTTAAGAGGTGAAATTTCTTCAACCAACATGCATTTATTTATGTGTTTGCATCAATTTATCGTGGTTGCAATTTAATCACCTTGTTTTAGAGGTCAAATTTCTTCCACCAACATGCATTTATTCGGTGACCGTACATTTGAACCCATGCGTATATCCACGGGTTCAATCTATATGCGGGTGCTAAAACCCATGGGTTAGGGTGAGTATGGGTTTAACTATCCGTGAAACAAAAAAATTTCCATAGGTGCAATAGCATACAGGTGCAATTGTCATGGGTTCAAATGTAATGGAACCATTTATTCATGTGTTTGCATCAATTTATCGTGGTTGATTGGCGGTGACAATATGCCCCTATTTGAATCTTGCCTTTTCAAAGTCTAATGTCGGTATATTTTCTACATGTATATATATATTGTGTCGCAATTAATGTTTCACTTTGTAACATCGTTTATGATGTTGGTCGGTAAGTAGGAAATGGTAATTTACAGGAGAAATAGTCAAAAACCTTGGACTTTATCTCAAAGCAGCGTGTATTCACTTGACGGTTATCATTTCCTTCGCCAACGAAGTCGGTGGATCTGCTGCCTTTTACTGAGTTACTACATACGCGAACTGCAATTGAGAAGAATTACATTGAGATATAACGGTTCTTGAGACCGGTAACAAGGCGTGTTCCTGTATAATAAGACAGGCTTTCTCCTTCCCAGGAGTAAATACAATTTTGCGTTAGTGCTTTTTACAATACAGAAGAAAAAACTAAATATCCACTTGCATTCCTTGCCCTTCTAAACGCAGCTTGCTCCAGAAATACCCGAAAATAATTTGGGACTAGTCTCAGAAATTCCAGTAAAATACGATTTACTTCCCTAATTGACTGATTTTTTGCTATTAGTGTAATTATTCAAAAATACCTATAGTTAAAAGTTGTTTGAAAACGAAAAGTTCTGGAGAGTGAAGGAATGGGTGTTGTTGACCCCGAGGTATGTATGTATGTCTCGCAAAATCAATACAAAAGAGTTAGTAATTACCAAGTCCATGCTTCCGAAAACAAACAATATAACTAATCCCATACCCGACTTGGAATGGTAACCGGACGAGGGGCCGTGGTTCGCCATATGGATAAGCCGTCTTATCGGCTTTCCTCTCCCCCGGGATAAATATGTAAATCCTATCAATACTGAAGACTGGATTTATGCACAAGACCATACTGGACTAAAACACACGGATGTGCGGCATGCAACCCTTACGATGAGCATAAATCAAATACTTATAGTATTGTCCTTTATACAGACAGTTGTGCAATTGTGGTAACAGGGGTAAGGATGGAGTTGGAGTATACAAAACTGGTTGTTCAAAGGAGTTTGTAAGACAAAACAACATGAAATAAACTGCATGTAAACATAATAATAAAATTTAGAATTTGGACATAAATACAGCACCCTCAAGCGATGATACCACATACTATAAATGGGGGAAATGTCAAGTTTATAAGAGTAAGTGTGTGCATATATAGGATGCACCACTCAAGGGTGAGAATAATATGGTATCCTGGAATGAAGTTACCAATACAATGATCAGATTCTGGTTAGATTTTTAAAATAATGTGGCCTTAGCTTAAATCTCCGATAGAGATATTTATTATTTTGTCAACCAAAATACATACAGTCATCAATACGAAATAGCTTAACTTTCAGTTAAACAACAAAAATTCGGAATCCCTGACAAGACTGGAGCATTCCGCCCAATAACCGTGCAATGTTTATACGGGAGAATGACATACACCTTTATTTGCTCGCTTGTCCAAGAATGTCAAAGCTCACATGTCTCCAATCTCATTAACGCATCGCTTGAAATATGTGGTCAATTCAGAAACATAGTTTAATGTAGTATTTGTAAATTAACTGCTCAATGACGAATTATTGAACGTTGAAATATCTATTGTTCTTTGGTCTTCAGTTTCAGCAAATGTCTCAATTCAAAAATCCCAAATAATAAAGTGCATATCCACCACTTCATTCTCGTCCAGGGATCGCTCACACCTTTCTTACTAGTTTGATATATAGCGATAAAGGATTCCCCGACATGCATGAAAATAGCAAAATAAAAAAGGATATATTTCCATATAGGGTTTGCTTCGAAAGCGAGAAAGGTGTATAAACGGCCCAAGGGTCCAAGATAATTGTACGGTGCAAGATCCGGAGCATATACGAGACACCAACACAACCACATTCCAAAGGCTACCAAAACGGATAGAATTGGATTCGGCAGAACGAAGTAACGTTCACGGTTACTCAATGCTGCCATGACAGGTGTTTTCATCAACAGTACGTTCAGATTATTTATATTTTCTATCAGCAAAAGTAAGTGTTTCGTTTAGATCTGAAGTACGAACTATCATCTACAAAAAAACAAAATATTAACAAGCAGGTTAGATACTATCAATCTTATATAAGTATTAGAATTATCGCATTTGTATTGGTGCTATAAAGCAGAGATGGCCAACACGTCGATCGCCACGTCTCGGGGAGTCGATCGCGTCTAATGTTGAGTGAATTTAATAACATACCCAAAAAATTGTCTTAAACCAGTTTCATAGGTGCTGTTGTATGTTTTAAAACATGTCGAATACAGTACTTTACATGCGCAAATTACCATATACATATACATTATCTGAGTCTGGGCAAGCATGATAGAGCTTATTTAACTAACAAATGCAATGTTCGCCGCTGCCAAGGTTTTATCGTGTGTCTTGACTGAGAAACGATCCTACAATAACTTCTGCAGTATGCGAAAGTTAGTGCCAAGAGTAGTGCGGTAAATTGTATTCACAACGTTAGCAGTGGCATCAAGAACCCCCCCTTTTTTTTTCTTAATTCCAAGCAAGCGAAGAATCGGACTTGGAAGAAATAATAAATAAGATACTGAAGTTTGAGCAGCCAGGTAACGTTAACATTTATGGTTTTGAGAATATTTATATTTTGCTGTTTGGATAATATGGATACTTGGTCAGGTTTTTTAAGGAATTTTCAACAATTAACTACTAAAAATTAGGCAGGCCTTGAATCTGAATGATGAAAATTTACCCCGGGTACAAATACATAATCAAATTAACAAATTGAATGGAACAAAGAACACAAATTTTCGTGGCGATTTCATTATAATGCGCCTACAGAGCCGAGCTTATTGGGAGCGGTGGAATTTTTTGTATGCTTGTATGCCGTTATCTGCATATGCAGTAGGGCCTACTCATTGTTTTTTGTGTATGATCTTATTACAATCATTCGATCGCGAGCTATTGATATTAGTTGATCGCGGTCGAAAGCAGGTTGGCTATAAAGTAATAGATAGTAATGGTATGAAGATCACTTGTGTTTCCAATTATAAAAAAAAAAAACATTAAATCCTCAGCCATAGTTTCACGAGAAATTTGGTAGGCCGAATGAACCAAATGCATAAGCGGCCTTTACAACGCCCAGCGGCCAACTGATTTAAGTTGATAAAACATCTACAATAGAAAAGTCTAACTTGAGTAATAAATTGACAAATTGGATCAGTGCCATTGAAAAGATAGACTGTATATAGATTTGTTTAAATTTTTAGAATAAAGGTGCAAAACATTGCATAAAAATAATTATAGGTAGTAAATTACAGGCTTACGAAATTGCTTATTAAAAATATATAAATCATATGAATAAAATGCCATTGAAATAGAATTAGTGAAAATAGCTACAGTGTAGATTTGAACAATATTTTCAGATATGGAATATATATGGAGCTCCCGAAGTATGTGCAGCAAGATGGCGCACAACCTGAACATAGTATGTATATCAGGTTAGGGTTCAGGTTGTGCGTCATCTTAGTGCATATATTTCGGGAGCACCATATATATCCTATTCTGGGTTAAATTCAATATAAACAAATATACAATGATTTGATTTTTCAGCAACAAAATGAAGGCTATTCGGGCCACACTGCATAATTTCAATTTCTCAAATAGTAATTCATTCATAAAATGAAATTATTAATATTAATAAATATAGAATGTATATGAAGTATGCGGCTGGTTTAATATTGATAATCACCAGATATCATAATTATAATATCTTTTATTACCCTTTATTTACTCTTTGATTAAAGATCAAAAGAACTACAATAATCATTCATAAGTCTATTGTTGCTTGGGCTTCAGCTTCACCAAATGTCTGAATGTAAAATACCCAAACAACAGAGTGCATATCCACCACTTGAACTTTGCCATAGGATCGCTCACACCTTTCTTGCCAGTAAAATATAATGCAATGAGGGATTCTATGACGTGGATGATAAGAACAGACACTGCGGTCACATATTTCCATATCGGATCAGCTTCATAAACGAGAAAATGGCACAATTGACCGAGTGGTCCAAGGTATTTGTATGGTGGAATATCAGGAGCATAAATGAGTCCCCAAGTCAACCACAGGCCAAATGTGATCACAATAGCAAGAATTGGATTAGGTGGAACAAAGTAACATGCACGTTCACGATCACTCAATGCAGCCATGATGGATATTTTCAGTGACAGTCTTCGTGTTTCACTAGTAATATCAAAATCTACTTTAGATATTGCCAACAAGAATAGAAATGAAAAATAAATCAATAAACACCTAACTAGCTTTTCAATCGTCATAGGTAATTATTCTAGGAGACAGAGTTGTATGAAAAGGCCTGATATTTTCCTATTTTGTCTGTTCCATACAGACTTTACAGGCAGGTATTTTGACTAGGGCTGGGCATTTTCGAATACCTTGTGATTTCAGAATCGAATCGAATAATTTTTTCGAATCGAATCTCGAATACTTGGAAATATATAATTGTAAGCGACTTTTTCTATAGTAATTGGTCCTCTTAACAAATGAGTTACTGAAAACATAGAATACATCACCCAGATAGATTACTGAGCGTTCACACCCAATAACTCACTACATAAAATAGTCGTATGTTAGAATTGCATTGAAAAAATATGACTTGAATGAAAAAAAATTAGGGAATGCACCTCCACCATTGGCGGAAATAAAAAAAACAAGATGGCGGCGATTCGAAATTTAGCTTTGAACCGATTCGAATAATTTACTACTCGATTCGAAATGCCCAGCCCTAATTTTGACACTATGGATCCCTAGTCCCAGACCCCGAGCAGACTACTTCACCATGCATAAAAAAAATTGTAAGACCATGCCTAGACAGAATGATTTTGGTAATAAAACAAAAGATCCTATTTCTGAATTCCTCGAGATGTACTATGCTAATTGAGTGAAGAATATCTTGCAGAGTTCAAGATATTTCTGATTGATAGCAATTTGGTTGTCAAGTCATGAATCAACATAAAAAGTGTATTCATGTAATATTATGCTCAACATAATACAACAACATTCTTACAGCCAACCAGGTATAGGTCTTATTCAAATAAAATTTCATAGTAACTTCCAATGTTGAAATCGTAGGTTTTTGTCCACGTTTTAAGAAAAATGCTCAGAGCTTCGAATCACTTTTACCATATGCTTCATAAGTTAAACTAATTAAACTAATTTTATCTGCAAAACAATATTCATGATACAAGTTTGTAATATAGGCCCATTTATTAAATCTAATATTGGCAGTTAATGTGCAAAGGAATGAAGTTCTGAACATGAAGTAAAAGTAATAAACTGCACAATTCCACTTCATATTAATTTGACACTATTTTCAAGTATAAATGATTCAAGATAACAACAAAGGGTATTAGCATTATCTAAAATATTTCTAGGAATTTATCAATATAAGCATGTAATTTTGACCTGTGCAAGCGCAACTAATCAGCCACACAAAGTACAACTTCTTCATTTAAGTACAGTAAGTATTCTACTAATTTCTTTTACAGAACCAACTTTCATCTTCCCAATGTTGATAATGAAAGACAAAATTTTCTTCAGGTCACAAAAACTCGGAAAAGTTCTGCGTTTACTAAATATTCTCTCCGAGAGTTACAAAATTTTTCTTAGCTTAAATTCCCCTCAATCCAGAGAAGGGAGACTTAATCAACTGTAAATGATTCTATGAGCGCCACCTTATAAGGCAAAATACTGTTCACACTTTTGTAAAATTACAACAACCAAGGAATGAAATGAAGGGATATAGTGCACTCCTGCTAATAAAATTTTATTCAATATGAATATTAAACTTCATCCCAAGCTCTCCACTTCAAAACAAAGTCTTTCGGTACAAATTGAAGGAGGTAGATCATAACTCCTTGTTACCAAGTTGATTTTCTGTAATATCTGAGCTGCAATATGTATATTGTCACGATGTATTGTTTCCCATATAACAGGACTCATACAAGAGTTGGCAAGTTGTGATATTCTTTCATGTTCGATGCCTAACTTTGTAAAACTGTTTGAGTTATGAGCCAGAAACAAAATGCGGCCTTGAAAAAAATCCATTGGAAGGTGCTGTAATGACTTCTGAACAGAAGACAAAGTCCCTTTTCTAACTACGTCAACAACCATCAAAACCAAATCGATTTCGAGTGAATCATTCTCATCTTTGTCCAAAGGTAATCTATCGGCCAAATGAATCTTCAGTGACAATCTATTGTTCGAATCTGATTCCGATGCTGCCAATAGTACTTCCGCTAAAGTTTTTGAATGTTTTTCAACGTCTCCCACTATTAGCAATGATGCGTGTTTTATCTTTCTTATAGCTGGAATCCGCAATTCTTTTTGGAGACTCATTGCAGATGCTATATATCAATTTCAAATAAGAAATCTACAGAGTTAAAAAGTGAAAATATATAGAAACAAGATGGTCAGTTTTTGCTCGACTAAAACTCAACTTTAGGGAAATTAGTATCAATAGCCCTACCCAGCAAAACTGTATTCATATTTTCTGTCATAATATTGTATGTGATTTTTACTGGCTGGATAAATTAAACTTCATATGTCTATTGTGCTCATGTGTGAGTAAAAATAATACAAAAACTGAACCGAAAACTGGTTTGGCAGTCTAAACAATTTTTAGGTGGGGCAAAGTGTGTGTACTCTGAGGGTAATGGGCAAGATGAAAATTACAGTGAAAAAGAGCCTAAACAAACATGGAGTGACATTTTGACCAAATAAAACCTATATCTAGTTCAAAATGCATTCATTAAGAAAATTTCACTTATTTATGCAAAGCAATTCCCTCTGGCCTGGTCCCATATTTTATACAGACAACCACCAACAGAAAATTTAAAAAATCCCAAAAATTTACAGATAAAAAAAAATGATCTTCAGCTTCAATCTAATCAGATTGTATTTCCAATATGATGTTCACGGAATTGGATATCAACATGATTTATCCTCAATAATATAAATGAACATTATTATCTTATGGGATGATACTTCACAAGATCAGTTGCTAATAATAATAAAACTGCGCAATATGTCAACAAAACAATGATAGTTTAAATAAAAGAAGCTAGATTTTATTAGCATCCCATGAAACATCAAGAACCCAGTCCCTGCTGATGTATTCGAAAGTGCCGACCTTTGTCTATTTGCAGAATCTTTGTAATCAAACCTTAAATATTTCTGCCCTTCTATTACTTGTAATCACATCATTCTTAATGCTCCATCAAGTCTTATAACTTCTCCATTAAGCATAGGATTTTCTACAATTGATTCCACCAACTTTGCATACTCTTCAGGCTTTCCCAATCTTGATGGAAAAGGTATGCCAGCTTCTAGAGTGTTAATCACTTTTTCTGGTAGAGATTCCAAAAGTGGAGTTTTAAAAGTGCCAGGTGCAATGGTTACTGTCCGAATACCCATACGTGCAACGTCCCGACTAAGTGGAAGGGTCATTCCAATAATTGCCCCCTTACTTGCACTATATGCAATCTGTCCAGCTTGACCATCATATGCAGCTATACTTGCTGTATTCACTATAACCCCTCGTTGATTTTCATCCCCGACTTCATTCTTTACCATACATCCGACAACATTTCGGATGAGATTAAAAGTACCTACCACATTAACTTGAATTACATTTTGAAAGTTTTCCAACGAGTGAGGCAAATTTTTATTAAAACTGTAAACCTTCTCAACATGTCCAATACCAGCACAATTGACAAGCACATGTAATGCACCAAATTTATCTTTTGTTGATTCAATAGCATTTACGACATCCTCAGTATTACATATATCAGTTGGACAAAATATGCATTTTTCACCAAGTGTTTCTGCCACTTCGGCACCTTTTGAGTTCGGAAGATCGACAATTGCAACACGGCCACCATTTTTTACGAAATACTCCGCAGTTGCTCGGCCCAGTCCAGATGCTCCACCAGATATCATAGACACAGCTTTGCCAATACGAAAGGCCATTATTACATATACTAAAATTTATGCTGTTATTGTAGGAATTACAATAGAATAAAAACAAAGCAGTTAGAATAGTCCCTGGTCAAATAAAATAATGTTAATTCACATGTACACACTTGCACATCCCAAATCTTAAACACTCATGCTGCCACTAACATCTGAATGTAACATAACCAGATAACCATGGCTGACAAAGATTCACACTAGCAGTACTTGTAGCACAATACCATACAGCCATAACTGCATACCAGACCTCCATAATTGAAAAAAATCCCAGAGAAGCAGGAACCAAAAATAAATCAAAAAGTTTTGATAAGTTCATGTGGGGTCAGATACTTCTAGTGGGCGTAGCATGACTATTTTTCCACGTATCAATCCTAACCACCACCTGACTACACCATCCAAAAATTATGTCAACACAACGTCACAGTGACATAATAGAGCCCTTCAAACTATACGAACTGACATCCAAGACGCGGAAACGAGCACTCGAAATCGAACAGTTATTTCTCTTGTTGCACTGATCCCAATAGGAGAGAGATCGATAACGTCAGTCAGTTCTTTATCGTCGGCACCAATGCCATTTCGGGCGATTGTACGTATATTTGGTTGTTTAATGTCATTGATTTGGCAAGCTCTATAACGTGATTGTGATGTCGTAGTGACGTAATTTTTGGATGGCGTAGTCAGAAGGGGGTTAGGATTGACATATCAAAAAATTGTTATGCTACGCCTACTACAAGTACGTTAGATACGAAACTACACGAGACCCGTTCATATGCCAGTATTCCAGTATTCAAAGCATCTGTATCCCGTTTTCGTTATTATCATGGAATGAAAATTAGGGCAATAAACCAGACTGCCAGAGCCACTAGCCCAGCTACCTGCTCCACATACACAAATAAAAATGATTTACTCTAGCATTCCCCTCCCCAATTTTTTATTCTTCCATTTTGAAAATATAATTTTAAATTCTAGAATGTTCCTCCCCAATATTTAGTCAGCTGAAACTGTGAACCTTAAACATAATAGCTTTTGGTGGTTGACTTTGATGACCGTTTGGTCGTATCACTCCCTCCTGTCTTTACCAAACTAATTTATTACTTATTGTTATTATTATTATTACGATGACTGTTTTTTTTTTGGTTGACGAAAAAATAAATCTTTCGCTCTCTCACCAGTACCAGTCAATTTGGCAAGTGCAGTTTTAAGTATTCTGTGGCGTCTGCAGCTGCCGCAAAACCATGGCGGTATTTTCATACCATGGCCGCTACGGCCAAACCATTGAGGTGTATACACCTCAATGATGGCGACTGACTTTTTAGCTGCCACAAACCAATGACAAGCTGCCGTTACCGCGGCAGCAAATTGAAAACCAATGGCAGGTAAAATTTTGCTGCCGTAACCACGGCAGGTGGGCCGCAAAGACAGGGCTGTCCCTTCTGGTGACAAATATTGGGTAAGTTGGAACGTTTTTCTTATGGATACAGTTTTGGTGGATTAGGGTTTAGTAGATATAATTCCGCATGATCAATTAAAATCTGGTACATTAATTTGTGAATATACCGTTAATACTGATTACTGAAGAGCGTTATAAAACCATGGCAGAAGCTGCCGCGGTTTGTTCGTGGCAGGAGCTGCCATGAAGTGGTAATAACTAGGGCTGGGCATTTTCGAATACCTTGTGATTTCCGAAACGGATCTAATAATTTTTTCGAATCGAATCTCGAATACTTGAAAATATATAATTGTAAGCGACTTTATTATAGTAATTGGTCCTCTCAACAAATGAATTACTGAAGACATAGAATAAATCACTCAGATAGATTACTGAGCGTTCACACAGAATAACAAACACGTTTTATAAATAACTCACTGCAGAAAATAGTCACAAGTTAGAATTTCTTTTTTTTTTTTTTTTATTCATTTTTTTTTTTTTGTTTCTTTCTTACAACGAATAAAAACCGAATTATAATAAACGCTCGCGCAAAAATTAGGAACTTGAGTACCTCTTAAAAACAGTCAATATTATCAATACTAGTCAATCTTAAAAATGTACTATCAAAAGCTATGACATTACCGACTTTTCTAACAAGTTTTCAATTCTTCCATCCTCCAAAAAGCTATTTTTCATATTTGATGCCATATTTTTCAGCATCCCTCTAATTTTACATTTAAAAATTATTCTCATAACTGATTGGAAATTATCCAAATCTTCAAATATTATTTGATTCCTGAATTCCCAAATAGCTGCCTTTCCACATGCAACTATCATAATAACTGACAGGTCACATGTATTTTGTGCAATAATGGTATCAATATTATTTTCACTAAAATACAACTCGCACCAATCCCAAAATATTTTAACATAATAGCATTCAAAAAATAGATGTTTACAGTCTTCAATGATATTAATATTGCACAACACACAGTGACCATCATCATATTCTGTCCAATGCCTTGTTCTATTTCCAGTAGGTAATGCCATATGAATTATTTTCCAACATAAAACTTGTACAATTTTAGATATTCCATGAACCCAAATGTTATTCCAATCAATATCAAATTCCAGTCCATAATATTCCTTAATTGATAAACCTTTTTGTTTTGTCACTTCCATTATCTTTTTACTTATAATTTGATTATACATATATTTCGTGGTTGGAAGTTTTTCAAATGAATATATTGAACTGGAATCTGTTTGAACATTACTTTGACTATTCAACACATTAGCCCATCCTGATGGTATGGCTTTTAAAATTTGTACAGAATCTTTTACTACTTTCCTATAACAATCAAGTTTTTTATTTTCACGCATACTACTCCATTTGTTTATGCCCCAAATTTTGATTGCTATTTCAAGACAGTCATATTGGAACAGATGGCCAAATTTTAAAATGTTTCCTCTTATCCAATTATTTATAAATTCTGGTTGATTCAACCATGTTAAGGCTGGATTCCACCATATGTATTGATCATATATTTGTTGTTTAGTGGTGATTTGTTTCGTTTTTACATCAAGTTCCTTGAATATGTTGACCGAATTTATATAAAACTTAGGAATGTTATTATTCCTTAAAATTTTCAAAGAGAGATGTAGTATTTCTAAATTTGGCACTGTTATTTTAGGATGGTATCTATTTATAAATTGTTTCGCTCTCTTTGCCCAAGGAGCCTCATCACTTTTTAATAATTTCCAAATCCATCTAACTTGTAGACTTTTAATCTGACTACACAGATCCATGGCCTTCAGACCTCCTTCAACTTTCCTTGCACAGCAGACTCTCCTCTCTACCGTGGGTTGTTTGTTGTTCCATACAAAATCCCATACTAGGGTCTCAATTGTTTTAATGATTTCATTTGGAATTGTTATTACAGCCGCAAGATACCACAATTTAGATAATAATAGACTTTTAGTAATCAGTATTCTCCCTTGCATGCTCATAGTTCGAGCTCTCCATATATTCACTACTCTTTTGATTTTTTCTATAATTGGATTCCAGTTTTGTTGCGTCGTGTCATTGTTGCCGATCCAGACACCAAGGACACATAAACTATCCCTTTTTAATGCTATACCTTGAAACTGTGTTTCATTTATCTTAAGACAATCTCCACATAACAATATTTGAGATTTTTCCTTATTTATCCTGGTACCTACAGCTATTTCAAATTTTTCGACTATTTTCAATGCCTCTCCAACTGATTTTAAATCTCTAACTGTTAATGTTGCATCATCCGCAAACCCTTTGTATTTTCTTCATTCCCTGAAATGTTCTTAAAACCTATTATGTTGCTATTTACTCTAATATTAGTTGCAAAAACCTCCGCAACCATAGTGTATAAAAATGGGGACAGAGGACAGCCTTGTTTTAATCCACGTGTCATTTCAAAACTCTCTCCTACATATCCATTTGTTAATATTTTTGCTTTTGTATTAGTATATAAAATTCTTATATAATTGATAAAATTTGGACCTAAATTAAACTTCTTCATAACTTTAAAAAGGAATTCTCTATCAACAGTATCATAGGCTTTGGCCCAGTCTATTGAAAACACTACTAATTCTTTTCCAAATCTGTTAGCATAAAATATGTCGTCTCTAATACATGAGATGTTTTCATGTATAGAACGACCCTGAATAAAACCAGTCTGGTCACAGTGAATTATTTTTGGAAGTAAGTTTCTAATTCTGTTAGCTAAAATTTTTGCCAAAAGCTTATAATCAAAGTTTAACAGCGATATAGGTCGCCAATTATTCAGGTCGTTTTCATTGACTCTGACATATGTCCTGATATTACTATTTTGTCAAAAACAATTTTCAATATACTTCCAAATATTTTCCAGAATTTCGCATAAAAATTTTTTGTAATACCATCTGAGCCCGGCGCTTTGTTTAATTTCATACCTTTGAATGCGTTTTCTAATTCTTCAAATTTAATTGGTTGTTCTATGTCCTCCTTATCTAATCTATCAACTTCTTTATTTAATTTCAAAATCAAATCATCTTGGGAATTTTCATCTAGATTTGGTGTTTTTGAGTATAATTTTTGGTAAAAAGATTGTTGTACTTTTTGTATGTTTCTCAAACCTCTCACAATCTCTCCACTTCCGTTTTTAATTTCTTGTATCAATTTCAATTTCCCTCGATACTTCTCCAAATTGAAGAAATACTTTGATGAGATTTCTCCCGATTCTGCCCACTGTATGCGTGCCCTTATAGCGTTTCCTTTTACTTGATTCGTTTGAAAATCTTTCAAATTTTGTTTTGCCTGCATTAACTTGTGACTTTTTTCTATATCGTATTGATCTTCCTCATATTTGAACAATGCTTCTTCATAAGTTTTTATTAATTGTTTTTCTATATTCCTATTTTCCTTAGCTAACTTTTCTCCACTATATATAGACCACTCCTTAATTTTTCTTTTACAATTTTCCCAAAATTTAAGAACATCAATTTCATGTCCTTCATTTAATTGCTTTAGCCATTTCTTTGATATAACTTCTACCCCTGTGACAAATAAATCATAATTTAATAAGTTGC